GTGTCCCAGTGCTGCTAACCACAACTCTGGAGGATGGGTCACGTCTCTTGCTGATCAACAGGTGGATAATCAGCTGAGCTACAAGGAAAAATGAGTGGGACACCTAGAGATTTTGGAGGGCCGTACGTGGCCCCTGCGTTGCCCACCTGCGTCTTAAAGGCTAAGGCTGCACGTCCAGCTGCCCGCAGTGTGGGGCCCTCGCAGTGTGTTGAACTTTAACTCCCATCAGCCCCATCCTCCTCTGCCTTGCTGGCTGGAGATGCTGGTGGCTGTATGGGAATGTATGTCAGAGTACGGAGCAGGGGAAAAGTGTAATTATCCAGGTATGCCTCTCTGTAGCATGCAAAGGGACTGGAGGGCGAGCCAAAGACTTGTAGCAGTATAAAAAATAGAGTATTTAAAAATTAGAATGCTTGGGATCCCATGCCCCCCAAAGGGTGAGAGGGGACCTGAACCATCCAAACTGACTATAATCAATAGCTAGTGCGGTATGGAGCAAAAAGACTGGAAACCAGCTGGGTAGGAGATCGGAATGGAATATTGCGGCAGAGAGCATGGCTGGGTGGCCAGGCACACATGAGGCTGTGATGTTTTATTGCATCCACTCGTTCCAGATAGCCCTAGGGCTGGACAAGCCTTTGCAAATCAGTTTACAAGCCATCAGAACTTCCAGTGCTTGGAACCCCAAACATCAATGTGAACAGAAGTGCATTTCTGGGGAAAAGTCCGCATATTTCCAAGTTGGTAATCATATTAAAAAATGTGTGTGTGTGTGTGTGGGGGGGTGTTAAATACACTTTAAAATATGAATTTTTCAAGAGACATGTATTTCCTCCCTTTAATCAAGGGGGGACAGCAAGCATTTCTTAAAAATGCACACCAAATCTGCACATTTCAAAGATGAAAAAAGGGGGAAATGAGCTGAGCTTCAAAGTGCTGCTTAGAGAATCAGAACAAGCTCAAGAATCTCCGGTTCTCCCATTCCCAGCTTTTCTGGGCCATTTAGTGAGTCGTCTTCCCAAGAAAATGAAGGTGTGTCAGTTCTGGTGGGTGGGCTTCACCAGGATGGCCTTCAAACAGTCCTAATGATTCCGTGCAAACCCAAAGTCATTCATTGCAAACCTACAGGAGTATTTTACCCCTCAGAACAGTGGCGTCCACATGACTAGCACAGCTGTCTGAAAACCAGTAAAATCCAGCTCATACTCTGCTGTGCTCCTGCATCACCAGACCTCAGATTTATCGCATGGAACTGGTAGGTATCCTGGCTCCTTTACTTGCAAAGTATCTGGGGGAGTGTAGTTTGGTGTGACACTCACATCCTGTTAGATATCCCTAGAACCATCTCCAAAGTTACGGTTCCCAGGGTTCCTTGGGAAGAAGATATACAACCCTCAATCTGTTCCTTCTAGGTGTTTCCTTATTTAAATGATTTGTACTTCCACCTTTCAAACAAAAAAATGTCACTCAGGGCAGCTTAAGAGCAGAAATGAAACTTGATTCTTAGACAAAGACACTGAAAGACATTAAAACATGACAACAATGGAGTTAAACAGCATCCAGCCCAAGAGATAGAAACAGAGAAACAGAGCAAGTCAGAAGGGGGGTCTCCCAGGCCATCTAGTCTGACCCCCAGCTCCAGCCATCTTCACTCATGACATGCCTACCATGAACATGTCCAGCCTGTCCTTGAACAGCCTCACTGATGGGGCCTCAACCACCTCCCGTGGAAGCCCATTCCATACTCTGGGGGTCCTAACCGTCAGGAAGTGTTTCTTGGCATCCAGCTTGAATCTTGGTTCCCTGAGCTTTGCTCCACTGGAACACATCCTGCCCTCCACCGCAGGGGAAAAAAGGTGACAACCCACCTCTGTGTGACATCCCCTCATACACCTGTATGTCGCTAACAGGTCCCCTCTGAGTCTCTTCCTCTCAAGGCTGAAAAGACCCAGCTCCCTCAGTCCTTCCTCATATGGCTTCCCCTGCAAACCAGCCGCCATCCTTGTGGCCCTTCGCTGCACTGATTCCAACCTTGCTATATCCCTCTTATAATGAGGGGTCCAGAATTGAACAAAGTACTCCAGCTGCAGGCACTTCTGAGTCATACAGGAATTACTCTCCGATAGAAGAAAGAAACAGGGTGAGTCAGAAGGGGTCTTCCGGGCCATCTAGTCTGACCACCAGCTCCAGCCAACTCTGCGCATGACATGCCTACCATGTGCATGTCCAGCCTGTCCTTGAACACCCTCACCGATGGGGCCCCAACCACCTCCCGTGGAAGATCTTTGGACTTCAACTCCCACCAGCTCTAAGCAGCATGCGCAATGCTCAGGAATGCTGGGGTCAAAATTCAAAACCTCTGGAGGATGCCAGGTGGGACAAGCCATCCTCAAGGGGCACATCCTCCCCAGAGTAGATTGCAAGCACCACTCAGGGCTTCTCCAGCCGGTTTAGATTTAATTAGGCTGTGAAAATGAATTTAGACTGGATTAGGCTGTGAAGATTCTCTCCTACAAGCACAAGGAAGTCAGTAGACTCCAACCTGAGGGCTATGCAGCCCAGAAATTGAGGTCCACTCAGCCCAGTGTTCTTGACACTGACAGGCAGCATCTCCATGGTTCCCAGCAGGGCTCCTTCACCGCTTTCCTGGATTCAAGCCGGGACCTTCCGCATGAACAGCATGTGCTCTTTCGCTCAGCTACAGCCCCTCCTTGTGCAGAATGAATCAAACTGAAGGTGGGAAGCAGATGTAAGAAACCAATTAGTGGCACTGAGGAGAGCATTTAATTTTGGCGTACATCATCACTGTTGGCAGAACCACGCCTGCAGCCTTCAGCTCCTCCACTCGCATCCATCTAATCCGGCTTTCCACATTCTGCCATTCACTCAAGAGCGCATGGCGTTCACACATGGCGAAGCCACTGCAGCAAATGAGGTCTCCACGCCCGGCCGGCTGACAGCTCCGCAGCTCCCCATCTTCCTCTGCCAAGCATGTGTTCATTCTGAAGAAATATATGTAAATCCCTCCACTGGAAAAGTTCCATGGGAACCGTATTATGCTGGTTGCAGTGAGTGTTTTAGCAACAGGAATGGTTCTCCGGAGGGGAAGAGTCAAACATTTAATGCAGCAGAAAGAGGAAGGGGAAGCAGACCATTTTGTTTGACTTGCCTCCTGTTGAGCTCCACAAGGACCCTGACCCTTGCTCGGAATGGACTTTATATGGACTTGGTCAAGAAGCTTTTCCAGGAATGTTTTCCACAGTCAATGCAATGAAGAACCCCAAGTCCGACAGAATCCTGGAGGAAATCCTTGCAACACTAGCCACGCATCCTTGGCAGCTCCCGTGGGTCCAATTTCCCTTGAAACTACTTTTTCCCAGCTCTCCTGTCTGGATACTGCCTCTGAAATGGCACACATTGACTGTAGTCGAGAATTACTCCATCGTATTGTGGGAAATTTTAAGCAGTCAGTCCCCAGAGTGCTGCTGGCCATGCTGGTCAAGATTGAAGGGCATCGTATCCCAACTTTCGGAGAGCAGATCTGGTAAATGAGCCATTTGGAGGGGCAACCTTAAGAAACACAGTGGGGGTCCCCCTGCTGGGTTGTGGGTTCTCCACAAGGGCTTCCCCCTGCTGGTGTTCTCTGCATGTGCTGGTTGGCCACACATGCAGCTTTCCCTCCTGGAATTATGGGAATTGTAGTTCACTGCATCTGAAGCGCACCAGACAGGGGAAGGTTCCCATGTTTGCTGCTTAGCAACAGCATTCAAGGACTCAGGTAGAGACAGGTCTTTCCCACCCCGGCAGTGAGAATATTCTAAAAATGTACTGATGGAAGGTGCTTCACTGACATTTAACAACCAACAAGGTTTAACAGCACCCAGGTTTCAAAAGGAAGGAGGCAATTAATGGCATGCGTGTGACCAAAAGAAGAATGATGAAGATGAAGATAATTTGCAAACCTCAATTTAAGCAGACAGGGGTGTGTGTGGGGGGGTGATATTGACTCTGGGATCGTTTGCATCCAGAGCATGTTTTCTGTTGTCAAGCCATGGCAAAGATGTGCTTGGGGTTAGGAATATTGGAGAATCGGCACTGGATTCAAATGAGTTTGCACGTCTATGAATTTGACCTGCAGATTCTGTAGTGGGCTGGCTTTGACTGTACGAATCCTTAGAGAGCCGGTATGGTGAAGAGCACAGGACTGGGACTCAGGAGATCTGGGTTCCAGTCTCTGCTCAGCTGTGAAGCCCACTGGGTGACTCCAGGCCAGTCACAGAGTCTCAGCCCAGCCTACTTCGCAGGGTTGGTGTGGTGAGGACGAGATTGAGAAGAGGAGGAGAATTATGTCAGCGGCTTGAGTTCCTTGAAAGGAAAAAAGTGGGATAATAAAAAATTAAAAAATCTAATTTATTTATTTTATTTATACATTTTTGTATTCCATTCACTCAGCCAGGCTGACTCTCTGAACAGTTTGCACTCAATAAAATGCACGTTATTTTATGCACATGAACACATAAGCATTAGCAGAATGAAATTCTATTTTTCAAAAATCCAGTTCTGTTTTTTTAAAAATCCAGTTCTGTTTTTTTAAAAATCCAGTTCCATCAATGAGCAGAAAAGGGAACAAAAGACACCTGACAATCTACTAAACACAGATGCAAGGGATTTAACAACATCTGTACCTGTCTCCTTGGAGCATCAATGGGTTACATCAGCCTTACCCCGCTTGGTAGCCTCCAGATGGTGTGGATTACACCTCCTGGCATTCCTGAGCATTGGCCGCACTGGCCATGGCTGATGGGCATTGCCATCTAAAACATCTGGAGGGCAGCAGGCTGGGGAAACACAGCTGTGCTCCACAGCTGTGCTCCACTTCTAGTGACTTCTTTATGAATGTAACTGGAGGTGGCCAGTCCTAGATCAACGCATTCAGAACCTAGGGCAGAATGCCCACCAGTTGAAATTCATTGATACAACCAACAATAAAATGCAACAGCTTTTGGAAAGACAACTTTAATAGTGTTTAAGTCCTAGCACACATTTCTGGCAAAGTTAAAATGGCCCCATAGAACTCATTGGAAATATATTTAATCAAGAAAAAGCACTTATTTTTCACATCAGTTTTTTTTAAAGCATACATATATTTTTATAAAATGGTAAATTAAATTATATTTATTGTTTAAAACATTGAAATCTACCAAATATTCTCAGCACTTGTGTTGAAATATTGAGCCTCTCTCATTTAACCTTCTGTAAAACAAGTGAAGTGAATGTAAAGTTTTTTGTGGGTTGCCTGGGGAAATTTTACAGGAAAAGTGGAAGATGAGAAAAAGTTTTGAATGGAATGAAGAGTTTTCTTTGTTGGGTGAAATATTACAATGTCAAAATTCTGTATCAAACTACCGTTGAATGAAAAAAGTGGGTTGGTTTACATTAATATACCAAACTGGTATGTTTTGAACTTTAATTTGGGTTGGGGAAGGAAGCAAATAGAAGTCCGGACTGGAGATCCCACTGCTGGCCCAGGTAGAAGAAGTCATGAGCAAGTCAGGGGCCATCAATTCCTCGGAAACAGTTCTCGCCACGTTAAGCCATCGCCTCGATTGCTGTCAAGCCACTTCGCACAGGGGAAGTTAGTGGTGACACCTGTGGCTGAATTGGTGATCTCCACTCGCTCGACCAGCCATCCGGAAGATAATCCAGTGTCGTCATGCTCAATCCGAACTTTCTTCAGCTCCCCAAGTTCAAGGATTTCCAGGTAAAACCGATTTGTCTTACCCCGTTCAAAGAGGTTGAGGAACTTCTGCTTGAGAGCCCTCTTCCCCGAATCCCCGTTCACTCCGAAGATGGTGATGAACACGTTGGCGTCTGTGCCGGATCCCTTCTCAAACCCTGTCACGACAATCACCTCGAATTTGACTGGCACCAGGCTCCGAGCCTTGCTGGCGAAGCTCTCGATCACCTTGGCACACTCAAAGACTTTGTGGTCACCCCTCCTTCCACACAATGGGAGTTTTGCATTGCATCTGAAGAAATACCTGCCGAAGGAAGAGGACGCAGCTTTGATCCGCGCTTAGCTTTCCAACCAATATAGTGCTTTCCAAAGCTCTTTTTTTTCTCAGCGAAGAAAAGGCACACTTTTCTCTAACAAGTGTTTTGTCGGCTTTGCGAAATCCTGTCTTCTTGCATGTTTTGTTCCCCTTTTGTTTAAATTCCTTTGACTGGCAAAGTTCCAGCCCCTGCTAAGCACAGAAGGCAGTTTAATTGGTTGCGTAGCCTCGGCCCCTCTGCCCTAGTCCTGAATAGTCACAGTTTTGCACCCACCAAGCACCCCAGACCGCTACGTGACACTCATCGGAAAATGGGCTTCATGGTGGTTCTGCGGATTTTTTGATTCTTCACATTATACACGAATGCTTTGAAACCTCCTAGTCACAGCTGTGAAACGTTTTGGGGTTTTTTTCATTTAACGAAAAAGAGCAGTGTCTACCTAAAAATGTCATTATCCACTAATACATTTAATGGGTTGGCTCTAACGTTGGCCATCTGCCCACAGAAGGGAAACAGGTGGCTGATTGGAAGTTGCAGCCCCCAGCCCCTCAAAATCTTCTTGGGAGGATTCGGGGGTGCAGGCAGCTGCAGCGGGAGAAGGGCAAGGGAATAACCTGCGGCACGGATGGGCGTTCTCTTGTGTGCCGTCACATTTAACCAAAAGGAAAAATATTAATTGAACGCTGCCTTGGAATTTGTCCTAAATCTTCATAACATGAAAAGAGCCATCCTGGATCAGGTCACCAGCCCATCTGGTCCAATGTTCCATGCACTCGGTGGCCAACCAGCTGCCATCGGAAACCCACAAGTTCCTTCTGGCCCATGTTCCCCAGCAACTGGTGTGCACTGACACGTTGCCTCTGTGTTAGCACAGAACCGGGCCAGGCTTCTCCTCCAAGAATGTGTCCAATCCCCTTCTAAAGCCACCCAAAGCCATCACTGCATTATATCCTTTGGAAGTGAACTCACTCCCTGAAAGAAATCGGTGACCTTCGACAGGCTGCGATGTGCTACAGGTACAAATGCCAGGCTGGATGCAGAGGACGGCACGATCTCCTTCTAAGAGCTGGCTGCACAACTGCTGGCAGGTAAACAGGTTAATTATGGATTCTAAGCCAGACGTTAGCATGATGTTCCTTAGCGAGCATCGCAAGATCACCTTCAACTCTATTGGCAAAGAATAACCTGTACATTCTCCAATGATTTCTAACCTTTTTTCTGAATTTGCTAATCCGAGGGCATGCCCCACCCCAAATGTGAAAGAAGTCAATGCGTCTCTTTCTGAAGGTTCAAAATTCTCTTTCTTACAGACACTATACAAATAAATATTTGGGGGCACTGGAATGAAATATTCACTACACAGTTTTGGAAATATTGGGCTACATGAAGCAGAAATGAAGAACCCAGATGGGGACCTATGGGACCCAGTGGGACCTAGGATGCACACACAGTGTGTAGCCAACCCAAGTTGCCTCTACTTGTTGGCGTGGAGGTCCATTGGTCAGTGTTGAGTTGCATCACTTCTTGGCTCAGGGCTGGGTTAGGGCAGTGGTAGCTAGCCTTTCTGGCAACTGGGCCACCACTTCGTGCAACGGATGAGACAGAACCACAAATGTTCTTGATGGTCCATGTCAGGCCTCAGTTCCCTTCCTCATCCCATTACTGCCCTGTAGCCGCAAAAGCCACGTGCTGCGTTATGAAATGGGAAGGGTAGACCCCAGAGTAACATGCAGTCACCTGGAAAAATATCTCCAATAGGCTGCCTAGATCAGTCCTGGAACACCCTAGTCTGTCCATCTCCTTGGGGAGCTTCTGAGCCCTCCTGACAAGGAGCCCTCCCTTGCCCAGCTCCTCAGCCACTGAGGAGGCAGCCCACCTCTGGCAAAGGATGTAGCAAATGGCCAGCAGGGCTAGTAGCCACTGATAAACCTCCTCCCTCATGAAACTGTCCCATCCCCTTTTAAAGCCATCCGGGTTGGTGACCATCACCACTTCCTGTGGCAGTGAATTCCACAGTTCAACTATACGCTGTGTGAAGAAACATTTCCTTTTATCTCTCCTAAACCTCCCAGCAATTGGCTTCATAGGATGACCCTGGATTTGAGTGTAACAGGAGATGGGGAAAAATGTTTCACCTCTACGTGCATTATTTCAACACCTCCATCATGCCCCCTTTTTCTAGGCTGAACAGTCCCAATTCTCATAGCTATTTTTCTTGGGGAGCTGCTCCAGCCCCTGGCCGTCTTTCTTGCCCTTCTCTGTAGCTTTTCCAACTCAATAATGACTTTTTTCAGGGAATGCCAGCCCAATACCTTGAAAGCCTACATTTCTGATCCCAGTGGTCTAGCCAGCAAATCCAAAAATAACCTAGTGGCCGGGTCCACCATCTTGATGACAGTAATTTACAACTCAAAAGCCCAAAGTGGTTGGAACCATTCCGACTATTCAAGAGAAGGTGTTAAGGTGCAGTTCACAGGTTGGGGGACAATTGAGTCAGATGAGGCTAGAGGGTGGTGAGCGTGTCCAACTGCTCACCCAGGAGACCTGGGTTCAAGTCCCCACTCAGCCGTGAAGTTCTCTTAGTGACTCTGGGGCAGACATGGACTCCCGGCCCAGCCTATCTCACAGCTTTGTCGTTGTGAGGATAAAACGGAGCTATGTAAGCCATGTGGGATATAGATCTAATGCAATAACAATAAATAACAATAAATAATAATGCTGGGGAAAACTGTCCAGATATTCTGGAAGGAGGACACTATGGATTTACATCCGAAGTCGGGGTTCTGTCAAGCACGCAGGATTCTGTGAGTGGCTGGTCTCCCAAGGCGGTGGAGTGGAGCGTTGTCACACCTGCGAGGGGACAGTCCCAGGTGGCTTAGTGAACAGAGCTGAGCTGTGGCTGGAACCTCAGAGTCGGAGCCTGGAAACGGTGGGGTGGAGCTCAGAGGAGAACACTGAAGCTACGAGGGAAGCAGCCTGCACCTCCGAGTCTGGCCTCTCAGCCAGGCATCCAAGACTCGGACTCTGCGAGCAGGAGGCCAGAACCTGAGATACTGATCGAAAGAGCAACCTGTGACGTTGTCTGCACCCTTACAGGACCTCCCACTAGCTAGAGGTCCCCCAAAGCATCAGGAATGGGTAACACAACCAAGTAGGCAGCCCAGAAAGGGGCAGGTTGGCCGAGTCAGCAGAAAGATGCACCGCAGCCCTGCCCTTTCTGGCAGGAAGCCTTCTCGCTCCGTTCCAGGGATGCCCATTTGGTCCCTGCAGGAGTTTGTTTATTTATTTATTTAAAACATGTTTATGCCACCCCCATCGCAATGAAGCCTCAGGGCGGCTCACAACAGAAACAAAATACATAAATAAATAACAATATAACAATAAAAACTTATTTAAAAACCTCTGGTGCATCTTGGCTAAAAATTTAAAATCCTATAAATACAAATAATGTAACAATTAAAATAAGTTTTAAATAAAAAGGTCTTAGCCTGGCGCCAAAAAACAAATAACGACGGCGCCAGGCAGACCTCTCTGGGGAGCACATTCCATAGATGGGGCACCACCGCAGAGAAGGCCCTCCTACGGGTACTCACCCTCCTAATATCATTCACAGAGGGCTCCCAGAGAAGGGCATCCGTTGCTGATCTCAAGGGGCGGGAGGGCATATATGGGCGCAAGCGTTCCTTTAGATATCCAGGTCCCAAGCCGTTTAGGGCTTTATAGGTCATAACCAACACCTTGAATTGGGCCCGGACTTCAATCGGGAGCCAGTGGAACTGACGGAGAACTGGGGTTATATGAGAACAACGCCCAGTCCCCGTCAGCAACCTGGCAGCTCTATTCTGCACCAACTGAAGTATCCGGAGTTGATCCCACATTGGGATGGGCAAAGGAGAAGCAGCAATGCCGTGGGTGGGCTGAACTTTTCTTGACGCGCCTCCAAGTCGCATATCTCCTGAGCAAGGGAGTGGCACCCTGCCTTGCAGGGGGCAGAAGACCTGGGCCGCCAGCCCGTGCCCGCACTTGGTTCACAGGCTCCCTGGCAGCCAGACGCACGTGCCACGAAGCCCGGCATGCTCCCGCCGCCCGAGGCTCACCATCTCTGCCATTCACACTTCACGCCATGGCACTTACTTGTTGCAAAGTTCCATCTCCGTAACCACGACCTCCTGAACATGCCAGGAGACATCTGCTTTTGAGCTCAGTTTCTTTCCATCTTTTGGACAGTGACCAATGCAGATGGCTGCAATATCGCCAACGTTCTTGGAAGAAAACTGGAATACATCTGTTGCTCCTCTGTAAGAGCAACCCCCCCACAAAAGTTTTAATTAATATGGTGCAGACCGGCAGCGACTAATGATGAGAGAACAGGGTCAATTTGTACAAGGCTGGTGGGGTGGGGAATGAAAAGGCAAGGGAAACAGCTGGATTGATTTAACCTGCAAATTATTTTGCACCAAAGGAGAATATATATCAAATCTGCTCAAGACATTTTAATTTAATCAAACTTGTTTTGAATGGGCAGACATGGTTATATTGCTATGACATGATTGCTACTGTTTTTAGTCTTTTGCACTTGACTTTGTGCTCTCTCTATATATGTATGTATGTATGTATTGGTTATCACGTTAATAGATTTCTCTAGGAGTGTGATGTTCCACCAGGAATGTTTCCTTTTCCATAAATAAAATGGATCTGTTTCATTCCAGATGCAGCCCAATGAACAGTTTCTACCACACACCCTCTATCTTTTCCACTCTTACCTATTTTCGCTTTTACCTGTTTTACTTTTTAAAATCTATAAACAAGACTGTCACTCTTACTGTCATTAGGCAAGTTAAAATTCCTTAGCATCTGCTCCCCCCTCTATAGTATGGGTACAACTATGCTGGCCAACCTTGCAGGGGTGGCTGCAAGGATCTCCAAAATAATGAAACTGGTTTGAATAGTGAAGGAAGACATAATGAATGGATTAATTAACAAATGGACCGTGCATGCATTTGCATATCAGAATCAAAACAAAAGACATTATTTGTTTCTTTAGAGAATGCATATCTGCATCTCTCAAGAGGCAATTTCCATTGTCTCAGGAAGGAAAGAATGCCTCTTGTAAGATTGGATAAGCATGTGTGATAAAAGTGATTTAAAAATAAGATCTGTTGACTAATTAATGAATTGGAAATACCTTTTATTAACCAAATCATATTTTATTGATTAATCTAGCAGATTCACTCACTAAAGCAGTGAGATCCACTTGTGGCCCTTTAGATACTTTGGCCTACATCTCCCATGATCCCTAGCCTCTGGCAGTGCTAACTAGGGCCGATGGAAGCTGTCGCCCAAGCCACCTGGAAAGGAACATGGTGCCCAACCTTGGACAAGAGGTTGCAGGATTTTATTTATCTATTTATTTGATTTATATCCCACCTTTTTTCTTTTTTCCTTTTTTTACAAACTCAAAGCAGCTTACATTATTGTCCCCCACCCGCTCTGAACTTTCTTCCCACAACAACAACCCTGTGAGGTAGGCTGGGCTGAGAGCCTGTGACTGGCCAAGTCACCCAGCTGGCTCCATGGCTGAGCAGGGACTGGAACCCCGATCGCCCAAGTCCCAGTCCCACACTCCTAACCACTACACCACACTGGCTTTCTCTATATGACACCAGCTTCTCACCTACCTTAAAAACCTCCTATTTTTGGAGGAATTCTCCAGTAGGAACTCTTTGGAACACTTCTTCCCCTCAAAAATAATTAAGACATTTTCCTTGGTCTCGGCACCTTCCATATCACTGGTAGTGACACTGATCTCATAAGCTGGAAAGTCAAAAGACATCAGACCCTGAAGGTGAGGATGGCTGGAGAGAGCAATTATATCCCAAAACTCTTTCTGCTCCATAACCACTACTTCCAGGTGTACGTGATTCTCACTCCATGGGTCATTAAAGCTGGAATAAATATATGATAGTGAAGGGAAGGCTGGACCCAGATTTAGTCTTGCTTAGAGTAAGCACACTGAAATCAACTGGACAAGTTAGTCATGACTAAGTCCCTTTGATTTCATACTTAAGCTTCGGCAAGTATGATCAAGCCCTCTCTCTCTCTGTATGTGTGTTTATACGCGCACGTGTGTGTGTGCACGCGCAAACACACACACACACACAACAAGACCCCAGACAGGATTACTTTAAAAATTCCCAAAGAGGTAAAAATCTGACCTCTCTAGCATCTCCTTGTCTTATCTCTGCAACCTCCATGTAATTAATGATAAAGACAGCAGTGATTATAATATTGATATGCAGATAATATGTTTAGGGTTAGGGTTTTTTGTCCATGCATGTTTTAACAGAAAAAGTCTTTCCAGCTCCCAGCATCCCTCAAGCAGCATTCTGGGGCCCGTGCCCCCAGCCACCCAACACAGTTTTTTGGGGTCAAAACATGCAGAACGATTAATATCCTTCTTTGGGAGTAGCATGGAAAACTCTTAATGTGTTCAGCTCACACATTCTATGTGTCGAATTGAGAAGTCTTTCACAGGTAGGCCTGAAAAATGGGCGCGCAACTCGGGTAGCCTATGCAGGCATGGGCCAAGGGACCCCAGATCACGGATGGTTTTCAGCTGGGTTCCAATTTCGGCCCCTAAGCAGACCTGTGTGTTCATCAGTGATAGCTTCTTTCAACTTTTACTCAGGAGAATGTTCAGGAAGCCAATCCAGACCTCAAAAGCCTCCCCCTGCTCTGCACTGATCTGAAATGGGCACTGTAGCACAAAACTGAAGAGAGAAAAAAGGGAGTCAGGGCGGCCAGACGTGCATTTAAAGCAATGCCTGTTTTGGCCCATAGGAATTTCTCCAGTAGGATTTCTATGGAACTGCCTCGTATCGTGTCAAATCAACGGTCCATCTAGCTTTATACTGCCTATTCTGACAAGAGCGATGCAGCCACTGGCCTGGAAAAGCATCCAAATGCCTTATCTTGGCTCTGCTCGTAGGAACTGGGAAGAAGCGCTGCCACCTCGGAACCGAGGCTCACCACACACACCTGCCCAGTTCCTTTCAGCACCTACGAAACACCCCTGTTGACTCTTTCCTTTTCTGTTTTTCTGGCAGTGATTAAGTGAACCACATCTAGCCACCCTTGGGGTTGCTGGGATCCCAGCTGCAACTATCGGAAGCTACTCTGACCCTGTGGGCAAGGATCTGAGCAGGATCCGTCTCCCAAAGAACTTGCATCTCCAAGGCTGGATGACTGACCTCAGAGAAGGGCTCCTGGGGTGTTCGGGGGGGGGGGGCAGGGAAGAGGGAACACCAGCATATTCCAGTGGTCCTTCGGCCTCTTTCCCTCCCTTGAGATGCCACACATAGACTCTTGAGCCAGGCCATCTAAGTCCTTTGCAGGAAACCCATGTGTGAACAAGCGCAGGCTTCCTGCTTCAGAGGCTGGTATCAGCCCATGGAGGGTGGTGCCCATCACATTGCTCCGGGGGTGGGGGGGAACAATGGTGCAGCCCCCACTCCCCCTTTCTCTGCATGTCACTCCTACACCTAGAGAGTGTTGGAAGATTTCAGCTTTTGAAAAGAAGGAGAGAGCCATGGCTAGGCCCGGTTCAGTTTCAGATCCACAGGGCACAAACCTGCACAAAATCTTCCCGTGCTTAATTCATGCATGGCTATGCACCTTTAGAAATAATTACTAGGGTCTGTTTAATGTACATGTCACAGAAGGTGAGGGCAGCCAATCTGTTTCTCCAGAACATGCACTCTCCTGCATCCCCTCCAGCCTCCTCCCTCCTCTGAGCTGTGCCATCACACCTACAAGTCCGCTCTTTCAGTTCCAGGATGTCGTTGTTGGCGCAGGCCAGTTCCCGTATGAGCTGCCCGTCATCCTCATCCTTCGCCAGCCAGCGGTCACACTGGAAGCGGAACATCTTGTCCATGATGGAGTCCTCCACATCAATGTATTCCAGGTGCCAGCCGGGGGCGATTCCTGTGCAAAGAGAGCATCTCATTGTGTGAGAAGATAAAGGGGCCACCTGGAGCCCAGGGTGGGCTTCAACAGACGGAGAGGTGAGACAACCGTTGCCTTGGCAGGGCTGCAAACTGTGGCTGACGCTCAGGCCCGCCTAACCACAGAGGTGGACGCGCATGCTGGGGGCACGCAGGCATGAAGGGGAGGACCGCCTCCAGCTGCATAAGCGTCTAAAATGAGAGCCGGTGCCTGCAGTTTTGAAGGAAGGGCACAGCAGCACCTTGTTCGTTCGTTCGTTCGTTCATTCAACTTACATGCTGCCCCACTAGCCCTAGGCTCTCCGGGAGGCTTACGGTGTGGTCAGCTCTTAGGAGCTTGTCAGCTGGGTAACACCCCTCTCTGCTCTAGGAGCAGGAGCAGGGTTCAAACCGCTGCCATACACACCAAGTCCAGCTCTGGCCACGCCACATGGCAGCGTTTGGTGGACACGTGGTGGAGGGGAAGAGAACTGAGCCAGCTGCCCCCTTCCTCCCCTCCTCTTGCTCAGCCAAACGCACGCACCCCTGCATGCAGCCACGTGCCGGTGGACTCCATCCATGCAGTCAAGGACCCGGCCCCTTCGCAGGCTCCCGATCGCATGGAGAAAGCTCACTGTGACTCATGCATAGGTTCTGCTCTGAGCTGTGGAGGATGGTTGGGGTGGAGAGTCCTGGTCAACACACTCACACACACCTCTGGTGAAGCAGTAAAAAGGACTCCAGTTCTAAACAAACACACACAATCAACACATGCAAATTAGGGGGTAACTTTAGCTCAGGGGTAGAGCACATGGTTTGCAGACCAAAAGTTCCCAATTCAGCCCACAGCGTCTCTGGGTAAGTTTGGCCCAATTTTCTCCCCGAAACTTGGCAGTGTACACTACTGGGCTAAACAGGCAGCTGGACAGGTCAAAATTCTGGCACAGAATGAGGCATTTTCTTGCATTGGTATTTTGCTCAGGACCCTGAGGACTAGAACCTTACTTTTGTGTTTAGGGGAAAACCATAGTTTTGTGGTAGAACCACTTCCAGTCAGCTAGATCACCCGAAGATATGACTCTGGTTAAGGCGGCTTCCAATTGCCCTAAAGTCATTCATTCATTTCCTGGGAAACGCAAGGTGAAAAGCTCATTTCTCCACCTGAGACCCCACAGAGCTGCTGCCTGCCAGAGCGGCCACGACTGAGTTGCTGGTGGACAGAATAACTTGACCGGGTATCAAAGGGCATCTCTGTCCAGTTGTGGCTTTGCTGGCCCTTGTTCGTGCATTCAGCGAGGGCTAAGCCAGGGGAGCGGCAGTGGGGGAGACGGGAACATTCGGTCTGCGTGCAGGGCTGGGCGGGGAGTATGGGGCCTGCCCTGCTTTTAGCTGCGCTACCTCTTCTCGCATGCATGCCTGGCACATGGAAACACCACCCTGTTTTTTGGATGAGTTCCCTGCCCCGTCTCATGGCTCAGCAGCAACCAGAAAAAAGGGAGTGGGGTGAGGGAGCATCCAGCAAGAGCTTCCTTTCCAGCCGCTCCCTAATTAAGCCTGGCGCTCCAGAAGGCAGCGTATTGTTAGGGGATCACTCAGGACAGCCATTTGCGTGCTCTGGAAGACACCAGGCCAAGGCAGGGGACTGGACGGCTGCTTCTCGGTTGTGGCTTGAGGAGGAGAGGGGATAGGGGAGGCCCTGTGGGCTGGAGGCGAGCCCGCTCTCCCCGTCTGGAACACACTCCTGGGCTCATCACAGCCGGGACAGGAGCAGATCGAAAAGCGGGTCTCTTGGCACAAGTGCGAAGCCACATGGGCCAGTGGCTGTTCCCTTGCCGCATCTGTGCATGTACCAGGCTTGAATTACAAGGGGAAACCGTGCACTCTCTGGGATGCCCTGTCCACCATCTCCACACAAACCGCCAGCCTCTCTCCCCTTATTGGCTCTTTCCGTAAGACGCAGAGCCTCGCATGTGGTGGCCCCTCACCAGAGAGGAGCGGCTCCCCTGATCCTCTGAGTTGCTCTCTCCAGCACTGGAGAGGCAAGCCTGGGACCGAGCCCAGGGGCTCTGGCATACGAAGCCTGTGCTGCCCTTGTGTTCCGGCCCAGGTGGGACTTGCTTCAGGGGAAAAACTTTCAGGATGGCGACGTTCATGTGAAATGCTTCCATTTCTCTTTCAGAAATCTGACCTGGGAAAAGAGTCAACCCCTTCTTCCTCACAACTGTGCCCCATTTTCCTTCCTCTACAATATATTTTTCCTCCCTCCCTCCCATATATTTCTCTGGTGTTATCAATGCTTAAATTGTCAGTTTTCAGAAAGTATCAAAAAGAGGGGAGGGGAGGGAGGGGAGGGGCTGGGGGAAGAAGAAAGAGAGAGAGAGAGAGAGAGAGAGAGAGAGAGAGAGAGAGAGAGAGAGAATTTGACCCCTTTGATGCTCAAAGCCTTAAAGCGAACCACACCATCCGTCCATCCATGCATCTGACCTTTGTTGTCATGCCAGATGCGCACTTTGCAGAGGTCCCCGAGACTGAGCACATCAGAGAAATAGAAGACATCCAGGTGGTTCCTCTCAAACTTGTTGGTCCTGTTGGATTCCTTCAGAGCCAAAATACCGGTGTCCCCACTCTCGCCAAATATGCTTATGAAGACGTTGGCATCTGTTCCAGCCCCTGCGGAGAGACGGGGAGAATACAGCATTGTGGAGCAGCGGAACGGCCCGGGACAATGCACAGGAATGAGGGCAGCACCTTGCTGGCCCACCTAGCTCAATAGAGTTTAACACTGGCTGGCAGCAACCCTCCTGCACTGAGCAAAGAGAGCATCAGAGACTATGGGTCAGATGGAGAGAAAAATAGGGTGCTGTCCAATTTGATGATCCTGTTAGCCAGAGAGGCAACCCAGTGGGAAGATCCACCTTGAGGGTGGGTCATGGTGGGCCACTCAGCTTGAATCAGGAGGGTCCCAGCCACCCTAACAGTTTTCTTTCGTGAAATGGACCTTGTACGCTGTAAAGTCCTCACTGCAAGATCTGCTCTGAAGCCTGAAACCGTGCAGCCCTGTCCGTAACACTGGCATAATAAAAGACATTTGACTGGCCCTCCAAGTTCCTGGCACATCTGCACAGAGAGACAGAGGCGGCATCCAACCGACAATGGCCAAGTGCCCTGTGGTGCTACTCTGTGGGACCGAACCATTAATGGGCACCCTGTCCTGCTTCCCCTTTTTACGGCTTGTGGACTGGACAGCTCTTCAGCTAGAGAATTATTGTAAGCCACCCCGAGATGCTAGTGGGGACAGAGTAGAACAGCTTTTAATAAATAAAATAAAACAAACATAAATTATCTGTAGAATGCATGGCCACCGTCTTGTTCATGCACTGGGAAGGAAAGAGCCGATGGAATCCACCAGCTTCCTTGACTTGGCCTCCAACTCAAGCTGGATGATGCTTCCTATAGTTATCCAAAGCCGGAAGCACTAGGGATGGGGATGAGCACATCTCCCTGCTCATCCTCTTCCATGTAGTTTGAGCACTATTTGTGCAGAATCCACGTTTTGCTCGCCTTGGCAGGATGGAAGAATTTCTGGGAGGAAACGCCTCGCCTGGAGGGCTCTCAGCTTGCATTGGCCTGAGTTCCGCTCACCTGCCTGCTCGCTTTGGGGCCCTACTCTACCTACTCAGTCAGAACACTTGCAGACTAGCAGATTGAGATGACTGCACTGCGTCTCTGCAGGGGGTGTCCTCTCCGGTCAAAAGCAATCCCATAAAGGAAATCCAGCACTTACTCATGAGGAAATGCGCATGCAAAAGCACATGTTCGGCCATGTGAAGGGCTGAAAGATGCAGAAGTGGGTCCTGAAATAGAGGCACATTCTGAGCTGAGGTGCAAGCACAGCTGCATGCAGATGGAAACGGCTTCTCTGAAAGGGGGCTGCACTTTTCATTTGCCCCCTTGAGAAAAGCTTAAGAAGGAAGTAAAGTGGCAGGAATTCAAGTGATTTGCCTGGCAGTGCCTTTCACGGCCCTGATGTTTGCAGAGGGTGACAAACAAAACTTCATAAAGTCTGCTTTTCTGCTACTCGGGAGCAGGGTCCCAGTTAATCAAAGGCTTTGAAAGGCACAGGCTGCACCACTTCTTAGCAAAGCCTCCCTAGCTGGATGGAGCATGTGAAAGCCACATGCCGTGCTGTATACTTCGGGTAGCAATTAGGCTGGGACAAGAAAGAAAAGAGCCGAAATAGTCAAATGAAGTGTACACACTGGCTCTGCCCCTCCCTGCTCAGACTCTCCACTGAGTCTTCCACTGGGTTGCAAACCGCCCCCACAATAATATATGATCAGGAGCTGCTCCGGTGTTGATATATTTCATGGGGAAATTCCTAGAAAACCAAGGGGAAAATTAGCAGAGTGAGTGACCAGTGTGGAGGCAGGGCTCTTTGCAGGCACCGGCCCCATTCGGATCTTTCCATGCCAGACCCTTGTGCATCCAGCCTCCCCAAACCTGGCAACCTTCACATGCATTGACTGCGATTCTATAATTCCCAGCTATGCTGGGCCCAACTGGGCCCATTTCTCTCAAAATGCAGCATCCCAAGGTGGTTATTCCAGGCTCTGAATCTGAACTGGAAGAAGAGGCAGGTTCAGAATGCTTAGCTGTAATGCAGGATAACAAGCACTGAAATAAGCCAAGTGGCTTGTGAGAACTAGACTGCCTTTGCTTTGCAGGGAGACATGTTGAAACTGGAAGGATTCAAGGAGGAGAGGCATGACTATCAGCCCAGTGCTTAGACATCAAGCCAAATGAGCAGACCAATTAGGTAACCTACACTGTTGCCAATGTCTGGCCCAGAGACAATGGAAACCTCCCTGAGGGTGGAGCCAGCCCTGTTTGGTGGGGAAGGGTGGAGGGAGATTCAGTGTGGAATCAGGTCCCGGTATGGGCAAGACTAACTGCACAATTAGAAACTTTTACATCCATCCAGTTTGTGAGTGGGAATCCACTGGATTTCCTCAGCTCGGCTCCCTGGACTCCAGCCTGCTTTCTTGCGTCTCTGAATCTGCCTCACACCAAACATTTGCATAGGTGTGTGGCAGGAAGCAGGTTCAAGTGGAGTTCTGCTTCCATACACATGACTTGTACATTATGCACAAAGAATTCCATACTTTCCCTATTTTGCACAAAGATTACGCACACTGTGTACTTTGTACAAAGAAGCTGCTCGCATGCACAGACTTGATTGCAACTCTGCAAACCTCCTGGCTAAGGCTGAGTGTGGGAAAGAAGTCCAGGGAGTGCAGGAGAGCCAGATTCTGGCCTGATCTTCACATCGCTGGGGCCAGCCCTTCTTACCAGCTATCAGCACCAGTACAGGCATGTGGCAGCTTCAGCTTTTGGCTGCTAATTCAGGACAGTCCTCCTCTCCCTGTGAGTGCATGCACATGTCTAGTATCTCTCCCAGGCACATTCCAGGCCCTGTAAAGATAGCTACAGAGAGCGCCAGAGAGCTGAGGAACAGCATTAGCATCTTCAGCTGTTGCATCCCTGCCCTGCTTGTCCATGGCCTGATCCAGCATGGCTTTTCTTGTGCCCTTGCCTCAAGCAACTCCTGGCTTCTCCCCAGTCAGGAATGGGTTGCTTGCTCCGCACTTGCCACCATTACAAGCCATTGTAAACTGCTTGGGGATCCTTCTTGTTGAAGAGGAGGTTGAATACATTATAGTGCAGCTGACAATCTGGGGCACTGCAAAACCTTGCTGGATGGTGGGAAAAGGGAACTGTTTGGGGCTGGTATGCCTGAAAACGTCCCCAGATTGGTCTTGGGGCTAGGCCACTTCACTTCCCTTGTGCCGCCACGCGCAACGCATAAATCAGACCCTGTCTCAGTGACCTGTGACACACCCATCAAGTGAGTCCCAGGCCTGGAAGCATCTCTGGCTGAGGTCCGGCTGCACGGACGGCCACATAACCCGATCAAAAACGAGATTGCCCCATTCATTCTCTGACCTGTCCCTCCTTCTTCCCTGCACTGACCCTCTTGGCTCATAACAAGATAAAACTCACCATCACCCTTCATTTCCTGGAAGAGATGCATTTGCTGGTGCTGACAGCCAACTGTTCAACCCTTTCCCTTGACCTTTGGAAACCGAAGCCAAGTTTCACGCAACCAAGATCTCATATTGGGATAATAAGAGTTCTGCCTGAACAAATGCTGAGCTCACCAAGACAACACCCATGTTGTATTGTTTACAGGTTTGCATCTGTAAGATTCCAGTACTTCAGAGCAGCCAAGCAAAAGCAGGCCGGATATGAACTAGGAATGGAGAAATCTGTCAATCTGTTTCTCTCCATTTCTCAGTTTTCCAGTCCAGAGTTTGGTTCATGCTGAACTTGGAGAAGTTTTGAAAGTTCACATGAGGTTCTGCATGCATTTTTATGTGCATTTCACTTAATCCATGCATTACATTTACTCAAGCCGTGATCACACGACCATGCATGTGTAACATTCTTTTCTCTAACATACAGATTTCTTTAAGCATCTGTGATGGCAGGACTCTACTGCACAATTCAAACAAGTGCAAATTGCAGAAGGCACCTGAGCTTCACTTTGCATATTGCTTCAAACTTCCAGAATCAGGTATGTTTGCATGAAAAATACAGCCCAGACCAATTTTTCCCTGTGCTAAGTGTTGGCCCACTGCATGGCTGGGAAAGTGCTGGGCCCTCAAAGGATCCGTTGCAACTCGTGTCCAGCTCTATGTCAGGAAGCACTTTGCCATCTGCAGCCAGGTTCTCATTCTGTTACTGGTCTTGCTTGCTCAAGGCTCTGATAAAATATACTTAGAAAAATAGAAGAATGCTGAAAGTAAGGGGCAGATTTAGATGCACACACACTGCACCCAAAAATCAGAGTGAGATCAGTGGGAGAGGCCCTTCTTCGGGGACCCTCCGTGAAAGAAATTAGGAGGGTAGGTACTCGGAGGAGGGCTTTCTCTGCGGTGGCGCCCAATCTATGGAATGCGCTCCCCAGAAAGGTCTGCCTGGCGCCGTCGTTATTTGTTTTTCGGTGCCAGGCAAAGACCTTTTTATTCAAACTTTATTTATTTATTTGTTTGTTTGTTTGTTTATTTATTTATTTATGGCCAGGTCAACTCAAATAATATTGTTTTTATATTGTATTTATTTATTATTGTGAGCTGCCCCGAGGCTTCGGCGAATGGGGCGGCATAGAAGCCTCCTAAATAAATAAATAATAAATAACATAAATAAAGCTGCACAAGCAGGGAGGAAAACTTCAGGGGTCATGTCATTTCAGTTCTATGCTCTCAGGAACATGGTAAGTTGTCCTCTGTTGAGACAGAGCAAGCATTCCTCAAGGTCAAGTTTGTGACTAACACTTCATGGGAGCTGCATAGCTTGCAGCCGTGATGTCCCTTCTCCTTTACTCTCCTGTAAGCACACAGGGCCCCTCTTCCCCCATCAATCTTTCCTTCCCAAATTACTCCTCCAATCTGTGGGAGGGGCTAGGAAAAAAAGCAAGTCTGTGTTCTTGTCAACCAATTATTTTTTCAGGAAGCAAATGCTGTGTGTGGTTAATCTCCCCCTCCCTGTGTACAGTGTTCCCCGACTTTAAAAAAAAAAAGGCAGACATTGTTTATTAGGGCAAAATAAATTTCAGAATTCAAGCATTGGGATTCCAGAGCAAGAGAGATCTATTTGTCCATCTCCAGTAAGAAATCACAATTCCACCCTCTTTTGTAAGGTTAAATTAAATGCCAACCAGTTCTTCTGCCTGCACAGAGATGTGGTCCTCCTCCCAGCGCATGGATGGCTTTTGGAGTGAAGCAAAAACCAGGTTTCAATCTGGGGCATTGAGATGTTCCAAAGAGAACTGCAGATCCTGAAGCTATTTCCAGTTTCTCTTTAAGCAAAATGTTACGTTTCCATTTCTGGCTGAATAGCTCAGGAAGCCAAAAGAATTCAAATAAATGTTCTGAAATACTTCCCTGGGGTTTTGCATTTTCCAAAGAACTGTCTAAGAACATAGACAGACACACTGCGCTGTCAGCTCTGCCACAGGTTCCTTGGCGTATCATCCCGGCAGGAATGGAGGAGGAGGCTATCGGGCTACTAGCCTTGCTGGCCACGGGCTGCCTCCATTACCAGAGGAAGCTTGCCTGATACACCAGCTGGGCAGGTGCAGGTCTTGTACCCCTGCCACCTGAAGCTGGCCAGGTGATGATCAGAGAGAGGGCTTTCCAGAAGAAGCATCCTACCTATGGGGCACCCTCTGCATGCCAGCCGTTTGCCGTGGGTCCATTCAGCACCAGACAAAGTGCCTTGTTTTTCGTTTTGACTTTCCTCTGGCCTGGAGTGCTTTCTTTACCACTCTTTGAATGGTTCAGCCTGCTGACACGCATACCCTTTTAAAGTCAGCTTGCTGTTTTCGTTGTTAATTTGTTGCATTTCATTGTTTTGTCTTATAATTGTGAAGCACTTTGAGAGTTCTAATTAAGGCTGGAATATTTAATTATATAAGTATATAAAAAGAATGCTAGCTATATAAAAACCTCTGCAATAATTTTGTTTACATCTTACAACACATATTGCAGTTGGAGATATGAACTGGGAATTGAACTATGGATTAAGGACTTCAGTTCCTTTTAGAGGTGAACATCCCAGTGCAAAGATGATATTCAGCCCTTTGCTTCTGTATTTTATGCGCATAACTTTCATTCCACTGAGGTCAATAAAGCTATGCCAGTCTAAGCAATCTGTGCAAATCCCACTGCAAGAGTTGATACCCAAATGTCACACAATTAATACCCAAGTATTACATAGGCATTTGAAAATATTTTGGAAATAGCTTTCTTTCCCTGACACATTCTCCCAATTGTCCCTGAAGCATTGTCTCTAACATTAGAGAAAAATACAGGCTGGGCAAAATTAAAGAAAAATACAAATCTTTCTTTCTAGTGAATCAGCTCATTTCAGCTTCTGATTTCATACTGTGCATAACAACGTATGATGTTGATCCTTGTGAAGATGGTAGGGAAATGCGAAAAAGTTTTAAAACGCAATTCATTCTGTCGCATGTTCAAAAGGAAGAAGAGTAAACTAATCCTTCAGCAACAACACAATTACTACTGAGGGTCTTCTAAGTTGGGGAAGGCAATCTGGGGCTGTCCAGATGTTTTGGACTCCCCCTATAAACCCCAATCAGCACGGCCAATTATCAGAGATTATGTGGATTGTAGTACAAAGCTACATGAGGTTGGCTAATCAGGTTCTAAGCCTTTCAAGAATTAACTTAACTCATTTATTTATTTATTAAACTTATATTCCGCTTCCAACAGTCCAACAAGCCACTTTATTCAAGCATGCACCATGCTAAGATACGATGTATTTCAAATGCAAAGCTTTAATTCACCACTTTCTCTTTGGCCTGAGTTTAATTGTGCTTCCACTGGGAAGTTCTAAAAAGTGCAGCCCAGTTCCTCACTAAAAGCTCTTCCAGTGCAAGTAACTGGGCACCTATATATTTGTGCCTTTGCAGCCGTCTGCATGAGCGGAGGAGGCATTCTGGGTTGAGCTCTCGTGAGATCCTGGCCCAGCCCTCTCTCCTCCTGAGCTGCAAGAAGAGAGTCGACAGGCTGGCGGCCCTGGGAGAGCTCGCCTCGGCCTGCCTGCGTCATCACCAGGATGCGGCAAGGGGGCCACACGCAGCCCACAGGTTGCATGCTGGACCCCCCGGCTTGGTTCCTTGCAGGTTAGACAGTCCAGCCGTTGATCCAGGGAGCTTTGGCTATGGGGCAGTATATAAATGAAATCATCATCAACAAAAAGCCATGGCTTGGCCACTGTTTAGCCCCTGAGCAACCCAGAACTCTCCATTTGAACAACAATCACACTGAAGGGAAGTGTGCTTAGAAAGTAAAAAAATCAAACATCATTTTGAATGTTGGTCCGGGTTTGCACAGTGCATTAATAGCACAGTCCTATGCATGTTTAGGCAGAAGAAGTCTTACGATTCCCAGCATTCCCCAAGCAGCTTACAAGGGGATGCTGGGTGCTGAAGGACCTTAGGATGCATTCTGGGTAACCTACAATGGAGCCAGTCAAGGGTTGCTCAGGAAAACTGAAGTGTGGCCTGCTATGGCAGCAGGTTGGCTCTCCGCTACTCTGGCGGGTGTCCCGAGGAGCAGGATATTGTCCTGCTTGCCAGCTATGGAAAAATCTGCTGGGGAACATCCAAAATGCGACTTTGCTAGCACTGGGTTCCACAAACATGAGCGTACCTCCAATGTCGCTCGTCTTGACCTGGATGGTATATGTCGTGTATTCCATCATCTGCTCCTCGTCGATAACCGCCGGCATCTCCCACTCCAGGGTGCGGTTGTCGCCCCACTGCTTCGAGAGCCAGTCATCGTACGTGAACGTGGTCACCTCCTGAGTCGTCCGGTTCTTCATGATGATCTAGAAAAAAGTCCAGCCGTGGAAGGGACTGTACCTGAATTCTGCACGAGGCACTTCAGTGGCCCTGAAGCAAGCCCTGATGGACTGCGGGGGTCTTGTACTTGCCGTAGCCCAAGTGATCAAGTGACATACAGAAACTAAACGTGCATTCGCTTGTTCATATTATGGCCAATGCCCAAAGTTCTCTGGGTGGTTGGCAGTACCAAGGTGAAACAATACGAAGTAGAAGAATAAATAGACGCTCTGCAACAGCATAAGCCCAGCACTTAAATTTAAAAGTCGTGCGGACCTATGGAAAGCCACAAAGTACCAGCACTGGAGGGAAGCCATGGAGGAGTTAGAACCTGGTTCTGATGAAAGTTGGGAAGAATGGAGGTCGTTGAATAGACAGAGTACAAGTACAGCAAGATCCAGAGTTGCTTGGAACAAATGGGTTTTTTAGAGGCTTCCGTCCTTTGTGATTGCAGTGATATGTGGACCAACACACAGGAAGAGCTGCCCTTTGTTTCCTGATCAGTGCTCATCGGAGGACCTTCTGGCAGTGCGGCAGAACGTAATTAACGTCACTAGCCTCAGGGCTAGATATGTTTAAGTGTGGCATGTTTTAATTTTATTTTTACATTCCAAATTTCTTGCTTCAGAATATGCCTTATTTTAACTTGATGCTTCTCCCATGAATAATGGAAGAAAGTTCCCAGCACTGGCATGCAAGCAGCTGCAGAAGTGAGCGTCCGTGTGAGCTCTGGCCGGAGCGATCTGAGAGTCCCAGGAAAGTGCGTGGGGCTCCCTCCGCCTCCCCTCCCACAGCCCAGGGCCACCATCTCCCCTGCTGCTCCTCACAACCTGCTCGCAGCCGCCTGGCAGGGAATGGAAGGGGTGGCAACCTCTCGGCTACGAGGTCTCCATCGAGCAGGGTCAGCCCAACGGGGTTGTGCCCTAAAAGTGGGCTTGTGCCCTGAAGGAGCACCTCTTCCCTTACGGGCTGGACATGCACATGGTGGGCATGTCGTGAGAGGAGCTGGCAGGAGCCGGGGGTCAGACTAGATGGCCCAGGAGACCCCTTCTGACTCGCTCTGTTTCTATGTCTCTATGCCCTCACGCCCCTTAAGATCTGCGGGAGAGGCTTTGCTCCAGGAGCCCTCTTTAAAGGAGACAAAAAGAACAACTACCTGGAGCAGGGCCTTCTCTGCGGTGGCACCCAGATTATGGAATGCACTCCCTGGAGAGGTGTGCCTGGCTCCAAGTCTATATTCTTTTCAGCGCCAGGTTAAAACCATTTTATTTGATGGCTATTTTAAAAATTAATTTTATCGTTAACATTCGCTTTTTGTTTTATGTTTTTATATAATTTTACTATACTTGTTACTGTTTCACTGTTTTAATTCTACATTGTAAGCCATCCTGAGATGCCGAGGCATGTGGTGATGGCATATAAAAGTTTTAAATAATAAAAAATAACAATAACGATACAAAATAAATAATAAAACCCACAAAAGATTGTAAGGTTGATGGCTCCTGGGCAAGCAAAAGGCTCTTCAGCCAATGCTGAAAGGAAGCTGGCACAGGTGTGCCCCGCAAGCCTCTCAGGAGGAGTGGAGTGTGGCAGGAAATGGCATTGGCAAAGCTGGCCCACGACTTCTGGCCACCCGAAGCAAAGAACAACCGCTTCCCGGTTCCTTGATGCAGGGATGGATCTGTGTCCTCTGCTGCTTGGAAGGGGCAGGTGGGCTCCGTGGCTCACAGGTCTTTCCTCCAACTCCTTGCTGTCTTTTCCCACAAATCACTGCCTGAGAAAACCGTCTCAGTCTACATTACAGTGGAGCTGGCCCAGAGTTCCATACATTGAAAAAGAGGATTTCTTTCTGGGCAGGCTGCCAGGCCAAGGAAAGCTTTCAGGCTGGACAGGAGGGAGATATTGGCCTGGTCAATGGGCCCCAGTTCTGAGACCTTTTCCCACAAAGCTGCCAAGCACGGCAGCAAGGCAAGCTTATCTGCTTGTCTAGCACTCCAAGTCCACTGCGGTGCGAGCTGAGATATTTGCCTAAACACCTCCTCATGCTGGACATGGTCCACCCATTTTCCATTGGTTTCCCTGGTCAGCTGTTTACAAAAGGAAAAAGGAATTAAAAATACTCTTTGATTGTCATTTTGCTGGAACAGGAGTAACTCGGGATACTATGTGCCTATCTACACAGCCACAAATGGTTAATTACAGGGCTGATGGCTTAATTTGCCTTCTCATTTTGTCTACTTAGCACTGACAGGGCACCATCTGTCTAACATCCCAGCTCTACCCCCACAAGGACCCCCGTATGTTCTTTCTTATGTGCACCACCGACAGAAACGGAGGTGAGCTCGATCAGTCTTCACACCATGCTGACGCCTCATTGAGGAACCCGTTGAGGGCTCCTTGCTACTGGAAGGGGTACATCACCCCTGTCTGCGTGCCCTGGAACGGTGGCAGCAGGGGGAATCGTCCTTCCGTGGCGAGCAAAGCCACGTTCCCTGAAGAGGGAGGGTAGCATAATCACAACCCAAATACATTCTGCAGTTTTGGAAAATGCACCTAGATCATCTCAGCTTGCACGTTATCTATCCATCCATCCATCCATCCAATTTTGCAGAACTTTTTCGCTTCTGGTGGTGGGGAAGGAGATACGGCTAATGCCAGCCCCAGCTTTTGATGACCCTTGGATGAGGCAGCCCCAAGCAAGCCCTTCCTTCTTTCACTCATCTTTGCTACCATGTTTGCTTGCTGAGCAGGAAGCAAGCGGCCCGTGGTGCCGACCACTCCACTCCTCACGTCCGCTGCCACCATGGTCAGAGCTGAAAGATCTAGAAACATTGCAAAATAGGTCTGTCTATATTTTGCAGATTGCCGGGCAGCTCTTTTTCTGTCGTCTGCTCGCCAACAAAAGCTGATTTTGTGCATTGGCACAAATTCAGAATTGAGCAAAGTTGCACTTATGAAAACACACAGATTCCTCCGAAATATGAAAATCCCCCCAACCGCATATTTTCATGGTTTAGCCCGGGGGAGAAATACACATTTTTTTAATGCTTGTGCATTTTGTGATGTCTATATTTGCATAAAGTTAAAAAAACCTGGCCTCACATTCACAGAAAGTACATGACTTGGAAAAGGCCATTCTGCTGCAGAATCTGCAGGGCAGGTTCTTAAAAAAGCAAATGCATTTGAGCCTGCTGCAGATTTCTCTGACAGCTCAGTCAGGGACGGAGCAAGGGGCCAAGCTGCAATGCTCAAGGTGAGGGGCAGGACCAGGCGACTCCTGTCTGTGGGCCCTGCTGGGCTGTGGGAGCTGGTCAGCTGCCTGGGCGGGTCTACCATGGATGCCGGGGAGCATGGGTATGGGACCAAGCCATGACTCCTCCTGCTGCTCCTTCTCCCCACCACCTGAGCCTGGGCCAACGAGACAGGCTGGAGAACAAGCAGGTTGCAACGATGAAGAGCTTACTCTTCCCGGAGGGCCCTACTGGTTGTGGCCCCTTGGCAGCTGCCCCAACGTGCTGCTGCTGGCTGCATACCTTCTTCGGCTCCCCCGCCATTCAAGTGAACCAGAGAGGCCGACTTGCATGCAGTGCAGGGATCGTGACGTTCAATGCAAACTCTAGGTTTTGTTGAGCTTTGGGCAGTATGTTCTTGGTGGTGGGCCTTCACTGAGGAGGATGGGCAGCAACAGGAAGGAGGAGGAAGAGGAAGGAGAGAAGGACAACCAGAAGGCCCAAGAATCAGCAATGGACTGCAAGTAGGGGGGTGGGCCTGTGCAGATGCTCAGCTATGCAGACCCAGAGCCCTCCCCGGAGGCGTCTGCTGCGTCCAGCTGCACATGGAGGGCATGCATAGCTAGTGGATCCGTGCACTGACTCCTGCAGCTCCACTGAGTGGAACCAGAGCCCTCTGTCTCTCCTCAGACCATGACCGTCTCCTTCAGCAGTGATCGTGTGTGCATGCATCTCCTGCTACTGAAAAGCCAGTGGGACTTTGGCCAGCATGCAGGATGGTGGCTTCTTCTGGCCTATGTCTTACAGTGGCCATGCATACTGTTTTACAGAAGACATACAATAATACGAATGTAGAGTTAAAAGTGGCCAGAGGGCCACCAGGTCCAGCCCCCTGCTCAGTGCAGGACAGCAAGCTAAAGCATTCCTCTCAGCTGGATCTCCAGTTGGATCTTGAGTGTCTCCCGTGTGGGAGAGCCCACAGCCTCCCTAAGTAATTGGCTGCATCGTCGTATATCTAGCCAGAATCTGGCTTCATGTAACCTGAACCCATTATTCCTTGTCCTGCGCTCTGGGATGGTTGAGAAGAAATCCTGGCCTTCCTCTTTATGACAGCCTTCCAAGTACTTGGAAAGTGCTATCATATCTCCCCTCAGTCTTCTCTTCTCAAGGATACACATGCCCAGTTCTTCCCATCTCTCCTCACAGGACTTTGTTTCCAGTCCTCTCATCACCCTTGCTGCCCTCCTCTGACCCCTTTCCAGCTTGCCTGTGTCTTTCATCCACTGTAGTGCCCAGAACTGGACACAATACTCCAGATGAAGCCTAACCAGTGCTAAGTAAAGGGGAACTAGCACTTCATGTGATTTGGAAGTGATCCTTCCATTAACGCAGCCTAAAATAGCATCTGCCCTTTTTGCAGCCACATCACATGACTCCTATTAAGCTTGTGATCTGCAACAATTCCAAGATCCTTCTCACTCGCAGTATTGCTGAGCCGAGTGTTCCTCCTCTTGCAACGATGCCTCTAGTTTCTTCTTCCTAGGTGCAGAACCTGTCATTTGTTCCTATTGAATTTCATTCTGTTGTTTTCAACCCGGTGCTCCAACCTGTCACGGTCACCTTGAATCTTGTTTCTGTCTTGCAGGGCATTAGCTCTCCCACCCAGTTGGATCTCATCTGCACATCTGAACATTATTCCCTGCACTTCCTCATCCAAATCATTATTAAACATGTTGAAGAACTCTGGGCCCAGGACTGGACCCTGCGGGACCCCACTTGCTACCTCTCCCCAGTCCGAGAAGGTGCCGTTGATGAGCACTCCTTGAGTCCCGTTCTGTCGCCAACTGTGGATCCACCTGATGGTTGTTCCATCAAGCCCAATTTAGCTACTTTGCTAATCAGGAGATCATGGGGCACTTTGTCCAAAGCTTTGCTAAAGTCAAGATAGATTATGGCCACAGCATTCCCACAGTCCATCAGGGAGGTTACTCAATTAAAAAAAAAATCAGATTGGACTGGCAGGATTTGTTCTTGAGAAATCCATGTTGGCTTCTAGGAATCACTGCATTGTCTTCAAGGTGTTTGCAGATGGACTGCTTTATAATCTGCTCCAGAGTTTTCCCAGGGAAAGATGTCAGACTGACTGCTCTGTGGTTCCCAGGTTCTTCCTTTTTCCTTTCTTGAAGATGGGGACAACATTAGACCGTCTCCAGACATCTGGCACTTCCCTTGTCCTCCATGATTTCTGAAAGTTAACAGACAGCAGTACTGAGAGTTCTTCTGCCAGCTCCTTTATAACTCTAGGATGGAGTTCATTGGGCCTTGGGGATTTGAACTCATTCAACCCAATTAGATGATCCTTGAGTATTTGCCTATCAATCTTGAACTTCCATCCTGCTCCAACAGCTTGTAGTTCTCCTTCTTTAGGAAGGTCGTAGATCTCTGTTTGGGAGAGGACTGAGCCAAAGTAGGAATCGAACGCTTTATTTTCTTTGTTGTAATTTTGCCATCTACATTGAATAACTGAGCTCCCATTTCTTTCCTCTTGTCTTTTACTTTGGACGTATCTGAAGAAGGCTTTTTTGTTGCTTTTAGCACCCCTTGCTAGCGTTCAGTCCATTCCTAGCTTCAGCCTTCCCGGTGCCATCCCTGCCTGCATTCTTCCTTTGTAGCCTAGCCTTCCTTCCACTTCCTATTCAGGTCATTTTTTGTTTTGAGATCATCTGTAAGCTTTTCGTGAAGAAGGGCTTCTTCTGTTGTCTTCCATCCTTTTTCCTTGTAGGAATTGCTTGTAATTTTGACTTTAGAATTTCCTTTTTAACAAATTCCCTCCCTCTCCTTTTCCCATTAGAGTCACTTGCCATGGGACTTTATTTATCATTGCTCTGAGTTTATTAGTAACTTGAAATTCAGGGTACATATTTGGCTGCATTTGGCGTTTGCTTCCTTTAGCATCAAGAATTCAAGTATGGCACAGTCACTTCCCCCCAGAGATCCTGTAGCTGCCTCTTTGTCCACTTTGTCCCCTGTTGGTTGGTATCAGGTCAAAGATAGCTGTTCTTCTTGTTCCTTTCTCCACTTTCTGTGAGTGGAAGTTATAAGCAACAAATGTTAGGAATGTCCTGGAGGGGATGCGTTTGGCAGAATTTGTCTCCTAACAGATATCGGGGAAATTGAAGTGCTTGTAACAGTAGCATCAGGCCTCCTTGCAGGGCTATCAGAAGACAGTGCGCTATTTGGAAGGCATCTTCTTGTTTGGAGGGCTGGACTGTCCTCCAAGTCCAGGTTAAAGCTAACAAGCCACTGAAGAAGGAAGAGCACATGCCACTGGCAGAGTCTGCGCAACTGATGGGACGGGCGGGAACAGATCTTATTCCACAAGACAGTGATGGAGCCACATTTTTATTTAAAGTCTAGCTATTCTTTCCACATTTGCATCCATAAGTGACAATTAGCACATGCAAAGAGGGCTCCTCTTCTGTCCCCTTTTCTTTTCTTTTGATGTCGCATTTCCTTTTGTCACACGTGGCTGTCCTATTCTGTTACCTCAATTCCAGTCCCCGGAAGCCAAGCAGTCAGCAGTCACGCTTTCTGTTTATATGCCTGCCCTACTTATGTGTAACGTCCAAAGACCTGTGTGTGTGTGTGTGCGATTTTGATAGCTCCTTATTGCCAAGGGGAGTTGAATCTAGCCAGGTCTCTCACCTGGAGCTGCAGCCTCTTCATTTTCTCCACAATTGAGCTCTCATAGATGCAGCAGTACAGTGGCAAATTTGGAAGTCCTCATTGCATCCTCAGGAAGTCTTCTTACAGGAACTGCGGGCTACCGGGCTGGGTCATATCAAGAAACCAGCTCTGGGAGCTTTCATCTCCGTTCCTGAACAAGCCAGCTCACTGCAACAGGGGCCGGGAGATGGATGCTGGGGGCATCCATTTCTGCTCTGGCAAGGGTGAGGACTGCAGCTAAGCCCAAAGGGGGTGATGAGGTCGGATGCGGTGGCAGGTAATATTAGTACCCTGCTCATGGAAAGGTCCTGGTACTGCATCCCTGTGAGCCTGGCCCCTACTGCATCACTGCACAGCTTTCGTATCAGAAATGAGCAAGAGGCAGGTACAGCCAGAGGTGAGGACAAGGTTCTCCTCCCCTTGTTGGACACAGACCTCTTCCTGTAAGACTGCGAGGCCCACCTCCTGCACACAGTCAGGGTAGGGTCCCGGTCTCAGCCACAGCCCTTTTACCACTCTTGAGTGAAACTCAGAGGAAAGACATGGGTGCTAGTCACAGAACCGCAGGAACATCTGTTTTGGTCCCCAGCTTTGATGCTGCTCCCGTTATCCTCGCTGCCAAGGTCTTCGCTCCCTCTCCACAACATGCTGACTGCCACCGCCGTTTCCTACGTCTCTACGCACAGCATCCACGCTTTATGTTTGGTTTCAGGCTTTGCAGCATTTCTAACAACAGAAGATTTTCTTTCCTTTCCCTTCTCTATTACATTCTGACAGTTATGGCAAAGGCTTGAGATTAAGTATCAGAAACCACAGCTTTGACATGCAAAGGCCAGCTTGATTTTTTTAAAAATCATTTTACTAATTTAGATGCTGCATTTTTCCTACAAGGAACCCAAATCAGCTTACCTCATCTTCCTCCTCTCCTTTGACCTGCACAAGAGCAGGTCTCTGATATAGGCTCAGCTCAGAGTGTATGATGCGCCCGAAGTCACCCAGAGAGCTTCATGACCAAGTGGGACTAGAACCCAGATTTCCCGAGTCTTAGTCCAGCACTGTAACCACTATGCCACCCTGGTTTATTTTATTTTTCAACAGCTGGGTGTCTTAGGATGCAAGTCTGGACCAAACAAGGCTAGATGCCACAGTGCTCTTTCTGAACTTGCCAGAGGCTGCACTCTTAATTGTATTTAATTGTAACTGAGAACCAGTGTGGAGAGCCAGTGTGGTGTGGTTAAGAGCGCAGGTCTGGGACTCAGAGGATCCGGGTTCTAGTCCCCGCTCAGCCATGGAGCCAACTGGGGGACTTTGGGCCAGTCACAGACTCTCCGCCCACCCTACCTCACAAGGTTGTTGTGGGGATAAGATGGAGGAGGAGATGTAAGCTGCCTTGAGCCCTTTGTAGGAAAAAGGCAGGATATAAATCAAAAAATAAATAAAATAAATAAATATTAAAACACACACCAGAAAAGAGAGGTAGCAGAAAGAATTTGACTAGGAGGCTGCTAAAACTGTAACTGCTAAAAAAAATGTATGTGGAAAAAATTAACCAGAACTTCCTTGAAACTGTCCGTTTAAGAATCATGCATTCAAGACAAGCCACGCACCACCTGTGAGTACAGCATCCTCTCCAAGTCTGGCTCCTATTTTCCCCAAGGAACTCCTTCCACAAAAGAGGATTTGTAACGTATTGCAGGTGCAGTGGCAGCACGCCAGCGTTCCTTCCCCATAAAATCTAACAGCAGAGAGTCCGTTTGAGCAAAATTATAGGTTGCACTTGGCTTCCCTCACGGATCCCCTTGGTCTCGCCAGTTCTGCCAAGATAAGAAGCGGGGGGCTGGAGGAAACAGGATCAAATATGCAACCTTGCCAAGAACAAAGCGGACTCGTGACTATAAAACCTTGGGAGAGAAGCCCTCTGAAGGAGAACCAAAACTCTCGAACAGCCTTCCCCAGTTGGATCGCAACTCCCAGGATACCCATCCTGAAGGGCCATTGAGTGGGAATTCTGGGTTTGCAGTCCAGGCTTATCTGGAAGGCTGCTCTAGAAAAACATCATGATTTCTATGGTGTGCTGAAGCTGCTCTTGGGCCAGGGAAGCGACATGGTGATGAAGCCCTGCAAAGGCCTCCTCTGCACTGGAAGCTCCGTGTCATTGTCACATAGATTCCTCATACATGAACTTGTTACCACACCTTCTGGTAGCGAATTCCATAAATTTATTGGGCCCGATCCAGACTCAGCCATACATAGAGTTGACCCATTGAAACCAGTGCGACTCATGACTAAACTCAGCCTGATTGATTTCAGTGGATCTTTCAAGGATGCACAAATTTGCCACTTTCTGCTTTCCTGTTTCCCATTTTTCCAACCTTAAATTAGGGAACTATGTGAAAATCTGCAAAGTATCCCCCAGCCATGCAAAACAAGCAGCAGGCTTAAGGAACCTGCGCTCTACCTGTTCCAGAAACCAATCCGGGCGGCAACCACTCCCATCGGACCGTATCCTCATCTTCCGAAGGGGAGCAATGTCGGGAATCTCCATGATGAAAGTATCCCTTTGGCCAATCTCAAATCTGGAGGAATGAGAAATTTGCTCAGGATTGGTTATTGGCTTCACACAAGCAAGAGATTTGGACGGTCATTTGCACATCACTGAAAAAGAGACCAAAGAGGGCACCTATTTGCATAAACTTTGCATATGCTAATTCATGTGTATAGATGCAAAATTAGAAGCAGAGCAATTATGAAGATTTAAACAGAAATTATGGTTGGAGGGCTACTGCCTGCTCACTGCTGCTTTAATGTGCTGGGAATGAATTCCGCTTCTCAGGCATGAGAAGCCATCCCAGTGCTCTTCCATGGCTGCCCTTTCCGGCATCTCTCCAGGACAGATTTAGGACAGACAAAAGAAGCGCTTCTTCACACAGGATATGGAATGCGCTGCCGTGGGGGGTGGTGATGGCCGCCAATCTGGAGGGCTTTAGAAGGGGCCTGGGCAGACTCATGGCGGAGGACGCTACCTGTGGCGACCAGCCTCGCTGGCCATGGGCTGCCTCCTTCCCCAGAGGTGGGCTGCCTGCAAGGACCACTAGCTGGGCAGCTGGACAGGAGAAGATCTGGCACCCTCCCTGCTTGCCGGATCCTGTGGGCAGCTGACTCGCCACCCTGCGTACAGAGTCCTGGACTAGATGGACCTTGGATCCAACATGGCTTTTCCCGTGTTCTCACGTTTTTATGACATACTTTGGCCAAGCAGAAAACATGGTTCTTTCCCAGACTGTCAGATCAGTCCTGGTTCCAGGTTGACTCAGGGCTTGGTCCAGGTTCCACACAGACGGTCCCTTTTGGCTTCACGGCCTCTTTTTGTGTGTCTGACTGCACAACCAGCAACCTTCTCCTGCATCACATGCAGCAGAAATGGGACTCCACTTGCACGGTGCTTTTGCGTGTCTGATTCCAGGGGAGCACCTGTGTGAATGCTCGGCACAGTTGCCATGGTTGTGGGAAAGCAGGCTGGAATTCAGGGAGCAATGTCTGTGGAGTCAAGTGGATTTCTTACACAACACTACACACCCATCCGAGTCCAAAATTATCATCGGGACAGCACCGACTTTGCTCACAGTTCAGCTTCTGACACCTCCAGTGGCAGGGTAGCAGGGGATGATAGGGAAAGCTCCTTCTCTAAGAGGATTCTGGAGCACACCTTGATGGGCGGAAATTACTCCTGGTGGGATTCCATATAAGGCAGACTGTTGTTTATTTCTTCGTACCCCACCTTTCTATCAAAAGTAGCCTCAAGGCAGCTTTCATTGATATACACAGAGAATGAGGCCCAAAGTACCCTCTGGTCATGAGCAGGGCCAGAAACCAGAAACTGGGACAGACCAGTGGAAGCCATGAAACCCTGAGCTACTGTTGACCAGGTGTCCGCAGCAATCATGCTCACATCCCCCAGCACCAGCCAAGGAGACTCCTGCTCCAGCCTCCACGGTATCCATCTGGGCCGAACCATCTGGTATCTCGCTGGTCCTGCAAGCAGCTTCTTGGCTCGCATTCAGAGTTCACAACCATATGGGTTGTCAGCCTCCCTGCTGGTCCACAGCACCGATGAAAGAACACGCACCTCACACGCCTGGTTTGTCCAACAGGATATGATCCGCTAACGTGGGAGGTTGTGGCCTGTGAACCAGCACAGCCCTCGCAGGGTGGCTTCTTTTTCACTTTAGGGCTGCGGCTGCCCATGGCGCCTTGTCACGTTGTTCGAACCCATCAAGGCATTTTCTCCACGTCTTGCCAGATAACTGCCCCGTCACAGCAGCAAAAACACCTGCCATCTCTTACAATCCCGCTGGCGGCAGCACCACCCTCCCTCGCCCTTCTATCATCTGCCAGCTGTGTTTATATTTCCCGATTCCCCCCCCCCTTTGTTGCTGCTTTGCCATGACATGTATGCAAGTCTCCCAAGCCCCCCCACTACCTTTGACCCATATCAATAGGGTGACAGCTGGCAATGGGAGGAGGGGACAAGCAGGAAGGGGGGGGAGCCAAAAGCGACTGGAAGGAAGGCCTTTGGCCAGCAGGTGTTCCGACTTCGAAAGCATGCACTTTAGAGTGATGTGAAGAGGCCTTTTTTCTTTTAAAAGGATTTTGCAAAGTAGCCTCAGATTTAATACCTGCTCAGCGAGCATCAAAGTGGAAGGGGGGATCTGGGGGTGCTTGGCCAAGCGCTGGAGATCCACGGATGCTTTGCGAGTGGATGAGCTTACTTTAGGGGACATGAATTCCTATTTCAGCAAGGCTCCGCATCCCTTGCAGCTCTTATTCTGTGCTTTCTGAGCACTGTGCATGGTGCTGACCTCCGCCTCTGAAATAGGTTCATCACCACGGAGCATCATGGATAGCTCCTCCAAAGCTCACAATAAAAGCTGCCATGAATAAGCTGCCCGCTCAGGCAGGAATCGCCATTCTGCCCTGACTTTAGAACACACTGAAATGGCCCTTTAAAAAATGCGTAGCGAGGTAAGTGCTGAAGTGGCATTCAGGAACATGGGCATGCTTGGCTAAATATCAAAGAAGCAGAATTGCAGTAGTGAGCCCCGCAGAAGTGGTGAGTGGCTTATTACACGCATAAGGGCTCAGGAAATTAATTCAATCTGGCAAGCTGTGGTGGAGGTGGGGGGAAGCTCCCTCAGTAGTCCACCTCCTCGGTGGCACGTGGGAAGGGCAACTGGGCGAGGGACCAAGGCAATGGGGAATTCTGCAGCAGTGGCAGCTGGGATATGTGCCCGAGCCAGTGAGAGGGCTGAGGGGGAAAAGTGGGGAATGCAGCCAGCCCAGTCTTCGGTTGGGGGCGCCATGGAAGGTCCAGAGAGCAACGGACCCCAGTGGCTTTTTCACAAGGTGGCTTCGCACGACTCACAAACCCACCCACAGGTGACTGGCCTCAACAGATGGACTAGATGGTAATGGAAGGCTATGGGAATGTTAATGTATATGCACGAGAGAACATAAATCCGAATCTTAGACAAATAAGAGAAAAGGGGGAGACGCAGGGCAGACAAATGGCTTGGCACAGTGCCTTTGCTGGACATGGAGTCATTCCTCAAACAGAATTCATTGGGCATTCTTGTTGTCACAGCCACTTATCAATATTTGTGTTGCTGCGAGCTATTTTGCCTCTAACCGAAAGAAAATTAAATTGCCTAATTATCTGGGACAGTTAAGAAGATGTTTCTTTCCAATGCATAGATCACCTTGTATGGTATGTACTGTTACTTAAAGCAAGGGGAGATTTATAGCCACCCTCAGCTTCATGTCTAAGGGTGCATTCCAGCCGTTCTCACACAGCCCTATTCTGGACCAATGCCCAGAATGCTGCATGGAAGTGCCATGCCACAAAGGCCACAGAACGGAGCTCCGGCCACACGCTCCTAGCTCCAGATGCATCTCTTGGGCAGCCCTGCACAGAAAGGTGCCATGTTTCTTCCTTTACAGAATCCAGTCCTCCATTTCAAGGGTTCCCTGAGAATGGCCACTTTTGAGGAGGTCCTCTCTCTGAGCAGCTGGGTAGTTCAGGTCTGCTTCGAAGATAAAGAACCATTGGAGGACAAAGACGAGTTTTGAAGCTGCCCATCAGCAGGGCTGGAGACTGAGCAAGGCACAAAGTGCACCCGGCCGGTGCTTTCCCCACCACCTCATGCAGGTTGGTGGGGCTGGGAGTCTGGGACCGGCCTGAAGTCACCCAGTGGCCCCATGGCCGAGTGGAGACTAGAACCTGGAATCTCCAGGTCTCCAGTCCAATACTTCCACCGCACCAGCTCAGTACAGTGAGATGCACTGAATTCCCACCCAAATTATCCCCATTTCTAAGTCTGCATCTATACACAAATTACCAGCACATACAAACTTTGCCTTTGAATTGTGGTGCTGGAGGAGACTCCTGCGAGTCCCCTGGACCGCAAGGTGATCAAACCGGTCAGTCCTAGAGGAGATCGACCCTGACTGCTCCTTAGAAGGTCAGATACTGATCATGAAACTCAAATACTTTGGCCACCTAATGAGAAGGAAGGACTCCCTGGAGAAGAGCCTAATGCTGGGAACAATTGATGGCAAAAGAAGAAGGGGACGGCAGAGGATGAGGTGGCTGGATGGAGTCACTGGGGCAGTTGGTGTGAGCTTGAGTGGACTCCAGGGGATGGTGGACAGGAAGGCCTGGAGGAATGTTGTCCATGGGGTCACAATGGGTTGGACGTGACTTCGCGACTAACAACAACAAACTTTGCAGTCAGTGTCCTTTTTCGGGTGTTGCATTTCCTCTTGTCTGGCCACCCAGTGGCACAGATATTGCCCTGGATCTGCCCCGCATTCAAGGATGTCCTAGTGAAGGGCTGTTGTTGGCCCATTGCTTCTCATGTTCATGTTTCTGCAGATCTTGTTGAACTGGGAATGCGGCTGCGGATGCATCACATGTAGCATCTCACAGCTTCACTGGACAAATGGTGGAACCAACTCCCCGCCTTCCTCGTTCTTGGAATTTCGGGGGGTGGGGGTCTCTAGATATGGCTGCCTCCCACTTGGAACCATCCAGGGCTTTCCAACTGTTTTCTCCAGCTTTTTAAAACTTGGGGTTCCAATACTGGCTTGTCTGTGCCCTGACAAACCAGAGTTCCTGGTTTGTATGTTGTGCTAAACAAGCCAGGGATATTGAGTTCCTTGGGTTATTTAGCCACACTTGCTACTCTTTTACTCTGGGCAGTCCTCTATCTGAAGGGCTGCCCGGGGATGGTCTTCTCTCCTGAAGCTGTTCTCTCTTTGCAGAGCTGCCCAGCCCAAGTCTGGAATAAAGATGAAGCATCAAAGGAAGCACTGAGCATCCGCAGCCCCTGAACAGTCTTCTCAGCGAAGCAAGCTGCACATCTGTCTTCACACCATAGTGAGATGTACCATATTTCTCATTAAATTGTACTATTTCTAATTTTGCATCTATGCATAACAGATTAGCACACGTACATTTCATACACATTGGTATCTTTTTTAAAGCCTGGGTTTTGGAGGTGCTTGTCATTTATTTATTTATTTATTTGATCCATTTTTATGCTGCTCAGTAGTCAAGGCTCTCTGGGCAGTTAACAGAAGTTTAAAAAAAGAACACACAGAAGATAAAATTAACTTAAAACTACAATAGCAATTGTAGTGGAATCAGCATAGAAGTATAGCGGTGGTAACATAATAAAATGCAACATTAAAAATTAAATTAGAAGTTTAAACTCCTAAAATGCTGAGAGAATAAAGAAAAGTATATAAAGTAGGTGCCCTGTGCTGAAAAGAATATAAAGTAGGCGCCAGGTGCACTTCTTTGGGGAGCTCATTGTACAGCCAGGGGCCACAACCACGAAGGCCTTCCTTCTGGTAGCACCCCTTGCACTCCCTTTGGAAGGGGATCCCAGAGAAGGGCCCTCAAAGACGACCTCAGGGTCCAGGTAGGTACATATAGGACAAGGCAATCCTTCAGATAACCTGGTGCCAAGTCAGGTTCTTAATGATTCACACAGGGCCACCAACGCATAACCTGGGTTCCACCAAGGGGAATGCCACCTGCCTGCCACATATGGAAGCCATTCACTTCTTCCTGCCTGCCTGAGACTGAATAAACAGGGCAGTTCTGGAGCATCTGGAAGGCTACAATCTATGCACAGCTGGTGAACTTGGAAGACTCCTAGTTGTATAGACCCCTGAGGGATGAGTGATGCAGCATAGGCCTGATCTTACATGCAGAAATGTCCTGAGTTCCATCCTGGGTACCTCCAGGAAGCAGGTGGTGGGAGCAACATCTCTTTGCCTAAGACCTTGGAAACTGCTGCCAGTCAGAGCAGGCTATGCTGGGCTAGATGGAGTGATACAGAGTGATCTCTGTTCATTGTTATCTCTTTCGGATAGGGATCTAGCATTGTGAGTTCACAAATAACTTAAAACCACCCAGGAAGCCACTCGCAAAAGCAGGGACTAAAACTAGAATGTCTCCAGGCTTAAGGGCCAAAGCAGACATTACTTCAGATGGGTGTCTATGGCTGGCACTTCTTTCATTTTTACTCTAGATCAGGTGCAGGGTTGCCAGCCCAAATCTTGAAAGCCCATCTCCTTCAGGCGAGGTTTCTGATCTGAAATGGGGGCCTTGCACTTCCTCCAGAGGAAAATTTTGAAAAGCAGCAAAAGAACTGGGGCTGCTGTCACATCCTTCCATCAGTAGCTTGGAAGCGACTGAATGGGCAGAGGATCAGTTACCTGGTTCCGTTTTTTTCTAGCGGTATCTCTTCTGAGCATCCATTGGATCCAAAGAGTGTTATAAAGATCCCAGCATCAGTACCGGCGTGTGAGAGATCTCCAGTCACAACAGTCACGTCATAGAGAATCTAGAAAGCATTTGAAGTACCCTGTGATTGATTCTGTTTTGCGTTTTGCAAGGAGTTATCCTGGTGTTTCTGGCATTGTTGTTTAGCAAGGAACAGCAAAGCGAGATGATGGCACCAACAGGAAAAAGAGGGAGTGACTCCAGCCAAAGAAGATTTATGCAGACGCTTGACACGATTTGGAAATCCTTCATCAGGGCGTGCTTTCAACAATGATCCACCACTCCAGGGACTTTAGGATAAATATAAATGTTAAAAGGGTGTAATGAGAACATAAGGACATAAGAACAGCCATGCTGGATCAGACCCAAGGGCCATCCAGTCCAGCACTCCACCACAGAGTAGCAAGCCAGCTGCCCACAGGATTCCTCCAGCAGGACGGGTGCAAGGCCCCCCCGGCAATTGGTGTACACAGGCAGGCCGCCTCCGATAAGGGGGGAGCACACAGCCAGCAGGGCTAGGAGCCAAGAGTAGCCACCTCCTCCATTAATTTGTCCCACCCCCTTTTCAAGCCACCCAAACGGGTGGCCACCACCACCTCCTGCAGCAGTGAATTCCATCGTCTAACTGTGCTTTGTGTGAAGAAATACTTCCCTTTTCAGTCTGAGGCCTGTTTAGACTGGCTGGGGAATGCTAGGAGTTTGGGACCTTTTCCTCTTCAAGCATGCATAGGATTGTGCCCTGGATCCACCTGGATCTTTCTGCCAGTCCAGGAAATTTGCGAAGCTCTGCTCCTGCATCAGGTTTCAATTTTCAAATGCATCCATTTCCTTCTTGTCTGCTCTCTTCACTGTCCAGTGAAGAACCTATTCACTATTCCCACACTTTCACACCCATACATGTGAAAGTGATCAGGAGTACAATAGTGTGCTCTTGGCTTTGGTTTCCAATGAAATATCCTCGTGCTTGGTTTTCTTTTTCGGTTCCTTCATCGCTGCCCTTCCTAGTCTCAGTCTTTGGATTTCTTGGCTGCAGTCTCCCTTGGAATTGAAGACAGAGCCAAGGCATGCAAAACCTTTAACAGCTTCTGTTTCTTTATTGTTGACCTAAAGTTGTCCAGTGCGTCTGCAATCGTTTTCTTAATGTCCAACTTCAGTCCTGCTTTCTTCTTTCACTTTCATCAGGAATCATTTCAATTCTCCACTGCTTCCTGCCAGTAATACGACATCATCTACACACCTTAAATTCCAAATCGTGCTCCAAGTGGGTTTATAATGTGACCCTGCACATGCAGTATATAGTTTTCAAAAAATCAGAGCTGGCAAATAGTTGTGCTCTTTGATTTTTGTTCTAATCTATCAGGACTATAGGAGCAGTTGGGTGGCCCCATGAAGGCCCGTGAAGGCCCATGAAGTCCAGAGTCTAAAATCACCCGGCTGCATCACTGTGACTATCAAGCTAAGGCACAGAAGAAGTGATTCAAGTTAGGGGTGAAATTAATTCTGCACCGAAAATAAAACATATTTTGAGCTCAGTTGTCATACTAGAGTTGATTTGATTATTCCAAATTTTATTTTTTTTATTCAATGCACAATTAATTACAGCCCCAGCCATAGGATTTCTTCACACAGCGCTTGACTGTGGAATTTGCTACAACAATGTGAATGGCTTTCAAAGGGAATGAGATGAATTAATGGCAGATAAAGCTATCAGTAGATGCTAATCGTGGTGGCTGCATATTACCTCCAAAACAAGAGATATGATATCTCTGAGCACCAGCTGCAGAAGGACAGGGACAGGAACAGGAGGCTGCCAGTGCTGCTTGCAGGCTGAAGCTCTGGCTACTCTGGGAACAGAATCCTGGACGGGATGATCCTGCTTTTGCTATCCCAGGACCTCCCAGATGTTTGGAACTTCCACCAACTCCAGCCAGCACGGCCAATGGTCAGTAATTCATAGCGTTGTGGTATGAAACATCTGGAGGATGTGATCTGTAGGAATAAAGATGACCACTGCGGGAACAGGTAGCAGATGGACTGCATATCTGAAATGTAAGATCGTAGCCTAATTTCCTGCCTCACACTCCAATCAGATGAAAACCTAGGATCACTGCAACCATTCTGGGGCAATGGGAGGAAGAACACAAATGAATCCACCCTGAGGCTGTCATATGGTCTACCTGAACCCTGGAACCATCCTCAGTCCCAGGGATGAACTCTCTTCCCTCTTCTAGCCTTTCTCCCCTCAGCTGCCAGTTGTTGCTGGTTTCCTGTCTTTCATGCAGTTTATTCTTCATTCTAAAAGCTGGAAATGCCTCCCTAAGACTCAGTAATTGCTGTAAGCTACAGTATGTTGGCATTTTTGGCTCCCTCCCTTGGCTTTTTGAATATAATCCCCAAGAGTGTTCTTAAAATTGAATTGACCTTCGGACTGAAAACGGTTCCCCACAGCTGGTTTTATGTATTTTTTTTTAAAGCACACTTGCTTAAAGGCTCTCCACGAGAGTTGCAAGGCAAAGTAAAAGAACTGACCTTCAGACCAATATTGACACAGTCGGCATCCAGGATGTTGAAGACGCGTGCCGTGAGTCCATCTCCCATATCTCGGGCCAGCCAGCAGTTACAGACGAAGGTGTACATGACTCCTTTGGTGGGGACGATGATGGTGATTTCTCCCAGGAGCCAGGAGCTTTCTGGTGTGGCCCCGTCATGGCCGACCTGAGGGGTCCAGTCACAGAAAAATGGCGGTAGCTGTGGTTTGAAACTTTCATAAACTTTCCAGAAAGGTTCAGTTATTGTGTAGTAAAGAAATGAAATATCTGAAAGGAAAGGCTGAGCAAACAAAATTTAGGCCTGAAGGGTCCAGTGTGCCTTAGATACTTCTCTTGGCTCCCACCAGGATCCCTACCCCTCCTAATATTTACTTTATTTTGTAAGACTGTTTTATTTTTATTTTTAGAAATAGTTTCTTAACTGCCTGCCATTGCCATCTTTATTTGGGTTTGTGGTTTAGTGGCCTAACCTCTACCTTTACCTGGTAATGATTTTGTTATTACTTATCCTTTAATTTCACCAGTTTGCCCTCTGGAAAGAAGCACAGTTTCACCAGCCACAGCTACATGGCAGCCATTTTGTGAATGGGCAAGATCCCTATGGCAGCCATTTTATCAGAGCTTTGAGAATACTCTTGAAGAATTCCAAATATGCCTACAAAACCACACTTGGAAGGCCTATGAAGGCTCTGAAAGACAGAACAGAAAAGAAGATGATGGCCATGACCAGAATTTTGAGCCGAACAATTCACTCTTCTACAGGCAGAAAACCTACCGATACAGGAGTGTGTAACAATAAAAGTGTTCAAGGCAAAAATAAAGCACGTTGTATGTTTTAATCAACTAACTGCTCAGTTCATCAGCTGAAAGTGCTGTGCTCCTAGGCAGGTCTACTCGCATGTAGGTTCTATTGTGTACAGCTGTGCTTGCTGCCTCATAAATATATTTAGGAGAACAGCCTAACGACTACGGATCAAAACCAGTGGGAGATGAATGCAAATGCAAATGAATGAAAAGTGGGATGCTTTGGGTTACAGTTCCCAGCAGCCTGCCAGCCTCCAGCATATTCCAGTCCATTCCATGCTCTTTTTCTGCGCAGTTTTCTATTTGTATTATGTAGCCAAGTAGCTGCTTCACTGGGCAGTTCTGGAGGTCTCCCCATTTAAAACAGCTAATGCACTTGGGCAAACATCGAGGTCCTCACAAGTGTTCTGATACCTCCTTCTTGTGTGGGACCAGTGCCATTTTGTTGCTGAGAACGTCACTCAAAGCCTGAACATGAGAAGACGAGGGAAAGATGCCCAGCCAATATTCCTCTAGCTGCGTCTTATTTCCTGAATAAATCGCCATGTTCTCAGCCATCACATAGTAAATAAGATGGCATCTTGGAAAGCTTGAGTAACTTGTGAATCCTAATCCCAGATAACATGTACCTTGGAACACTTCTCTGTTGGGTTTTGCACTTCTCTGGATTTGGCAATGCAGTTCTCAGCTCAAAAATGTACCAACATGGGCATAAACTCCCTATTTTAAGATAAAGTATATTTAGAAATGCATGTTTTGAAAGAAAATTAAAGATATGGCTTTATATTTGGATGTAACATGAATGATTAAAATACAACCCCCAATTAATGGGAAAGTGATGCAGAGCAGGTTTATGAAGGAGCACATGAGAATTTGACCTACACCAGAAATAGACTGATTTGCCCATTCAAATGGGAGTTGGGACCTTTTTCCAATCTGGGGCAAGCTGCAGCCTGCTACACCAATTCTGAGTCTGTCATGACACACCGACCATTTTCAGATGCCTGAGAATGCCACTGGGCCAGGCCTCCCACTGGCTGAGGAGCCAGGAAGAGGTTGGACACAGGACTCTCATGTCCATCATCCACATCTGGCAGACCTGACCTTGATGGAAGCCCCCACTTCTTGACCGGATGCACCTTCCATTGGAACAGCAGTCGTGCGGTATCGGCCTTCCATTCCCTATGAGGGTCTTTTATTCCCCACCACCATCTCTCTCCCTACCCATCACCACCCTAAAGGCTACGTGGCCCATGCTCCCCGTATGCATAATTTGAAACTACCAGCCCTGTACTGTACCTCTGCACAGTTGTCCTAACAGTCCACCAGCCCAGCCATCAGCCAGAAGGCCTGGGTCAAACAGTCTCCAAATGGGTGTCAAATGGATGGGTGCCAAGACCACCACCCACGGCCACCACCTTGTCCACGGTGCCCAGAAATGAGACAGCCCAAGGTGGAAAAGGCCACACCTGGGTGGCCCCGCACTGGTTGACGATGTGTGTGGTGAGTGCGAAGGGATGCTGAGGTGGGCGCCAGCCTCGGCTCTTCATATCAACATATTGATGGCTTTAGTCTACTATGCTTGTTTAAAATAATTTTAATTAATGATCCACGTAGTTGCCTGAACCGTATTATTTTTGTATTTTACTTGTTTTTATTGCTTTTCATTGTTCACTACCCAAAGAGTCCTGTATAGGACTATTGGTGTAGTTTATCCATTTAAAAAATAAATAATAATAAATTAATAACAGGGAAGTGTACACACCGGAGGACAATTCTTGCAGCGCTACCTGCAGTCTTGCTCCTAGCAAATCAGATCACATGGTGAATCGCAGTGTGACAGGATAATGCTACCTACCCAGTCATACCTGGTCTTGAGAAGATGTCGCCAGGGTCAAGCAAAAGCAACGGTAAGTGGGCAGCAAATGAAGATGACAACAAAGGTCATCCAAGAGGTAAGCACCAGCAAGGAAAAGGAAAAAGCAAGCACCAAAGGAAATGAAAAAAGGAAGCTTTGAAAGAAAACACACACCTGGAAAATGCACCGTTATTGGAAATGTATGCGAAACGCTGTGAGCACTGCTGGTTCAGCTCCACTGGCCAGTGCTATATTTCAGGAGTGACAGGGTGAAGAACATCTCTTTGCTGCTCAGCAGGGCTTCCCATCCACCCCCAGAACGGGCACGACCCTGCTTAGCCTCAAGAGCAGAGGATTCTTCAGCCGTGTAGCGCCATCTGAACCGCCTGACAAACTGCTAACAGCTTAGACTTCTTTCCAAGAGTCCTGGCGTGTGTCACTGCTAAATTACTTAAGAGATTAATCTTAGGCACTTTCTTATCAGCATAATTATGTATCCCAATCACTTCAAGGAAGCCTCTCCCAGTCAATCAACCTAATGAACAATCTGTTCACCAAAATGCTGGAAGGGCTGACAGTTCATCATGTCCAAAGCAAACAGGGCTCATCATTCACAGCAGCACAGGAGAAACCTTCCCCGTTTCAAACAAAGAAATGGTTTCCCAGCCCAGGCCCAACAGTGTAACTTTCTTCTTCCAATAAGCCGCTCTGTACAGCATGATAGATCTCTGGTCTGTATCCTGCCCAATCACAGCACTCCCTCCCATAACACACTGGATTCACTTTGTCTAGCTCTTTTAGCTCACTCTCCCATTAAAACTATTATTATCCTCCTGATGCCAGTACAGCTGCAGAAAATTAGAGCTAATTGCCTAGGAAACTCCAGGACCAACTATGAGATGCCTTGATGTTCATGTTCCTGAAGGGTGATGGGAACCAAGGAAGTGGCTTTTGATGGCTTTCATGGGTCCAGTCCTCACTCTTCCTTTGCCCAGCCTCCGCAAGGCTGATTTATTTGCTTATTATATCTATAACCTTCCTTTTTCCTTTCAAGAAACCAAGGTGGCTTACATCATTCTCCTGCTTCTCTCAGTCTTATCCTCACAAGAACAACCTTGTGGGGTAGGTTAGAAGCGTAGAAACAGAGTGAATCAGAAGGGGTCTCCCTGATGGCCTGATGCATAGGTTAGTTTGGAGGTCTTGATCTGGAGAGATGCCAGGCATCTGATGTGCAGTTTTGATCATGTCTTGCATTATATACTGTATTTCTTGCATAAGTAATAAGTAACCATAGTCCTACAAGTCTGGAGGATATCAGCTTGGGGAAGGTTGGTATAAAAGGAGGAAAAGGGAAAGGCCCATGCATCAGTGGCAGAGCTTTGTATAAAGAAGGAGGCAGGTTTAATCTGCAATATTTCTAGGAAAACTCCTGCCTGAAGCCATGGTGAGGAGCTGCCGGTCAATGCAGCCAGTTCTGGGCTAGCTGGACCAGTGGCCTGGCACAGCATCTGGCTGCTTCTTAAGATTTTGGATGGGAGGGAAGGATTCTAACTGGCTGCCCCTTGTGGCTGCCACAATGAAAACAGTGGCACAGTCTCCATGTGTGGGCCAAATCCCGTCATGTGTCTTTGCTCCCATATTGGTTGGGAACTTTCATGCCTCTGGAGGGTAGGAGCTCGACTCCTTTTCCAACCCAAGTTTGTGAATGGGCAATTATTGATGCCCATTCAACCTTGCACCCTGGCACATAATTCATGGCATGTTTCCAGGCTTTGGCGAGCTGAAAGCAATCCCCCATAGACCTCCCCTCATGCTCTCAGAGACTTTTGGCAAATTGCGGCTGGCACAGATACTGTAAGGTTATAATAACAAGACACAAAGGATTTGTCAAAGGGGAAGCTGGATTAGATTAGCCGGAAGACCATTCTGGCCAGAACGCCAGATGGAGCCGAATGAGAGGAGATATAAAGCCCTGAGGATAAAGAGGAACAAGGAGAGCTCAGAGTCAGCGTATGGTCCAAAGGACTCATAGGTAAGAGAGATGAGATGGGATGCAGGCCAGAAGCTGCTAAGAACAAGGCAGGGCCTTGCTTACTGTCATCTCAAAAAATTAAAATTGGGCATCCAGATCATCCACTTTGATATTACAGATAGATTTTCCAAATTCATACAGCATGTTTGCAATTTTAAAAAAATTGGCACAATTTATTCTAGTTTTGCTATAAACAGGGCAAAGAAGGAATGTATGTCGGATGGCAGAAATTTCAAATCTGCCATCAGTGGTGCTCTTGGTCATCTCCCCTTTATTTTCTGGGATTGTATACACAGATTTCCCATAAACTTCAAAGTATGTTCACACAGTGGCCAACACAATCCCTCAGTGGGAAGCCAGCAAGCAGGGTGGGTGCAAGAGCAATCTCTCACCGATATTCCCCAGGAGGAAAACCATCAGATCTGGTAACCTTTAATAACCTTCTCCATATCACACGCCTGGGGCAAGATGCACGAGCAGAATCAAAGATCTGGTAGGCCTTCTAGATCTATGACAAGCTCACTGCAGATGAGACAGATCCCCCAAACAGATCTCCGCAGAGAAGATGCTCCAAAGAGACACCCCACTAACGTAGCCCTTTCCAACCTGTTGACCTCCAGACTGCAGGACTGCAGCTCCCCTTGGGATGCACGTCTGAAGGCATCAGGCTGGTACCTAAGGTTGCCCTAAGGCAGTATCACTGGTTGTAAGGTTCTCAGAAATGTCTGGATGTATCATTATAAGAGAAAATGTTGGATAAGGCAGCTAACTTGGTGTCCTCCAGATGTTTCCACCTATATCTCTCCAAACCCTACACCACTGACCATGATGGTTGGTGGTCCTGACAGCTGCACTCCAGCACCTCTGAAGGACATGATGTTGTGCAGATAAACCTTTCTTCCAGTCCAGCAAAACTTCTAATTACTCGTTAGTGGGGAGGCATGGAGGGAAGAGAGAAGCAGAAAGCATGGTGCACTAGGTTATGTGGGAAAGCGTCAAAATGCTTCTGTAGGAAACATTGTGGGAAAAGGAAGAGATCTTGTTTTCAAAGCTGAGTGGAGGGATGATCAATATAAATTGTGCCTCCCAGACCTTCCATTACATAAGAGGTTCCTCTGCTGAGATTGCTGACTGATGCACATTGCTTATGAGCCATGATTAAGGCCCCACTGTGAGAAGTCTCCCAAAGAGGGGCAAACTAGAACAACCATTTCCATATCTAGCAGGAAGGTTACACAAGAAGTGCTCCTTGGCACAGGTCATTTATGAAATTCAGTCTCTCACACAGATCAACGCTTTGTGAAGCTCTTTTTACAGCACTTGCTGTGTTTTTGTTCCATTCAAAAAATGCTGAGAGCCACCCAAAAGTGCAGGTACCACACAAACCAAAACACGTCCCAGAGGGGTCTGGCAGGGATACGACCAACGGATCTGTGGCACCTCGAAGAAGAACAGATTGCTTTTGCGCCGAGCTTTCATGGATTGCATCCCACTTTGTCAAATGCATTCACAAAACAGGCTTTGTTGTTCACACAAAGGCAACAGCTGCTTTGCAAAGGACCACCAGTTATAAGATGCTGCTGCTTCCACTTGGCCTGCCTTTACTGTCTGGGTTAAGTGGCTTTTATTGCAAGTCTGGATGTTGCAAATAGAAAAGTGTCATTTACAATGTTAAAGAAACAGACCGGAGATATAGAGCATCCATCCCACTTGCCCAGTCCCCCCTGTGGATCTTCTCCTGGGCGTGTGGCTCAGCTGCAAACCCCACCATCTGCAGGAGGCCCCTGTTATCTCCATCTTGAGACTGGAGATGACAAGCACCAAATGGCAGAACTTCGTAAGCTGCCTTGGATCGCTCGCCAGGGGAAGAAGGTCGGGATATAAATGCAACGTCAGCACCACTGTCCTCATCCTCTGTGGGTGGAGGACTCGGCCAACACCAGGAACAGTGAGTGCTCGTCCCCGTGGGACTTGGCGGCCTCCTGCACCAACTCTGTGAGGATGCTGCAAGCCATGCAAAGCCCCCAGAGAGTGGCTGGCACTGGGCAGAGCGGGGCCAGGTCTGTGGTTTCGCATGGCGCGCATCTATGCTGCAATCGCACTTCGACGCTTCTGTGCGGTTTGGGCCACTGCGTCTAAAAAGGAACATCGTAGAGCTGGGAAAAGTGCAAGAGGGGGAGACTAAAGTGATCAAGGGGTTGGAGCGACTCCCCTAAGAGGAAAGTTTGCAACCGCTGAGATTGCTTAGCTTGGGAAAATGGTGAGTGAGGGGAGACGTGAGAGAGGGGTACAGAATCAGGCACGGTGCGGACGAAGTGGAAGAAGAGACATATTTCTTGCTCTCCCAGTGGGGTCATCACAGGATGCTGACCGGGATGAGAGATTTGGGGCAGACGAGGAGGACTTCTACCACTCTACGATTTCTTCATGCAGTGCATAGTTAAACCATGGAATGCACCTACATGGAATGTGGTGGTGGCCACCAAGTTGGATGACTTTAAAGGGGGATTGGACAAATTCATGAAAGAAGAGTCTGCTCATGGCTACTAGCCTTGAAGGCTGTGTGCTGCCTCCAGGATCAGAGGCCGTGGGCCTACGCACACCAGTTCCTGGAGAACATGGGCAAGATACCATGCCTGTGGGATCCTGTGAGCAGCTGGTTGTGTGAACAGCCCAGTGGACCTTGGGTTTGATCCAGCAGGACCTCCTGTTTATGAGGAACCTGCACCTGCTCACAGACACATGGAAGTTTCCAAGTAGGGTCTGCAGGCCCTTCCCAACTGTGTCCTCCTCCAGTAAGCCAAATGGGACGGCACCCAGCTTCCAAACATGGAGATTGGACAAGTATTGGCTGGTCAACTCCTCCTCCTTGGAACCCATCAGTAACTGTCATGCTCCATGCTCAGCGCACTGGTCTTTCTAGTCCAGTGTTGTCAGTGCTGATGGGCAACAGGAACCGTCCGGGGACTCAGGTGGGATTACTCCTCAGCTCTACCTGGAGATACCAGGTTTGAGTCACCTGCAAGGCATGGGCTCTTCCCCGAGATAAGCCCCTCCCTCCACCCCACCTTTTCATGCATTCCACTCCTCTTTCAAAGCCATCCAACCCAGCTGCTGTCACTGCATGCCAGTCTCCCAGTTTAGAAAGAAATCTTAAGAAATAAAACTAAGAGCTGAAAAGTCAGGAAGCCTGGCAGGTGCCAAGGGAGGGGTCTGCAGGCATACTGCTTCCACTGCTATCATGCTGAAGACCCCAGCCCTAACATCAGAAGCAGGCCACTGCCAATTGGAGGAGATAACTTGCACTATGGTCCAAGGGTCTGACTTGGTGTAATGTCATCTTCAGATGAGTGTTGGAGGTGTAAAATTCTCCCATTCCTTTCTGTTTTGAGCAAGTGCAGGTTTAAGAATGGAATGGGTAAGCATTTTTTTCAGTTCAAGTTTTGAGTAGAAAGAACCTAAATATGCACATTTTCTAGGCAATGGGCAGAAATGACGAGGCTGAAAATATCTGAATACAAGACAAACCAAAACAATGGGGGGCTGCTGTCCATCCCAGCTGTGACCTCACCAGCTTAAGATCCAAAAGTGGACTGAGTCAGGGTGAGGTGTAGCTTCAGCTTTTAAAGCAGGCTGAAATTTGTATCTGTTTATTTTTGTTTACTTTAGGCAGAAACATTATGGTAAAATATGGTTGCAATTTGCATACATGCAGCTGAAATTTGCACAGATTGCAGATGTATTTTATGCATATCTTGTGTCTGCAGTTATTTTTATGAAAATCTTCCTACCTTTTAAAAATATGCGAACTGCATATGGTCTTAAAAGTAGAAGATCATGAGCTGTTTGACTCATGTTCAGAGTGAGTTGGTATTGGCACCAGGGGGCTGGGACAGAGTCTGAGACAGGGGCAGAGATGGGCAAAGCTGTTGGATTTTGACCCCCATAGGGGTCTATCCTCTCACCCTTCTATCATTTGAGCTGCCAAATCTTTTTTCTGACAGGCTCTTTCTCATTAATAGCTGAATGTTAGTGGTCTCCATGAACCTACTGGATTTGGCTAAGGGGGAATGTAGGAATGTAATTTCAGTTTGTTTTAAAAATATGTATGCAGGAGAAAGCAAAAACGATCTATCTGTCCATCCACACAGTTTTAAGGCCCCCGTCATCCACGCTTCCATATATCACTCATCGGCCATTTGGGTTACCTCCACTTTTTTGACTTCTTCAACATCGACTCCCATAACAGAGAATTTCTCCACAGAAGCATCTGCAAATTCATCTTTTCCTTCCGGGAGGTCCAGCCACAGCCGACCCGTCTGCAAGTTCTGAGGACCTGAGATGATGACGAAAACTCGACTGTCTGTGCTGGAATCGAACTCACTGCCTGTGGTGATTATTATGTGGTAAGGAATTACTGAAAGCAAAGAAGACAGCCAACAATTTAGGTGTTGTAAGCCGCTTAGGAAGGCCTCGGCAATTATAGGCAGCCTATAAAGACATGTATAAATAAATAAATAAATAAATAAATAAGTAAATAACGAGTGAGTGAATCTTGGAAGGAGGAAAATGGGAGAGAAGGACATGCTTGTAGGGTGAGTGAGAAATCCATCTTATTTAATTTATTTATTGGACTTTTATTCCACCCCATTAGCTGTAAGGCTGCCTGGGACTGGCTCCCTGGACTCCAACTCGCTTTCTTGCAGCTATGGCTCCGAATTCTGGTGAGCATGCCGAATGCTCATGCAGGCACCTGTCAGGAAGCGAGCTTGCAAGAAGAATTATTTTATTTCAGCCGAGACCAGTAAGCCCATCTGAGTGCAACACAAGGGCATCCCCCTTCCTTACATGTGACTTGAGGGCTTTGTTTGTGTGGCACACACCACAGAAGAAAGTTGTTGGTTGCACAACCAAAGTTCTGTGACTTCTGTTCAGAGACTTCCTCTCCGCTCAGCTCACTTTCTAAGCAAGAACTGAGCATGAGAAGAAGCTGGGTGACTAGAACAGGGCCAGATACCAGGGATGATTGTCACAGCTCTACATGCTTGCGTACAGGTAGCTCCTGGCTGATTCCTGCATTTCCAGTTGAAGGTGAGAAGTGCTGTGAAAACGCTTTCCCAAGACCATGGAAGGCCACTGCCAATCACAGCTAGAAAATACCAGGCCAGACAGATGGCAACTGACTCCAGCTAAAAGCAAATGTACAAGGCAGAAAAGATGAGCATTCAAGAGGACTGATACCTTAATAATAGCACAAGTCCTTTTTTAATCTATTAGGAGTCACCGCTCACTCGACAGTACAGTTATGGAAACACAGGGCAATGCCATCCATCAGCCTTGGGAAGGCTGAGATGAGGGAAGCTGAGCAGATCTGAGTGATGGAAGACGTTACCAATTCTATTTCAGAGGGGATGGTCAGACAAAGTGTTGTATGGGTTTTGTTAAATCCGTTCCATCTGCGCATCGAACTTTCATTCGATAGTCTGCTGATGGATAGAATCGGATTTTTATAAGGGACATGCATGAATGTTGCATTAACGGCACATGCTTTGCACTTAGGAGGGCCTGGGTTTCATTGTTGGAAATCTCCAAAGAAAAGCTCTCAGCTAAGAGAAGCTGAAAAACAGATCCAAGCCAAAGCTAAGCAGGTGGACGGACAACTAAAGCCAGAACTTGGAAACCGCAGGCATGGCCAAACTGGCGGAAAGGGAGGAAAGCGATGCTGCTTCCCCGCCTCTCCCACACATACTTCGCGCCTCTTTCCCCTCTGAAGTGGCCACGGGGCAAGAGGTTTAGGGAGATGAAGGGTTGTCCACCATGAGAGGTTGCGTGCCCACCTGTTAGCAAAACTGAAATAAAACATGGATCCGCTTTATCAGCAGGAAGTTAGACTGGATGAAATTATTCCCAATTCTGTGATTCTGTGATGGGGGGAACTCTCTTGTACTAGTAAGGGGAAAAAATTAAGTTTCAAAGTCTCCAGAGTTAGAAACAATGCTTTAGGGTGCAATCCTATGCATGTTTAGACAGAAAAAAGTCCTAGAATTCCCAGCATTCCCTAGCCAGAAAGGCTGGCCAGAGAATGCTGGTTGCTGTGGGACTGTGTGTGTGTGTGTGTGTGTGCACATCAAAATATGCACAAATATTCATTATTCCATTAATTTACTGTGTCATTATGTCCTTTGTGTTCTGATTACTGAAATCTTGTTTATCCTAATCTGGACAGAGTCTGAAGCAGTCTCAGTGAAAATCAGACCTCGGATCCAGAATCCAACATTCAGATGTGCATGGATTTACATGGTTTTCTTACACGGTCCTTCCGGAAGCGATCCATCCAAGCTGCCAGTCTTGGTATTCTTCACATTGGCATCAACACTTTTCTGGTCAGGATCGTAGGTCTAATGGGGGAGCACAGAAACACACAGCATGCTAATGAGCCCTGGCCTTTGCCATTCCCCTGGAGATGTTCTTCCACATCCCAATAAGCACCAGTATGAGAATTACCCACATGAGTTACCCTAAGCTGGTTCTTTTGCAAGATCAATATGGCTGCCTTCACCCAGCCAACCTTTAAGAAAAAGACAAAGTCCATGTTGGGTATAATTGGGAAGGGAATTGAAAATAAATCTGCCCTTATAGAAATTTATGATGCAATTGTACTTAGCATGCTGTGTGTGGATCACCACACCAAGACAGTATTGTAAGATTGGGAAAATTGGAGAAAAGATCAACTGAAATGATCAAGGGTTGGAGGGATGGTTTCCGATGATAGCATGACTTGGCTTAGGAAAAAAGTGATAGAGGGGCTTAAAATTGGGCCTGGTGTGGAGAAAGAGGAGAGGGAGACTTTTTCCCCTCTCCTTTCGTAATACTGGAACCCAAAGGGGTCGTCCCATGCAGCTGACTGGTGGGCGATCCAGGAGAGACGAAAGGACCTACTTCTTCATGCAACATGTTGTTCAAGTATGGAATACACCCAGTGCTTTTTTTGTAAGAAAAATGGTGCTGGAACTCATGAAATCATTTACCTTTCACATGCTGTCAATCCCTGTACACACACCCACACACGTCAGTTGTGTAACGAAACATAACGGTCGCTGCCCGCAGTAAGCACTCAGCGCGCGACCACACGACCAATCACAAGCCAAGTGGCACCATCATAACCAGTGCGAACGAAGTGCGCACGCATCGGATTCGACACGCAAGCAGCCCACATGCACCGTTTTAATGATTTTGACGCCGACCTGCTATGCTCGATGGGGCGATTCAAATCCACGTGGACCAAACATCAAATTTTCAAAAGTTACTTTTAAAACTTGGAAAATCTGTTGAAAAAAGGTGTCGGAACTTTGTTCCGGTGCATTCTATGACAAAAAAAAGCACTGAATACACTATCACTAGATGCCATGATGGCTACCAATCTGGGTGATTTCAAAAGAGGAATTAATACATTCATAGAGTAGAAAGCCATTAATGGCTGCTAATTCTGACAGCTATTTGCTCTCTCCAGTAGCAGAGGAAGTCTGCAAAGACACATGCTCACCTGGGCTTTTTCTGGCTTGTAATGAAGTGCATGTATTTGCATTTGCTCTTCCTCTTACAGTTCCTTGTCCTATTTTGTATTTTTATTGTGTTTGGAATTGTTTTCCATGTTTGATTTGAACTGCAATTTGTTCCATTACTGCAGCTGAAATTGCTTTTACTCATGGATTTAAATGTGATTTTAATCTTTATGTGTGGACTGCTTAGAGGTATTACATAAAGTGACATGCAAGTTATTATTAATAAAGCAATACATAAATAGGCAAGACTTTTTTCATTCTATAGTCTCACATGTACTTTGACAAGCAAATCAATCAGAAGCAGAATTATAATTTTGTGGACTGGCAGGATGTCCTGGTTTCAAATTCTTACTCACTGTACAATCTTCAGCGCTCTCTCTCTCTCTCTCTCTCTCTCTCTCTCTCTCTCTCTCTCTCTCTCTCTCAGCTGAACCAAACTCCCAGGGCTGTCAAGAGGAAACAAGAGGACACCCACAAATACACTGCCCTGAAGTCCTTTGAAGGAACCAGATGCAGTATGGGAAATGTCATGATTAGGACCTCTAGTCCTTCAGCCTCTTCCTTTTGAAACCAGCCTGCTGCTCAGCTAAAGAAATCTTAGACGATTAAGCATGTGGATTTTAGGGCTCAAGCCATGAGGCTCTCCAGAACCCTCCAAACAACCTGTGCAGTAGTAGGTGGAAAATATCCTCCTTTCACCGGCAAAAGAGTCGGAGGGCCCCCATGGCACGGCACTTCAGAACAGAAGGGAAGGAGGCAACGGTGCTGTGAGGATACATTGCATCTGGGTGGAGACAGCCTCTTCACATCCCTACTCTTGGAACACCTGCGGGTTCTTCCTCCAGGTTGCTATACTCCCTTGAAGTTGTTTCTGGGCTGACCACAGAAGCTGGGAGCTGATTCCCTGAGACAAGTTCGGAGCTAGAAGTTTCCTTTGGTTTCAGACCATTTGCACACAAGCCTTAGCTAGAACCATCAGAGAAGAGGCATTCCGTCTTTGGGAATAAAATGAGAGAAAGCCTCATAAGATGAAGCTTCTAATGTGCAGTTTTGATATGTCTCGCATTATATACTGTATTTCTTACATAAGTAATAAGAGGTAACCTTTTAGTTACCAATTAAGCTCTTTTAGTTTAATAAAAGAGCTTAACTGATTAGACTAACCAGGTAATAGATTAAACATTGCATTTTGTGGAAAAAAATTAACACTGGAAAATATTTGTATGTGTGCTTTGCAAGGAAGGATAAACCAAATATAGATGCTTTTAAGTGTGGATTGGACAGTACTTTTTTCTTGGAGATGGCAGGGTGGAGTGGGAAAAATGATTCAGGCAGAAAGCAAATGTGTAACTCAAAAACTTGCATATTGTATTTTGAACACTGGGGACTCCCACCAACACAGAAGGATTTTTCTCCCAAAAGTGGCTTGCAAGTTGAAATGAGCCAGGAATTCTAAAATACTTTGTGCAGAGAAATTGTGACTGGAATGAAAAATAGTCATAAAAATTATTGGGGGTTTGGGGGCTGGTGTAATAGCGTGACTAAATGTAAAAATCCCCTTGCACTTTCATTGGAATTGTTCTTATTAAACCTAATTAGTTTTGCCTCCTTAAAAGGAATTAATAAGTGACTAAGGAAGCTGTGTCCCACTAGGCCCTCTGCCGCTACATGTATTAGATGCAACCCGTCAACCTTCTCCCTGGAGTGGCTCCCTGTGCCCCGGTGTTAATATATAATCGTTTTGGTCATAACGTGCAATTAAAACATTGCTGGGCCTTGTAGAATGAGCCTTTGCCAATCAACCAGCTTCAGTCAGCTGCAGTACTGGGCCGTGCTGGGTGAACGGGTGAGAGCTGCCTATTCATTTTGATCCCGTTAATTAATCCACATACTTTGAATTCTAATTAGCTACATTTCCAGTGGCTGTAGCAGGCAGAAGCGTATATTTCCACATGGAAGCCGTTTGCAATGCACTGAAAAAGATGAGTGGTGCTAGACAGGGCCCGGATGGTGCTTGTGTGAGTCATCACCGAGTGCGAGTCAGTGCCGAGGAAGCGATATGGCGCGGAGTTTCTTGGCTGCACAGAACGATGCGTGATATGGGGAAAGTGGAACGACAGAAGCGCTCCTTCCCTTGACAGTACTAGAATTCAGAGTCACTCAATAGAACTGCTTGGCAGATGGTTTCAACCAGGCAAAAGGAAGTACTTGTTCACCGAATGGCCTGGTCTGGACATCACAACAATCTGCTTTCTTTCAAGCCCTGGATCGATGCGAGTGAACGGGAGCAAGCGAGCGTGCCTGCTCTTGCCACCCAATTACTCCCACTTCACAGAATCATAGAAGAGTAGACCTGGAAGGGGCCATGAAGGCCATCGAGTCCAACCCTCTGTTGTTGCAGGACACCAAGTCACACCATCCCACTCAGAGGGCTGCCCAGTTTCCTCTTGAATAACTCTAGTGTGGGAGAGCCCACCACCTCTCTAGGCAGCTGGTTCCACTGTTGTATTGCTCTGACAGTGAGGAAGCTTTTCCTGATGTCCAGCCTGAATCTGGGTTGTCGCCACTTGAACTGATTATTCCGTGTCCTACACTTTGGAATCAGCAAGAAGAGATCTTGACCTTCCTCTTTGGGACTGCTTTGTGGGAACTTCAAGTGGGAAGCACTAAACACGGGGACACTTGGTTCCTTGCTTCTTTGGGGTGGCTTCTCAACTGGGAATTCTGGGTTGTGGTTTCCAGCTCAAGTGTCTGGCGCCTGGCACTGTCGTTATTTGTTTTTCGGCACCAGGCTAAGACCTTTTTATTTCAACAATATTTTGATAACTTTTAATATTAGCTATATATGTTTTAATCTGCAGCCAGGGTGGATCTGGATTTTATTTGTATTATGTTTTATTCTATTCTTCTTATTTATTTATGTAAGTTGTCCTAAGGCTCTGTGAAAGGACGGCATATAAATATTCTAAATAAATAAATAAAGTGTCCAGAACTCCTGGTTTGGATGCCATGAGAAACACCCCAGGGATGGGACATCCTTGAGTTGTGCTCTGACCTTGGCTTGTTTAGCCCAGCAAAAATGATTGGGCAGCAGAAGGAAGCTCATGGCCAGCAACCTGTGGTTTTAGAACCAACAGCCTGGGCCACCATGATTTCCAGATGGGCCTCTTGCATCATTCCGGTGTGGAATTAACGTGGCAATGGCCACTAGGGGACCCGTCAGTTGCCTAGACGTTAACTGAGCAGCAAGCACTGGGGGGAAGTAGGAGAGAGCAAGGAAGGGCTGCCGACTTCAAGGCCTGCAGGAGGCATCAGGCTGGTCTCCAGCGGGAGGCAGCAAGCCGGTTTAGGCGGATTCTTGGTCTACTTCAATTTTAGTGCAATAGAACCCACCCATAGTCCAGATTCTTATCTGGATTATGGCAGCTATTCAAAAGAAAAACATGTAGTAGGGATGTGTGAGGAATCTCTTTGGAGGTGGGAATCTGTCGGGTTCCCCGGTCTTGGCCCTCTGGTTGCTTTGCCCTGGCCCTGAGTCCGAGATCCTGGTGATCACACCCAGCATTTGTGGGGTAACAGTCTCATGCAACGCCCAAGCAGTTCCCCTGCACTGCACTGAGTGCAGCTGCTGATGGGCGGCTCCCTCTGAGCTAAAGAAGGCTGGTTATGAGGGGCTCCACAGGGATGGAACCCATGTGACCACTAGGAGCTGCTCCCCTGTGGCGAGTGCAAGCGCCACTTGCATGGCTGCAGCTGATGCCGAACAAGGTTGCCAGCTGAGCAACCATTTGCAGGAGTTCTCTCGGCTTGGCTCTCTGTGGAAGACTGGGCTGAGCACAGGAGGAAGCCCGTGGATGCTTGGAGGGATGGACTCCAGTAAGGTTCCTCTCAACCCTAATCTGTTCCTAAGGGTGGGAGAGACTTTCACTTTGTTCATTTTTACAGGAAATAAAATCCATGAAGTCCTCCCTATCTGGCCCAAAAATAACTTGAGTTTTGAACACCCGGGATGTGGGAGGACCTGAAATGGGCAGCTGCATCTGCTCAGGATCAAAACTTCCAGTACGTTGCTCTTTAAACTCAGGGTTTGAATCCCTGGATATAAATCCATGTTCGTGCTGAATTAGGTCTGCCACTTGTTTTTTTACAAGCTTCTCATCTTTAACAGCTGCATGATCAGAAGGTACAGCAAGGGTTTCTTCATCCTAGCAATAAGAGTAGCATCCAGCAGCTGGCACAGTTGACTGGGAATTTTGCTTGGCTCCCTTTTTGTAAGAACATACCAAATGTACAAATTTATTTGTAAAGGGACTGAATGGAACCTGAGATTTAAGCAAAACGTTACATGAAAGAAAGCACGAGTGACTCACCCAGCCATCCCTTCCCACGTGTCCATACCAAAATTAAAAGTGGAAACTCAACAAGGGGACCCAAATCTGAGATGCTCTGAGTGTAACTTGCCAAGAGCTGGCAGTGTGGTGCAATCCACCTGTGCTCCTTTCTCCAGAGTTCTGGGGTGATGACTCGTTCCAACACTAAGATGTCAGGGTGCTGTTCCTATATCCACCTTTCTTCCTGCAGAAATCAGCGCACCTGCATGAACTGCGTGGCAATTCAGTTTGTGGGCTACAAACAGACCACAACTCTTCTTCCACGAAGGGGCAAACGAGGGCCCCCATGCTCCCTTCCCATCCCCCTCGCTCTTCTAACAAGAGGATAATTTGCCTGCAGGCCACAATTTCCCTTCACCCCGAAGTCTTTCTGTGATGGGAACTTCAGGGTTATTTTTGGGAACGGAGAGCAGAGGTCACAAAGTATGAGTCAACACACACATTTTCGGCCTGGCAGCTCAAGCATCAGGGTGGGACACAAAACTGACCAGTGCCTGGACCATCCTCAACTGGGGGCCTACTGGCAACTCCCATTTTCCTTCCTCCAAAGCCCAACCGGAAAGCTTTATCATCCTGTAGTGTCATCTCAGGAACTTGGGGTGGGGGTAGGAAAATGGAGGCTGCTAGCCAACAACCTGGTTTGCCTTCAGCCCCACCAAAGATGGTTTTTCCCATACACTTTTCATGGGGGAAGAGCATGTACAGGACGTTGAAGTACTAGACATTTTTGTTCCCCCAGTCCTTTGAATGCCCTACTAGAATGGATGAACATCAACAGAGAGCCCCTACACCTGGAGAACATGAAAAACTCTATGGGGCTCATCATCTGCGCTGATGATGAGGTCAGTGGATGCACAAGGCAGGTCTAGATAGAAAAAGGGCTTGCTGATCCCAGCATGTTCCACCTGGGCATTTGACCAAGGAGCTCCCTCTCTCGAGACCAAGATTCCAGCCTCAAGAAGTCAGGACATGGGGGTGCTGGGGCAACTTGTGGATCCTCCAGATCCAGCCCCAGCCCCTCCCCAGCCCCAGACTTGGCAACAAGAGCATGCTAGAAAGGCTCCGGGTCTTTTCCAATTAAAGATGCTTCAAAGGAAGACCGAGAAGCAGCAAGGAAACCGTCTCCATCACTGTTCCCACCTGGCTGACCACAGCCCAGCAGGGCTTAAGATGCATGGATGATTCCAATCTCGGAGCCATCCATGATCTGGGAATAGGATGGGTGGCTCATTTTATGCGGGTCTTTGATTGGTATTCTATCAGAAACTGGTGCTCGGTGCAGCTTATACCATTAAAATTGATTGAGGCACTAAAACAACACATTGCAACACAATACGATGTAACGGTTACGGCATTTCTTGGTAATTAAGAATTAAAAACAGCACCTGATTTAACAGGTCAGACGCCCTCGTAAATAGAGCAGTCTTGTACAGAGGAGGGGGGAGGGAGTAACCCCCACGAACCCATGAAGGACTCCTAGTCTGCAATCTTATGTGTGTTTATTCAGGAAAAAGGTTGTGTAATTCTCAGGATACAGCAAGCAACGCAGCTGCCTGGGGCACAGTCAGAGAGGCAGGACTTCTCTCCTGTCCAAACATCCATGGCACCTCACCCTTGACTGGCTGAGCAGTACCAACCGGATTCGTGTGGATGAAGTGTCGCTCTCGTCCCTCAGTCCCGTGGCCTGGAAAGATGGCGGCAGCCGTGCCAGGACACACGGCCATCAGAAAGGGCTCACCAGGGATGATGACTGAAGAGAGTGTGGGGTTGCACCAAGCCAGTGTGGATCCCTCTTTGAACCCGCTGCGGACTCTGAAAAAAGATCTGTCTGTGCCACCCGGCCTTTTAGACTTTTGCTTGGTAAGGGGGCAGTCCTTTGGGGGAGTCCGCATGCTCCCAAAGGCAGAAGTTTATGGACAGCCTATGCTTAAATTGTCAGTTTTCAGAGAGAATCAAAAAGAAGGCAGGGCAGGGCAGGGCAGGGCAGGGGAGGGGGCTCAGGTAGCTGTGGGATACATCATGTGCTGGTCCCTGTGGTCTTCTCCACTCCCTCCCTCCCCACCGCTGTCCCCATCCCCCTTTCCCCTCCCCAAGGACATTGTCTTGACCTTCAGGAGCAGCAGCCTGGTTTCATATGCACCAGCTATAAGGCGACTGGGGAAGAGGGGACCAGACTTCCCAGGCCAAGGTCTAAGCACAGACTCCAACCTCCGACCTGGGATCTGAACTCTCAGGGGCTTCCCGGGGGCATGGGATTTCTCCTAACATTGCGATTTACTTTTTCAAAAAGTATCCGCTCGATCATGTTGTCCTCCTTCTTCCTCGAGAGCCAGCGTTCGCACTGGAACAGGTACAGGTCGTCCGTATTGTCATTCAGGATCTCCACTTTCTCCAGGAACCAGTCCGGCCTTGGCAGGGTGTTGTCATGGCGGATCTTGATTTTGTAGAGCGTGCCGAGATCCACCGCTTGGATTGTGAATATGTCTTCCTGTGGGAGAAGGAATGGAAATAATTATCCTTTCTTTAAGCCCGTGTTTGTTATGAAAACAGACACAAAGGCATCCCAGCTTAGATCCAGAGTATGTGAGTGCAGGCATTTCCGTATGAGCACTGGATTTTCTGTTCCAGTGATTCAGCCTCTTGCAGTGCAAAGGCCCCTGACTCTTGTATTTTTTTATGTGTGTAGTGCATGTGTGTAGGCTGCAGAGAATCTCTCACTACAGAGAAATGATGTTGCAGTTGTGTAGACAGCTGCATGAGTCACGCGTCAGGGGAAACGTTTTCTGAAAGGATTAAAAGGGAGGAAAAGAGTCAAAGAGTGTTCAGGGTGGAGTCACATCACAAATGCAAGCATCACATCTACACTGGGAAAGAGCGCACAACCATCACGGCAGAACTTTGGTTTGGTCAGCCATGAGGGGCCATGCGTTTGAGGAAATTGTGGCGAGCTGGGAGCTCATATGTTCTGTAAGGGAGTCATGTCCTGCCCACCATGTTTATCTCGACATTGCTTTCAATCTTTCCTACATACTAAATCCAGTTCCAACACTAATGGGTGTACACACTGATTAATTGCCATTATGGCAGCCTGAAGAAAGCAAACTGGTGAATGAAGGCCTTTGCCAGGCTGCAGCTTTATTATTATTATTATTATTATTATTATTATTATTATTATTATTATTATTACATTTCTATGCTGCCCCTTGCCGAAGCCTCAAACGCTATCGCTGCATTCAATGTTTCTTGGTTCCTTTTTTACATCCCGCCTTTCCTGCAAGGAGCCCCTGTTGACACACTTAATCTTCCTTCTCACCGCTCAAACATCACAGCGACCCTGTAAGGCAAGCCAGCCCGAGAAGCCAAAACTGGTCCAAAGCCATCCCATCAGCTTCGTGGCTGAGGGAGGGCCTGAACCCAGATTTCTAGAGCACCAGTCCAGTCTTCTAAACGCAACCACCAACTGGATCTCCAGAGCCAATTCAGCCAATCCTGCAAAAGTCCAGTAGCACATGTGGTCCTTTGATAGGGAGAAACTCCACCCCTTTCATTGCACTGAACCATGTCATTGTCTGAAGCACTTAAATTCACTCCAATGGATTTATTTATTTATTTATTCATTTATTTATTAAAAGCTTTTCTGTCCTGTCCCCTACAGAACATCTTGGGATGGCTTACAATAAATAAATAGAATAGAACATCCCCATAGCATCCAACCATTAATATACTAAAACTCCAATTAAAATCAATTAGACATTAAAATAACGGGGAAATAAAAAAAGGTTTTTGCCTAATAATAATAGTGCCCATCTCTTACACTGGGGAAGACACGGGACAGTTCCAAAAGTGGCATCTCTCCTGTTGAAGGAGCATCTCAGCTGCGCCAGCACATGTGAGATCATACCCCTGTTGGGCGCCAGACACGTCTTCAGCTTCCTAGTCAATATGTCTGAGATGCTGAAGACGGTTGGAACAAACCATTGGAAGGCTGTTTTGCAGCCATCTGGTGAACTCTTGCTTAAATAAACAATTGATGCTGGTAGAATTGAACAACCACAGATGCTTTAAGGGATGTAGATTGCCTTTTGATGGCACTGGAAATTGATTTGTTTTTGGGTACTGGAATTAGTCATATCTCCAGTAAAACATCCTTTTAGGAGTGCATCTATTTTTCTTGGTATGAACTGCTGAATGGCTTTTATAGCGGCTTTTCACTAATTGCTCTATTACTTTCATAAATGGAAGAAAAATCAACCACAGTGTGGGTCTATATGGAGTGCACACACAGATGATTAATCTAGGACAGGGGTGTGCAAAGCTTTGGGGATGGGGTCCAATTTCTGCCCCCAGAATCCAGTCTCCCCTACCCTCCAAAATCACAAAAACTGGAAGTGAGAAAAAAGTCACATTCTACTTAAAAAAAAAAACACCACATGGAACCACCTGCTTGGTTCTAACCAGAGTGCTTCAGCTATGAGGTGGTTTAGAGAACAACAACAACCACAACCAATAAATCTGATTTTTCTTTCTGCTGCTCATCACCAAAATTTAGCAGCGATTCAGCAATGGAGATTTGGGAGCAGCATCGACTGCAAAATACAACGGAGCTGCTTGCATGAGTTTCAGAGAACGAAGTTCAAACAATACCAGCCACACAGCGGCTATTCCTGAGCAGTTGTTTCCACACGGCTCCGATGTTGTACAGGATGAAGAGAGCCGGTGGGAGAACCACTGGAAGTGGGCGTTCCCCATGCCATTCCTTGGGTGCCCTTGCTTCTCATCAACGCTGGTGCATGAAGACGGGTAGCATTGACATGAGAAGCAAATAATATTAATAATAATAATAATAATAGCAATATATTGCTATTTTTTGTATTTTAACTTTATGTTGTGAGCCGCCCCAAGGCTTCGGCGAATGGGGCGGCATAGAAATGTTTTAATAAATAAATAAATAAATAAATAAATAAATAAATAAAGCGGGCTAATGTTCTCCTTTCCCATCACACTTGCTGACTGATCCCCACGCACCTTGAAGGGGTCTCCATATAGTATATTTCCTTTCCCTTCCGACATCTAGCATCTTTCTTTTCACCGGTCATGGTAATGTGACAAGATGCTTTATACTGGGTCAGTGCACAGTTCCAACTGGCCCAGGGCTTCAAAGAAGGGACCTCCCAGTTTTATCTGGAGCCAGAAGTTGAACCTCCGACTTGCTGCATGCAACGCCTCTGGCCACCCAGGGACCTACAGCTCTTGCCATTTGGACAAACGTGGCAGCAGCTCCCTGCTTCCTCCTTTCAAGGGAGTCATCATCTACTGGGGTACCCCGTTCAGTACTGACTACACCACCCTTCCCCAAGCAGTTGTCCTGCAGAAGTTTTGGGCTTCACTTCCATTGGTCTCCCGCCACCACGGGGAATTGCCCCTGTGGTCCAACTCCTTTGGAATGTAGCTGGCAGGGTTGGCTGATGCACAGACTGCACCAGGGACGGTGGACCTCCCAGCACTGTTGGCTATGCTGGCCAGGGTTGATGGGAGTTGCAGTCCAGGAACAACTAGAGGGCTTCAATTTCCTCAGATGGGCTCTACCCACTGCCAGTGGTGGGCAGCAGGTCTTCTGGCTCTGAGACAGGGCTCTTTCCCACTTCGGTTGGGCATGGCAAGAGCTAAACCAGGGACTGTTCATGTGTGAACCTCGTGCGCGCTCAGTGGATTTCAGATCTGTCACCATGCAGCAGTGGCATCTGACTCCTACGTTTTGCCCATGTTCTACTATGAAACGGCACGCTCTCAACTTATCACACAGGACTAGAGGCAAACACCAAGTGAAAAAGGATACTCGGTCTTGACAGTACCTGTCCTCTTTCAAACTTGTTGGTGCTAGTCTCAGATTTGCTGAGCTTTCTCTCCCCAGTATCTCCCAGGTCTCCATAGATGATCAAGAACACATTGGCATCCGTCCCAGCACCGTAAACATCACCAGTGAAAACCGAAATCTTGTATGTATGAACTATGCAAGGGAAAAAAGAACCCCGTAAAAGATGATTTTAGAATGGTGGCATCCATTGCAAGAGGAGCTTTCTTTAGAGACTTTTTTTGTTTTACAATCAGGGACGGGGAACCGAGAGGCCATGGGTCAAATTCCAGGCTTCTCAGTCCAGATGTGCAAATCCTTCCTGGGATTTCCATGCCTCCTCACCAGCCCTGCTCAGGGTTTTTTAGCTACAGAGATACTGAACCTTAGAACAACGGGCCAACTTCAGGCCCACTAGAATCCTGATATCCAACCCTCCAGGACAATGATGATGAACCTTTTCGAGACCGAGTGCCCATGCAACCCAAAAGCCACTTATTTATTGCAAAGTGCCAACACTGCAATAAAACCTGAATACTGAGGTTTTAGTTTAGAAAAAAACAACTCACAGCCAGTCCAAGCAAATCTATCTATCTATCTATCTATCTATCTATCTATCTATCTATCTATCTATCCCTGGCAGTGCACTGACCGGCCATGTGAAAGCTTGGACGAGTCATGGTCAAGGAGTCACGGCTCGTGACATCATTGCCTGGCGCTGTTGCTCCTTTCCGAGCATGCGCATGGCCCCCATGTGCGCTGTTATCCGATGCTCGGCTGCTGGGCTGATGCCAGGGTGACTAGGCTTGCGTGCCAACAGAGAAGGCTCTGTGTACCTGCTGCGGCACGCGTGCCATAGGTTCACCACCACTGCTCTAGGATCATGCCCTCCTTTCCCTGGCTGAAACCAGTTTTCCTCAGCCACCCACTGTGGTTTCCTAGCTGTTGAGGGGTTTTTTTTCCACACCCAAAAATCTTGGAATGCCTCTTCTAAGGCTGAGAACTGGCAGAGCATAAGAGCATGGAGATCAGATATCCTGGTATTTTTGGCATTTTGGCTGCACGCTTTTTGCATTTGGTACTAATCAGGCATGTCTACAAAATGGAATTCAGCCCTTAGTCTGAAAACGGTTCAGCACCTCTGATTCTCTCCATCCTGCTCTATTCCCCCAAGTTCTTGCTGTTGTTATTTAATAATCATTTCTATACTGCCCCACCAATGAAGCTGTTTGGGAAGTTTATACTGCTGGAATGCAGAGCTTGGCAAGTTTCCACTCAAGCCATGTGGATCTCAACAGAGTTGCAGCTGGATAGGAAAATGCCTTCATCACCCTGATTTAAATGGTAGCTTGAAATGAAGATTGAAGAAACAACTATCATTTTTCTGGCCTGGTAATGTAACCGGCACTCCTACGAGTCCCTTGGTCGGCAAGTAGATCAAACCGGTCAGTCCTAGAGGAGATCGACCCTGGCTGCTCTTTAGAAGGCCAGATCCTGAAGATGAAGCTCAAATACTTTGGCCACCTAATGAGAAGGAAGGACTCCCTGGAGAAGAGCCTGATGCTGGGAACAATAGACAGCAAAAGAAGAAGGGGACGGCAGAGGATGAGGTGGCTGGATGGAGTCACTGAAGCAGTCGGTGTGAGCTTAGGAGGACTCCAGGGGATGGTGGAAGACAGGAAGGCCTGGAGAATGTTGTCCATGGGGTCACGATGGGTCGGACACAACTGCGCGACTAACAACAACAAAGTAACTGGCAACCGCTGTCCAAGGCCTCAGAAAGGTGCTTCCCCACTGGGTGTTCTGAGGGCCAGATCAGCCATTCCTTTAAACCTGTGCCGAGCAGCTACAGCATCCTCCTTTTTCCTCCATGGTAGCCTGTTCTGACACCAGAGAAGAGATCCGGAGCCTGGCATGGGGACGGGGGCAGGAGGCTTTTGAGATGCAGCTTGGGCCCCCTGAATCTCTAATGTCTATGCGGGATCACATGCAAAAGGAAAAGGTGTGGCCTTAAGAGGCCCTTTTGTTCTGGGATGCCGAACCACTTCCAGCCCGAAAATTGAATCCCATTTGGGAGAAGCTCTCAAGGTCTGCATTCCTGTAGTGGCCGGGACACTAGAGGCAGGGACCAAGTCACAAGGGGTAGGCCATAAATGCAAAAGAAAAGAAACCTACCCGGCATGTTTTAGCTTAAAAATGTGCCATTTCTGTAAAGCTTTCAGGCTTTTAGCAAAGGGGAAATGGCACAGAAGCCGGGAATCCACCAAGCCCTTGCTGGTCAAAGGTAAAGGGAGGTGGCCATACGGCAACCTGGGATGGCAGGATTTTGGCCCCTGGACCTGACGTTGTGCACCTCTGCTTTACCTGAAGGCACAGGGGATTGAAGTGGAAGCATTCTGGATGCAAGCCGGCTTTCCTTTGCATACGTAGACATGTTTAAAAGAACATCCAGTGTAGAGCAGAGGAGTAACAGATTCTCTGTGGAGGAAGGAAGGAAGGACTGGAGAACCCTGAAGGCTGCCCTGTTCCCTGACTGCCCCAGTCCCCTCCCTCTGACATCCTTCATAACCTTCCTCCTACCCAGCTTTGGAGTCACAGCCAGTGTGTTTTTTTTCTGACTGGAGCGCAGAAGAGGGAGATTTGGAGCATGGAGTCTCTGCCCCAAGGTTAGAGCTCTGTCTTGCTTTTTGGATCTGGGAATACAGATTATCCTCTTCCCTCTGCCCAGATGATGTCTAGGAGTTGTAGGGTCACTCTCAAAGAACAACCCATAGTTCTTCATTGCTGATTTCTTGGAACCCATTTGCATTTTGGAAAGAATGGGCTTGTAAGCTGTGAAGGTTTCGCTGGGGAAATGCTCAGCTCGATGGACCAGTCATGTGTCCGCCGCTTTCCTTCAGTGCTGCCCAAATCGCACTGATGTCCCTCAAGTGCAATGAACGAAGCCCACACAGAATGAATTTAAAAGTCTACCTCCTTCTTACCGTTATTATTTAAAGGGCTGACTTGAAATAAATAAGATGAACCATAACGTAAAATTAACTACTCTGAAATGAGCACTTGAGGGGAAGCATGCAAAATCATCTATGAATATTAGGAAATATTATCTATCTCAGGAATGTTTGATTCAGCTTTAATACAGCCTAGAAGCACTTGTTTATGCTATGGTGCGTCCAGAAATGATAAGCCCATTATATATGCAGCCTTTTCTTTATTTTCAGGATTGAGGGGTTGAGCTGGACCTGAAGAGCTTTTTCATTCAACACATGGCTGAGGTCTGGTCCACACATGCTGCAGAATGAGATGGGAAGGAAGTGGTCGAGTCCCAACTAAAAGGACTCAGTCACACCAGACTGTCAGCAGGGGAATCACGTGACTGCCACAATGCAACAATGGCCTACATGCAACGGAAGCGCCTGCCTGGGCCACCTCCCATCCCCGCCCTGTTGTCTCCCTTACGCTGACTTTCTGGACCACAAAGGCCATGTTGCTGGGGCCTGTGACCTCCTTCTCCGCAAAGACCCATCCTCTCAGGTGCAAGCAGGAATGCAGGCACATCGCAGATACAGAAGGAGCACAGCCACTAAAGGGATGTGCCAGAAAATTTCTGACAGGAGGTGCTCTTGCTTTTTATAAGGAGGAAGTTCTAATAATAATTACCTGATGGTTAAACACCAGACCCTTCTGCAGCCAGAAGTTGCACAATGTGTGCCACTGTGTCCGGATTCTGCCATCTCCTTCTGCTTAATGAGAGGACCAGTCCTGAGCATACACTCGGGGGGCTGTTACAGCTGGTCCCCAATCCCTGAGGGGCATGTCTACAAACCAGGAGAAGAAGCCCGGTGCCTCTGTCATGGGAAAGACTGGAAGGCCACTGTGAGCACGGGGAGACAGGGGGTACAGCTGTTCTTCCTCCTCGCCTCTGGACCTCCTCTGCATGGTCATTTTGGTTCTTCTCTCATCTTCACTGGGGTCTGAGTTTGTCTAAGGCTCAAAAGTGCCTGAGGATGTAAGCTTCCCATGAGAAGCCAGTTAATCAGTTTTGTTTTCAGGTAGTTTGGGCACCATCTGAAGGTCAGCCAAGACCCAAGAAGGTGACTCCAGCATGCACTTGCTGCAATTTAGTTGCTTTAGTTACAGGTGAGTTTGAACCGTACCACCTGGGGACTAGGTTACTTTGGGCTGTCCCTCAGCCAGGTGGAAAGCATTCTATATTACCAGAGAAGCCTGCCAAGACTGAGGGAAGAGGAATGTCCAAGATGTATATGCAGCTATCTTTTAAGATTCCTTCCCAGTGAGTTATGTGGAGAACATATTCTTCTGATATTCCTCTATAAGTACCTGGAAGGCTGTCACAAAGAGGAAGGTCAAGATCTCTTCTTGCTGATGCCAGAGTGTAGGACATGGAATAATCAGTTCAAGTTGCGACAAACCAGATTCAGGCTGGGCATCAGGAAAAGCTTCCTCACTGTCAGAGCAATAGGACAGTGGAAGCAGCTGCCTGGAGAGGTGGTTGGCTCTCCCACACTGGAGACATTCAGGAAGAAACTGGACAGCCCTCTGAGTGGGATGGTGTAACATGGTGTCCTGCAATAGCAGAGGGTTGGACCCGATGGCCTTCATGGCCCCTTCTAACTCTACTATTCTATGATTCTTGACTAATTTAATGAGACCAGGTGTGATTTTGGTAACCCCCCCCCCCAAAATAAACTCTTTATAAGGCAGAGAGTCTTCCTAAGAGCAGAACCTCACTTCAGTCTTCACTGCAGAAGGTGCAGTGTGCTGGCCAGGAACACATCTATGGTGGTTTCTTTGAGAGGTTCCAAGCACTAGAAAGGGTGTGAAATTGTGCTCTGCCTAGTCTGCTGTCAAAGCTCTTTCATCTTTACCTGCAAATATGGAGTTGTCTCTGCATCCCCAGAAAGAACCACTGCCATGGGCAGGACACCCTCCCCTTCTTCTGGACTACAACTCCCATTATAACTATTATTGCTATTACACATTTTATCCTACTCCCCCCCTCCCCTGTAAGGAACCCAGAATGGCTCACACAATCCTCCTCCTCCTCCTCTCCATTTCATCTTCACTACAACCCTGTGAGGTAGGTCAAGGCTGTGACCCTCACGGCCGAGCGGAGACTAGAACCCAGAGCACCTGATTGTGACTACACCACACTAGCTCTCCAGGTAACCCCTGACCGTTGGTCATGTTGAGTGGGGCTTATGGGAGCTGTAGTCCAAAACCTCCGGATGGCACCTAGTGACCACCCCTGCTGTAGAAACTACAGCTATCTTAGGAACCTTTTGAAGGGGGAGTTGCATAAATCAAATAAATGGACATTTATAGTTGTTTCAATGCACGTGTCTCCAAATGCCTTCACATTTTTGCACATGGCCTGACCGTTAGGTACAAGGTCCAATCCAGGTGCTAGTCTGGGCCTTTCAAACCTGAAATGGTTCTGGACCAGATGAATGGACGGCCCGTCCGCACCTGTGTGGGCCAGCACAGCTGGGGAGTACCAGACACGGGGCTTCCCCAGTGGACAAGGATTCCCTCCCCTCCATCACTGCTAGCTTTTGGAAAATAGTTGCAACACTTCCTTAAAAGCCTCGTCTATCCCACTCTGCATTTGGAGCCGTTGCCACTTTCCCTGCCACAGGCGTATGCCATTAGGCATATCAATCCTTTTTGAAATTTGGGAAGCTACCTTGCAAGGGCTGTGTGCAGAAGCAGTGTTGAGGACGGTCCCATAGGGCTGAAGCCCTAGACTTCCGGGACGCTAAGCATTTTCTCCACATATGTCCCCTGCCCCTTCCACCTGAAATTCTTCTGAAATCCCTTTCCTGTGTCCACACACCCTTTTATAACTAGGCACGTCCCTGGGAGATAGGATCCTTTAAAGGCTGATACAGAAAGATGGTACAAATATGCAAATCAACATGTGCCAATTTGGGTGGGGGTTTTGTTTTTGTTTTGGTCCTGGGAGCCTGAGCCCTGGATGTTTTTGGTACTTAATACCATCCATGCCCCTGTGCCCTGAAAGACAGGGCAAAAATCTCCAGTAATTCAATCTTTGTTGCAGTGGAGGAATTCAGACCACTCAGAATTCCAGGTTCAGTTCTCTTCATCTCACTTACCAAGGATGGACAGAATTCCTGTTATGGCCTTTTGAACCTGACCTGGAGCTGGGCACGAGGCATGGGTTTGGATGGAACATTGATCTGAATCCTTACAGGGCAGAAACACTTCCGAGCTTCATGTACGCAAGGCAGAGACATTTGCAATCTGACGTACTTTCCAGTGGGTCATCGATCTCCTCGTTGATCTGCTTCAGTGTCCCGTCCTTCATGAGCTTTTCTGTAAACACGCAGGATGGAACCAGCTCCCTCATGATCTCGCCATCGTCTTCCGATTTGGCCAGCCACTTCTCACATGGAAAGGTAGTTTTCTCAGAACCCTAATGTGGCAACAGAGAAGGACAGCCACCTTTACAAGTAACATAGAAACATATTTATTTAAAACACTTTTATGCCGCCCCCATCGCAACAAAGTCTCAGGGCGGCTTACAAACAAAACCAAAGTTATACAATAAAAATATTAAAACATAGAAACAGAGCGAGTCAGAAGGGGTCTCCCGGGCCATCTAGTCTGACCCCCGGCTCCACCCGGCTCCGCTCACGACATGCCCGCCATGTGAATGTCTAGCCTATCCTTGAACACCCTCACCGATGGGGCCTCAACCACCTCTCGTGGAAGCCCATTGCACACCCTTGGGGTCCTGACTGTCAGGAAGTGCTTCCTGGCATCCAAATGGAACCTTGGCTCCCTGAGCTTTGCTCCGTTGGAGCGCCTTCTGCCTTCCTCTGCAGGGGAGAACAGGTCTCTACCCATCTCCATGTGACATCCCCTCACATACCTGTATGTCGCCAACATATCCCCTCTGAGTCTCCTCTTCTCCAGGCTGAAGAGACCCAGTTCCCCCAGTCTCGCCTCATATGGCATCCCCTGCAAACCGGCCACCAACCTTGTGGCCCTACGCTGCACTGACTCCAACCTGGCTATATCCTTTCTGTAATGAGGGGCCCAAAGAATGACACATGCAAACAAGAGGTCAGCAACCAGATCTGAACGACTCCTAAAATTCAAGGCCCTGTCTTGACTGTCTACACAATTATTCCCCCAGGGCTGCCTGGCCGTGAGATAAGGGGACGGGAAGAAAAGAACAGCTGATCCATTTCCCTGGGTTGAAGAAAGCTAGTTGAACAACAACTCCAAGAACCAGAGTTCCCCATTCTGCTGCCTCTAGAGCTTTTGAATTCATTCAGTCGTGTATTCGTTCATTCAATGTATACCTTAGCTTTCCACCAAACAAATGGCAGTCAAAGGTTAGCTAACAATAACCAAAACCAAAATTTAAAATAGAAGTGTAAAAGAGTAATAAAATAGATACAAGCACAATTAAAGAGCACAACCGTAAAAGAACAGGAATGGCACCTGGCCCAACAGACTGGATTACAAGCTAAGGACCTGCCTGAATAGAAGGGCCTCTGTTCCTTGGTGGAAGGACTACAAAGAGAACTACAACTCTCAGAATTCCTGACTGTGGGCCAGGGTGGCTGGGGCTGATGGGAGATAAAGTCCAAAAGACTGGGGTGGGCGAGGAGACCAGGTTGAGTTAGGCTGCAGCTCATCACTAAACCCAGGACCGACTCAGAAATTTCAGAGAGAGGCTCATGATTTTAAAGGAGAGAGCTGTGTGCATTGTGCTGAACTGTAATGAAACCTCAGGTTTTGCAAAAAGGAGTGAATTTGACTGATCCATGTGAAACATGCGCATGCAGAAATAAATCCCACTGATTTGAATGCATCACATGTTGTGCTCGTAAGTCTCATAGAGCAGGACCAAGTCTAGCCCCTCCCACTTATCCCGCCCCAGCCTCCATTACAGCTGGAGGATAAATATGTAAATATGCTTTTTCCTCTTCTTTTACCAGTTTCACTTTATGTGCGGCATTGGTTTAGCCCTCAATTTGTATTTGCTTGTGCTGCTGCGGATTCTTTTGGAGTGACCTAATTCATTAAAGGATGCATTTTGACTGAAAAATAACACCAAGAAGCCTGTGACAAGAAAGGATGGCCCAGATCATACATGAAAGTAATATATAACCCAATCCAAGTCCATTTATTAAAACATCAGGGAATAACATCAAGCCAACCAGCAATCAAAAATGAGAAACTTTGCCAGGGATCCTTGCAGGAAAAAACAATGCTAATGATATAATAAAATAAACAAATCAACATTGCAACAGAAGGTTAAAGTATACAAATAATACTCTAGCTTCTGTCAAGTCAGGTAATTAGTTTATCCCAGCCAGATAATGAATCCCGCCTAGTTTTGCTGGAACCAACTTTCTGTGCTATTAAAAAGACTTTCTAGTCTTTCCACCCATCACCCTGTTACCAAGGTCTCGTTTTTCAGTCCAAGTGCTGGAAACAAAGCGTGCATTTCATTTATTTAATTATTTAAGACTTTTCTATATTATTCTATAGTGAAAACTCTTATGTGGCAGTCATGGGACAGAATGGGAGTAGAAATCTGAGAGGCAGTGTGGTGTAGTGGTTAAGGGTGCATGCTTGGGACTCAGTCATCCTGCGTTCTAGTTCCTCTTCAGTCAAAGAGCCCGCTGGGAAACTTTGGGCCAGATACAAACTCTCAGCCCAACCTACCTCACCGGGTTGTTCTTGTGGGGATAAAATTGAGAGCAGCAGGAGGAGAATGATTTCCCTTGAGTTCTTTTTTAGAAAGAAAAAGGCAGGGTATAGATCTAATAAATAAATAAGATTTTGATTCACAAGCAGGCCTGTCTTTCCTTAGGCAGAATGTTTTCTCTGCTCGGGTCTGAGGTCCAAATTAATCCTGCTGACAAGGTCATGGGCAAGTTGTGAACAATGGACCCAGAAGTTATTGTATTTATCAGTCCTGTATCTGGAAGCTTTGTGAAGCTGGATCATTCCTGTGTACCCTGTTAAAGTCTAGAGTGGTACCACCTGCCTAAAAGTCTTGAGGGGAGAGGGAGAGAGAGAGAGAGGGGGGGGGCAGTTTTCTGCCCACCTTGTACGTCATTCCCCAATCTAGATCCACATTTCTAGGTGGCAGCTGGAAAGAAGGAGAGAAAAGGCTGACCAGAACAGGAGTTTAGGGAAGGCAGTCAATCCAAAAGCCACTGAACCCAAGGAAACCCACTTGGCTCACTTCTCTCTTTTGTCCTCTCTGTTTTGCCTGCCTTTTATGTGCTGTTGTTAGCCCACAGGTCCTGTGTTTCATCCTCCATTCACAAAATCTTGATTGTGCTCTGCAAGCTGCTCACGCCTCTGGCCTGGACAATGGCGCAAGCTGTGAATGACCTGGACTTTGTGAGGAAGGGTCTTCTTCAAAGGAAAGCATCGCCTGAGCCGCTGCCTTGCCATCTTCCCAGAAGATGCTTTGATCCGTGAGCTTCCCCCGATGCTCCGGACCACGGATGCAGCGCAAGGATGCATGGCAATTGGCAGGCACGGGGTGGCTTGTGCCCTTGGTGGTGAATTTTGCCTGGCGTGCCCAAACATTTTCAATTTAAGCTGATCTCATTCCCCGCTCCCCCCAGCCTGCCTCGTGGCACTGAGATAAGTCCAGGTGCTTCTTGACAGTCCAATCAGGTAGTAAAGCTTTCAGAGGCATTGGCAGCCCGGTGCTACCCATTAGCAGGCCATAAAATCCTGATGCTGATTATGGCACCGTAATGCAGTGCTTGGCTGCCCCTCTCTCCTCCTCCTCCTCCTCCTCTCCCCCCACCATGTGCTCGATCAAAACAGTCCCCTGAGCTGCTTCAGCCCACCCTGCCAGAAGGGCTCACAGTCAACGAACTGATAGTCCACGGTAGCCTTTCCCAGCTCCAGATGTTTTTCCCAGGCAGCCCAGCCTGGGGGGAATGACGGCAATCGTCATCCAGAGGTTAGAGAAGAACACATCAGGGCTGAACATCTAACCTGCTAATCCCCAAATGGTGTGGAATATTCCAATCCCTGTGCCCTCGAGGGGTGTTTTGCTCAGCACCCCGTCCTCTTTTTTCCATATCCCACCTCCTTTGCTCTCTTAGCCCTCTCCCTGCTTTCCCATTCTGATTGATTGATTGATTGATAGCATTTATATGCTGCCCCATAGCCAGAGGCTCTCTGGGCAGCTTACTCTGCAATAATAAACATACAAATAAAAATAAATGACAATAACTAAACCATAAAACATAATAGAATAAAATTCAATATAAATGCAACCATGTACATAAAACGGGGGGAAATAAACACGCTAGAACCAATAAAGCAACAACCAACAAACTATAAACAATAACCAGTAGCAAACCAATAGTCAAATCTAAAAATAGATACTAAATGAAAAAGTGTTAACTTGGCACTGAAAGCGAGATAAAGTGGGTGCCAGTCACACCTACCTTGGGAGGAAATTCCAAAGGTGGGGTGTGATGACCAAAAATGCCCTTTTCCTCGCCAGTTCCCCCTCACCTCATCGGGGGGGGGGGGGAGGTCATGAAGGAGGGCTTCCATTGATGACCTGAGTGGTCTGGTAGGGATATATGGAAACAGGCATTCCTTTAGATGTCCCAGTCCTATTCCTATTTCCTGGAGAAGCCTTCTGCTTTTCATGGCTCTATCCATTCTGTTTAGGGACCATGGGAATTTGGCTCAGCTTGCCTTTTGATGTGTCTGCTTAGCACTCCCTGAACTGGTACCCAGTTTTGCTCCAAAATCTGAAGTCCATCAGTGAAAAGGAAAGCAGAGCATACATTGGTTGAGAAAAGGCACGTACAAAAGGTGTGCATTGGGGAAAATGCACAGAAAATCATTTTAGCTTACAAGGAGGGGGCAGCCAATTTAAAATTGCACACATTTAGGGATCAGCATAAAAATCTACATATTTGTAGACATGGGCCCCAAAACACACACATTTTCATGTCCATGATTGATGCACAAGTAGGACAGAATGACGTTGACCTGCTAACTGCCAGTTTGGTATGGTGGTTAGAGTGTCCACCTGGGACTCAGGAGATCCGGGTTCAAGCCCCCACTCAGCCATGAAGCTCACTGGGTGATTTTGGGCCAGTCACAGACTCTCAGGCTTTTGTTGTGAAATTTGTGAGGTTGAAATGGAGAAGAGGTGGACCGTGTCTGCTGTCCTGGGTTCCTTGCAAGAGGAAAAATGGAGGCATACACACACAATGATGCATAAATGAAAAAATAAACATTCAGAGATACTGTATATGATGTTGGCCATCGCTATTACCACTGTGCATACAAGTGTGTGGAAACAGGCTTGGGAACAGGGATGTGTAAAATGTGCAGCAATTGTGTTTAACACAGTTCTCCGATTCTCCTTCTGACTCGTGCTTTTCTTTTTGCATGAAAATGTTTCCAAACGCACACCTCCATGGTGCCTGTTTTTGTAATGTACACGTTTTTACACACTGGTTTTTGAAAATGCATATACATTGTAAACAAATTGTAAGGGTGGACTTTGGAAATGGATGGACTTTGACTGCAAAGAGTCTTTGCATCCACATTAAATACTGGGAGGTGTCACTTGGTAAACTCTGGTTGAAATCAAACCAAAGTGAATTTCTCATACATTCCTTGAGAGAGCAGCTTTCCTCAAAGAATTCCAAATAGGTTCTTGGCTGCCCAGAGAATTAGACTGATAGTTTGCTGCCGGGTCCTGTGGTTATCTCTGATTCTCCTGCCTGTTTTGCTTAAACAGAGATGTCCTTCTGGTGGAACAAACGCAGAAACAAAATGATTCCACTCACCTTTCCATTGGGCAAAAGTCGGCGCACCTCCACTCGATTAAGATGCCAACCAGAATTGATGCCTGAACCATCGTGCCCGATGCGAATCTTTTCCAGTATGTCTCCAACGTCCTCAAGCTGCAGAAATTTAGGGACATATCAGCAAAGCAACCCATGCTTGGTAACTGTCTTTGTACCCAACATCAAATCCCATTTTTCTACATCTCTTGATCTTCCTAACGGTATAATGCAGCAGCGAACATCCTGATAACATCTCAAAACGCAACCACCTCAAGAGAGCCTTAGCGGTGGTATCTACATTAACAGGTTTCAGAGAGCTGTAGCCACTGAAGCTTCTGACCTGGCAAAGGGGGCTCACATTAGAGACAGAAATGGAAAAAGCCACGGGAGAAGAGCAGCAGATTCACACATTTAGAAGAGATGTGGCAAATCTTTTAAGGACTGTCCCTCCTTCTTCACTCACAAAGGAGGGACTCTCCTGTCAGGTGTGCCTTGCAGAAAGCGAGGCTTTGATTTGGTTTCCTCCAGCTAATTTGTGCCGCCCGATGGAGGAGGTGAGAAGGTGAAAGGGCACCTGAGCCGCAGCCTGTTGGGCTCAGTAGTGCCCCCTGCTCCATCTCGCTTGGGAGCAGTTGTTTAGTGCACTAGGGGACGGCACTGAACCCGCACATCCCAGCGCCACTTCCCTGCCCCAAGGCTAGAACTCCATCTCTGACCTCACATCCGGGGAACTCCAGGTGTGCTCTGCATTGCTCTAGAACAGAGTAGGGCCCCTGTGCCCCCTCCCCAGTTTGTTCATTTATTTATGCATTTAGCAATATTTTTAGACTCCTTATATTCTATGCGATGCACAGAAGCAAAGACAGGATTACCTTCCTAGGAATACTTATTGGAAAATGCATATTTTCAGTAAGCACTGAAAACCCAGAGGGATTTTCTGCTTTATGTCTGCTTAATGTGCAATAGCTGGGATTCTAGAAAATGGGCATACACACACTGATGCCCCTATTCTGAGACCTGGTAGACCCACTGGACGTTTTGGTCCTGGGTGACTCTTTTTGGTGCCAAGTAGAGACTTCCTTATTTTCCCAGGCATTTCAGTTTCTGTTTCTTTCCACACTTTTGCTGTGTTTTAAGTCTTTCCACCGCTGCTCCATTTTACCTTGGTTTCCTTTTTATCTTATATTCTGGTTTTAAACATTTAAGCTGGGCTTTATTAGAGTTTTAGCTGTTGTGAACTGCCCAGAGAGCTTTTGTTATTGGGCAATATGGGAATATTTAATTATTTATTTAATTATTTTTATTTTTAAAATTTGTAGACCACCCCATTACTGAAGTTTCAGGGTGGTTTGACAATATAAAATGTAAGAAAAGAAAAGAAAACCATTATTAAAACACAGCATCCTAACATTTAGTAATAATAAAACGCCAATTAAAACAGTCAGGTCTTAAAACATTGGGAAAATAAAAAGGGGTTGGCCTGGTGCCAGCAAGATTGAAGTGACGGCACCAGACCAACCTCTCTGGGGACTGGATTCCACAATCAGGGTGCCACCACAGAGAAGGCCCTTCTCTGGGTAGTCACCGTCCTAATCTCCTTCAGGGAGGGCACCTGTATTGTATTGTATATAATCAATACAATGTCAGGTACCAAGAGGCAGCTATCCAGATGTTGTCTGACTTCAGCTTCCATGGATCCATCTCACATGGCCAATGGTCAGTAGTGATGGGATGTTAGTTCGGCAACTCGTGGTGTTTCAGCCCATTTTCTAGCAAAAGTTTGTTAAATGGGATCGCTTCCTCTGGCTCCAGCTGAAGTTAAATAAGTGCTTGATGACAAAAGCTTTGTTCACTTTTGCCTGGCTCTTTTAGATGATGCTAGCATCTCTCATTTGGAAAAGACAGAATTAAAATCCGTTCTATTTATCTGAAAATATATAACAATGAAGGGAAAGGAACGATCTTCTCCCTCTTCCGCCCATCACAAATAATTAGGCTGCTTTTGTGCATAGTAAAGAAGGGCCACCTGACTTTAAAGACTTGCATGACACAACAAATAACAAGAATAAAATGAGCATTTGTTCCATCACTTTCTCCAGAGCCAGCAAATCACCTCCTGGAAGGGTAGCTGATAGCAGTTTCTTAAATGCTTTTAGGATGCCATCTGCAGAACAAAAGCAGTTCTGGCAGTACAACTACTAAGACCAAAAAAAAAAAGGCAATTCACAGCTCTGGGTGATCAGGAATGTCGGAACTGTTTTCAAGGCCTATTATTATCAATTCACGCAAACAGTGATAGAAGACAACGTTCTGTGCTTCTTTTTCTCCTCGGCCTGCTTGCTCCCAGTCTACTCTCAGTGAAAAAAGGCAAAACCTGCTTTAAAAAGAAATGAGATTTGTAGATGGCTTTTGTATCAGGGCAAAGAATAAGATGCACAGGAATAAGCAGCCCATTCTTGATGGTCACTCTTGCATTATTTCAGGAAAATAGCTGCTGGCCCAAGTATCTCTTCGCTTTTTAAAAAATAGGGTTACACAAAATTGGGAAGGGTAGAATGGACTGCAAAACGTTCAGAGGATGTTATTAAAATGCACACATAAGAATGCTAGGTCCATTTTTGATGTCACTTAATCTACTGGGATAAACACACTTTCAAGCCATGTTGCGTCTGTTCCCTTCTTCCCCATAAATTTGCATCCCGACCCTCCTCTGCCTCCTCCCCTTCCTCTGCTATTTGTCTAGCAATTCTTACACTCTTAAAAAAAAAGCCAAATTACTTGGAAAGCATAAATGGCAGCTGCTAACTAAATTATGCAGGCATCTTTAAAGGTGCGATGATTCTGAGCATGCAGATTGAGTTTTCCAGTTGAAACATTTGCAATGAAAGAGGAAAGGACTTATGAAGAGCTGTGCTGAATCAGGCAGATCTGGTCCCAAATTCTTTTCCTGCACTAGCTAGTTGGATGCTGCTGGGAAGGAGGACATGGCCACCAAGTCCTCTCCTGAGCAACGAGCATTTGGTAAACCAGCTTAAGAGGAAGGCCATTCCATCCCCATGTGCATTTCTCTACATTAGTCAGATCAGTAGTAACCAGAATTTGGGAGTAATGATGAGAAAGACAGCAGTTCCGTTTGCAGTTTGTAGATAGCTATTATGAACTTTTAAAATAGATGCTCCCTGAATCTAACACTGTTCATGGCCATCAACTGCATCTTTGGGGGTAAATTCTATAGTTTACATTTGCACTGAGTAAGAAGTTTCCATTTATTTATCCTGAATCTCTCACCAATCCCCTTCATGGGATGACCCTTTTGGGTTCTAATATTATGAGAGAGGGAGAAGGCCAGACTATGCATCATTTTGTACACCTCTGTAGGGTCTCCCCTCACTCCCCTTTCCTCTAAGCTCAACAGTACCAGATGCAGAAATGTCTCCTCACAGCCCCTTGGCAATCTTGGTTGCCTCTTTCTACACCATTTCCAGCTGTACACAACCCTTTTGAGGTCATGGCAAACACTGCTTTTACGTTACCTCCACGATGAACTGATTGACAGAACGCCTTTCGAAGAACATCCTCCTCTCCCTCTTGTTTTGGCACAAGGATTTCTGCTGCGTGCAAATCCCATCCGCTCCATACAGAACAACAAAAACATCTGCATCCGTGCCAGCTCCGAAAATGTCACTTGTGTACACAGTGATCTCATAGGGCACAACTGACCAAGGGGAGAAGCAAAGGATGGAAGAACACAATCAGACACGACTGACCACGCGGGACCCTCTCCCCCACATGTAACTATGGGGAGGAGGCTGAATTCTTGGGACCATCCAGAGGCAGCCATTGCGGGTGGCCACACCAGCAACACGGCAGACACTCGTTCGGACAGTCCCCACAGCTATACCCTATGTCCTATGGAAGGAATAGCTTCACACTTAAAGGGATTCCTGTCCAATTCAGAGAGAGACGGAATCCAAGCAGATTTCAAGCTACAATATTGTAGGGAGAAGTCCTGGAGCAGCGCCTCAGCATCACAGAGAGCTGGCTTAGTTCACAGGGAGCTTCTGTGGCAAATACGGCCTTTCACAGGTTGTTTCAGTGAGTCTTGGGACACAGACAAAGCAGGAAAGGGGAATTTGGTGGCACAGTTACCATGTGGCGACTTCTATGGCATCTTATGTCTGGGGATTTCAAAATACTAACTGTAACAGCCCCCCCCCTGCAGAAATGTAATCTTTAGAATTCATTGAGTGTTCCCTGGCCTTGGTTAAGCTTTGCTTCATAGGCAGCATCATCTGGGCTAACCTTTGAGCTAATTCTCCTCTAGAAGGATGCCATAGCTCTGCTCCCAGGCCACCTCAAAGTTGCAGGCAGCTTTGTACACCCAGATCAATGCAGCCATTCGGAGAGTTTTCATCTGCTAGGAAGAGGTCTTTTCTCAGCTCAGGGGTCCGCATTGCCCATTCAAGACCGAGCTTCCCCCAAGTACCTTGCGCTGAAACAAGAGACAATGGACTACCGCTAGGGCAGTGAATTTTCCTCCAGCTCCTGGGGGAATCCCTGCTCCTTCCGAGGGATGCAGGGAGCAGCATCCTGCACATACGGTGCCAGTGCTGCGTCCCTGCGCTACACGGAGGGCCAAGCCCCGTCGTGCCCTTGTTCTGGCCATTTTGCCTTCCTCCACGCCGGGAGGATCATGCTGTTCTCTACCACGTGTGTCCTAGAGAAAGCGGAGAGTGGCACCGATTACGCAGAAGGACACGGCTGCTCCTTCAGTGCTGGGCGAGGCCACTGGGCTCACATCCCTGCTCCAGTATGAGATTGGAGATCATGGCAAGGCCCCAGCCGGGGACAGAGCAATCCGTGCTGGCTGCCTCCCAGCCCACTGCCTGCCTGCTCACTGCTCACCAGCACCCCGATTTCAGCTTCTTCCAAACAGGCTGCTTGGCGCAGGGCAAGCCTGCGGCCGACGCTGCCTCCAGGGGGACCCTTTTGCACTATGGCTCTGCAGCTCATCTCCCCAAACTCTGGGTTAGCCGTGGTGCAGCAGGTAAATGCCTGGGCCGCTGGGCTGCCGATTGAACGGTCGGCAGTTCGAAGCTGTGTGACAGGGCGAGCCCCCATTGCCTCGTCCCAGCTCTTGCCAATTCAAAAGCATGTTTGCGAGTAGATAAATAGGTACCGCTTTGGTGGGGAAGAAACAGCTCCCGTGACGTTATGCTGGCCACATGACCAGGGGAACATCTTCAGACAGTGCTGGCTCTGGGCCATTGAAATGGAGATGAGCACTGCACCCTACAGCTGATTCAGCTAGCAGATAAAAATCCACAGGGACCCTTCCCGTCCCGTCCCGTCCCGTCCCTTCCCGTCCCTTCCTGTCCCGTCCCCTTCCCTTCAAGTAGAAGCTGTACTGGAGCTGAGCCTTCAGTAGCTCTCAGACCAACAAACTGGGGCACAGGGAAAGCATCCAGCTGTAATCTTTGCTCTGGCCAAAGAAGCAAAGAGAAGAGTCAGCTCTCCCAGTCAAAAAAATCCCTTTGCCTCACTAGGCCGGAGAAGATCCAGAAATGCTCCTCGGCCACACAAAAGCTTCTAGGTCAGGATCATTTCATGGCCCGATCAACAAGGAAGCCTGCTCTTGCTGGCCATGACTTCCTTCAAGGCAGGATGTTTTGGTTTTCAGTGCCCATGAGCATCTGCCTGCAATGGCCAATGCTGACGGATGGCCCCAAACCCTGGGAGATCTACCTGTGGGCCACGCCGGGGGCGCTAGGTCTGGGGAGGCTGTCCCTCATAGGTTCTCTGCCCAACTTGCCATTCAGCAGCTACAGCAAACGGAGTCCCTGCAATTCATCTTCACTTGCTGACCTGCATGGCCAGAGTTGGGTGTGCTTTTAGGTATAACTCAATCTCACCGGAGGGCTTGCAGTATCCATGTCTGTTCAGCAAATGGCCCAGAGTGATGGTGATCAGACCCAGGCACGCACGTTTATCATCTGATATGTCAGGGACCTGTTGTCTGGGGCAACTGGCCATGGCTCCGTGCCAAGCAGAACCTCCCAGCCCCACCCGGCAGCTGCAGCTACAGCCTGGAAAGACCCTTGAAGACGACATTCACTCCACGTGGTGTGGAGCAGGGACGGGGACCTCTGATCCTCCAGATGTTGTGAGAATACAGTTTCCATCATGCCTGGTATCTGCCTGGCTGACTAGGGATGATGGGAGTTGGAGGTCTACAACATGTGGAAGGATGCAGACTCCCTGATTCTTGCTTGGACAAGGTGGACTAGTTGGTTGACTCCATATTCCAGAAGCTTCCTACTTCCCTGTGGATCAAAGTATGCAGACAAACTGTGCATTGAAGTCATGAAAGTAGCTGCAAATGCACTTTTAAAAAGACATTCAAACGTGCATGAGTGGAGGAGTGTCAAAGAAGACCCCTGCTCTCAGTTTCAGGAGTCGGGATGCCAGCATTTGAATTGACCCTCTTAGCTTCCCTTGAGTATCTAAAAATGAGCAGCTGAGTGTATTTAGCTGTGTGTTGTGACAAGCTTTGCCTGCTGGTTGCCTCGTATCAAGCCAGGGTTAAGAATGCAGATACACAGATGTGGCGAAATCCATTCCGTCTATTTTTCATGGGCCGGCAGGCAGCTTCAGTGGCATCTTCTGCCCATGGATGGAATCCGGTTTTACAAAGTGTACTCATTCACATCTGTGCAAATTTGCACTTGTGCCTCTTTACACACCCAAAAGCACACAGTTCCTAGAAAAGTGGGCTAATATCTCAAAATGTTCCTTTTTATTCTTGAGACTATGGGGGAAATGCACCTCTTGGTCTACTTTATGCATTTTGATGACTAAATTGGCAAAAGTTGCCTAAAACAAAGGGTCTGCAAGTCTGCAGATTTCATGGAGCTCAGGGAGAAAAAATCTACTATGGAGTCTGTGGGTTGGAGTCTTAGAAATTCAGAGTCATTTAAGTCCATTGCAGATTTCTGCAATGCAGGCAGGGGAGCAAAGTTGGTTTCTCTCTCTCTCCCTCTCTCTGAGGCCAGGTATTAGCTATTCAACTAGAGTTTCTCTGAGCATGCTCTGTTTTGATTCTAGTCGTCCTCGTAGAACAACTTGTACCCTTGCGCACTTCATGCATTACTCAGCGCTGAAAGGAAATCTCTCCATCATTCAGCAATCAGCCAACTGTAGAAAGGGCTACACCCAGGAGTGCAGCAGGAAACAACAGCAGGAAAGCTGCATTTTCCTATTTCAAGCGAAATATGCCAGCAAAGCCAAAAGATGCTTTGCCACCCTCCTGCCTCATTCATGTGGGGGCTTAACAGTCACATGCCCCGAGGGGCCATTTTAATGGGGACACAGAATGACATAGGAGCCCCTTCCTCCTTGGCAACAACGAAACCTCCCAAAACGTTATCCGATTGCTTTATTTACTGCCTTCCTGCAAAGCAGTTCTCACAATCTGTGGGGCTTACGATTGGAGCATGAGGTTATGGTTAGACATGCAATGTATTTGAGATAGAAAGTATTTAAGTCATGCGACTGGGTAGAAGGCGAAGTGCTCAAATGTTCCTTCTTGCCTGGTCCAGTGTTGTCAACCTTGTGGCTGGTCTGGAAAGAAAAGCACAGCTTTCTTGTGTGTTTATGCTCTGAAGCAGCTTTCTCCACCCTTGTTCCTTCCAGACACATTTGGTCTGCAACACCCAGAATTCCCAGTCATTGGCCCTGCTAGATGGGAATTCTGGGAGCTGCGGTGCAAATGCCCCTGAAGGCTGCCAGGTTGGGGGAAGGCTGCTCAATTCCTCAGCCCTGAACTAGGCCTGCAGGTAGGAAGATGTATTTCAATGTATTTTATCATGTTGTAAGCCGCCCCGAGGTTTCGGCAAGGGGCGGCATAGAAATGTTTAATAATAATAATAATAATAATAATAATAATAATAATAATAATAATAATAGATGCAGGTAGGAAGATGCAGTGCTGTCAATTGCCAAGCCCTTGCAGAGCCAATTCGGCTTTTTAAACTCGGGCACCAAAACAGCACTTCTCTGTTTCGCCAGCTTTCTGCCCTATCAAGGCGGCTTGTATGATAAACGCTGCAATGCAATCCGTGCTTATTTGACTGCAGGCCCCGCTGAGGTCGATGGGACTTGCTTCCAGCTAGTTGTGTGCACTTTGCATCGCAAAACAAGAGCCAGTGTCGCAAAACAAGAGCCAGGGGCCTCAACAGCAGGCCCCGACAGGGCTGCTGAGGCCTTTTCAGCCGGAGTGAGGGATCCCATTCCCAAGCATGGGATTCATGCTTGCCCTTGGCGGGCAGAGCTGAAGGCAACTTGGGAAAAGGGAGGCGTCCGAAGAAGGACAAACTGCCAGCTTATTTTAGTTGAAAGCTTTGCCTGCTGGGAACTCACTCTTAGAAGAGGCATTTCAATGCTTTGCAAAAGTGGGGGTGTGGGGGGGGGCACACAAAAAGACGTGCAAGTCAGGAGGCCATCAAACGGCTGGTGATGGGGAGAAGGGGGCATGGCTGCTTGTGGAACCTGAAGGGGCTGCACTGAGCCCAGGAGGGCCAAGGATTACAGAGCTGGGCCTCGGATTCCTCACCCTTCCTGCCAATTAGGGGCAAACCAAGAGGAAAGAAAAGAAGCCCGCTAGCCACAAGCCTTCAAGCAGAACCCCCCACCTCTAACGCCTTACAGAGGCTGCGGTGCAGAGAGTGAGGTGCAAGCTGGCCATTCTCAGGGAGAACGTTCCAATGCCTGGGTGCAGCAACCAAGGAGATCTTATCCTGGATTTTCACCCGTCTTCTCTCCAATGATTAGGAATCATTCTTATTATCATTATTATCCCAGCTACAGCTTCTATGATCCGCAGTACCCAGGTTTACAAGGCAAATACGCACACGGGACCACAACTGGCAATGGCAGACTTTTCCCACATTAAAAATGGAAAGAAACTGCAGCAATCTCTTTCTAATCACCTTACTGAGGGATATCTGCCCCTTTGGACACGGGTAGGGCACTCACAATGGACGGGGCCAGCCATGTATGGAATGCGCTCCCCAGAGAGGTCCGCCTGGCGCCGTCGTTATTTGTTTTTCGGCGCCAGGCTAAGACCTTTTTATTTAAGCAACATTTTAAATGCTAAATACAATTGAATTTTATCTGGCCAGGGCGGCTTATTTTATAATGTGTGTTTTAATTAAGATTATTTTATATGGATATTTTAACTTATTGTTTTATCTATGTTGTAAGCCGCCCCGAGGCTTCGGCGAATGGGGCGGCATAAAAATGTTTTAATAAATAAATAAAATAAATGTATTTTGCTACAGGAGATGTGCGCTCTAGCTTCATGGGAAACACTGAGGACTTTGAGCGGAGAGCAAGAGAAGCTGACGACACCTAAGTCGGTAGCGTTCCTTATCCAATGCAGCTGTTATCCTGAGCTTTCCGCGGTGGTGAACCCATTCTGGGGATGGAGTTCAGCACTATGGATAGCTCTTATAAATGCCAAAGAGGCACTGCAATGGCTTAGGAAGCTTACTGACACTAGCCTCCCTGGCAAACAGTCATTCGCACTGCCTGGCTAAGGACTTCTCTTGAAGTTCTGCTTTGAGATGCCTTCAGTTTTCATTCCTGGGAGACTCCCTAGATTGGTGGGGCTGAGGCCAGTCTGACTTTTATGCTGAGTGCTTTGTTGAATTCGGGACTCCAGCATGCATATTATGGATGATAGAACCTGGTCGTGCTTGTCCCGCCTGCCACTGCTACTCACATGGGACATACGTTCTTGTTTGCAGTTCTGCAGGAAACAGGACCCTTTCGATAGCTCCGTCATCTTCTGATCTGTCCAGCCAACGACCACAAGGAAACTTCAGGCACAAGCCCTGGCTTGGAGCATCCACTTCTACCCACTCCAGAAACCAGCCCTGAGAATTTCCTGAGGAGGAATGGAAGACCTTTACTTGCCTCCAACACTGCCTAGAAGACTTGCAGAGTTATAAGGCAGCCACGGGTCTTCTTCTACGAAGGACAGACCCCCATCTGAAGGGCTGCCCATGGGCTGCCCTCTATTTTGAAAGTGCTCTTTGTGAATATCCTGGACTGACCAAAATAAAGGATCAACAAATGGGACCTGGATCGAATCAAGCCAGAGCTCTCCCTGGAAGCAAAAATGGCACAACAGAGGCTGTTGTACTTCAGGCATGTTATGAGAAGGCACGATTCCCTGCAGAAGACAATCATGCTAGGGGAAGAGGAAGGCAGACGAAGAGGAAGACCAACAGCCTTGAATTTACAAGAGCTAAGCAGGGCTGTGGAGGGCGGGACCTTCCCAAGGGCATTCATTCATAGGATCGCCATATCTGACAGACAACTTGGCGGCACACGACAGCAGCACCAACGTTTATTTGAAGGGCTGTCCAGTTCAAGCCTGGTATAAACTTAAAGAACTATCAGACGGAAGAGCTGGGCCTTGAAGTTACCTGGATAGAAGACCGAGCAGGACATCCTGGTCACCTGGTCACAGTCCTCCACACTACAGTGATGGCCTAGATTTCCAGCTCATACTAATTATTTCTAAATGTATGCATATAGATTAATATATATACAAATCAGTCCTTTTTATCTTCTTTGATGATGCATGCCTGATCTTTTCTCTGATAAGCTGACTTTGACAAAGATTATTCTCATTTCTCCTGCTGTCCTTCTCGTGATATTTCCACTTTTTTGCTAGGTCAAGTCGCTTGCAGCATAGTTAGCTCAAGCCTTGTATCTGCAGCGCATCTGGCGACCTATGGCGAGCAGAGCTCATCCACCTGGCGTTCCTCCCTTTGGACAACTGGGCCAGGCCCAGATCAACCTCTCTTGTGTCCAGATCAACCTCTTGGAAGGATGCACCGAGCACTTCCGCCAAGGCACAGGCCTTGCCCAGAATCCATACTGCTCTTGTTGTTGTTCTTTGGCCAACTTTAGCTCCCCACCACCCAAGGCCTTGTGCAAGTATTCACAAAAACGATCCACCACCTGTGAACCAATACCACGTCAACCTGGAGCCCTCCAGCCGTTTTGCACTACAGCTCTCATCATCCTCTGCCACTATGCTGGTGGCCATCCTGGCAGCAGTTCAGAGAGCAGACTGGGTTTATTTCATCATTCGAGTAAGCTATACTGCCCTAGTGTTTTAATCCTGAACTAAATGTGTATTTAAAAAAAGAACTTGCTTGGACAATTTTATATAGTATCATGTAAGCATACCTGAGTCATCATGGCCGATCTTGATTTTCTTCAGATCTCCAAGGTCCACACACTCCACTGTGAATACATCCCTCTTCCTTCGCTCAAATTTGTTCTTGTTTGTCTTGGAGGCCTTCAAGAAGATCGTCCCTGTTTCATTTTAATCACAGTTATTTCCCAAAAAGCAGAGCAGAGTTGGCACTGGCAGGTTCTCCATCTGGGCATCTGCCTCAGTGCTGGCCGCCTGGGGCCACCTCAAGAGCAGAACTTGGTGGGCATGAGAAGCCCAGGAAAGCTGAAGGTATTACCCAGAAAAGAGTCTGTGTCCTTAAGGACTCTGAGCATATTTTCTTGCTTGCTACACTTATTCTGGCCTCAAACAGGGCAATCTGGATATACAGTGCAGTGCTGGTCCATGTGGGGCCCTTGCCAACGATCCTAAGGACAATCATTTTAATTAGCATTGCATAATGCAATAATAAAAGCACTCCGCAGATATTGTGCTCATAGTCCTTAATGGCTAAGGGAGATGCTTATGCATTTTTATCCCCCTATAACAAGGGTGAAAAGTGGAGCAGAGCAGGCTGCAAGAAGCCATCAGGTAAATTCACTGAACTGAGCTTCATACTGAAACACCCAGATTGCATCTCTTTGCCATGGCAACATGCCATTTCGCAGTTGTGCATGTTATAGTGGACATCTTCAGTTTAGTGCGAATGTTGATAAACCCCGAGAAACTTGGCGATTGTCATTGTTTTAATGTATTTTGTATTCGATGTTGTAAGCCGCCCCGAGGCCTTGGCAAGGGGCGGCATAGAAATGTTTTAATAAATAAATAAATAAATAAATAAATAAATAAATAAATAAATAAAGTCAGAGAGACACTGAATACGGACAATGACCAAAATGTGATTGTTCAGGATTCAATGGTATATGAAGTCAGGAATTGACTATCTTCAGGCATTCAGATGAATGTTGGTATTGCCCATATTTTGTTCAATCACAACAGTTAGGAATGGGGGAATCTGCCAAGCTCCGTTCCACAAAGGCTTTCAGTATCCCACTGTTCAGTCTGTTCCATCCCATTTCCTCACCATAGCACAAAATAATTATACTGACAGTAAGGGTAATAATGACAACGATGACCCTTATTTTTGCACAAAAGGTCATCCATTCTTTCTTGTGCATTTTTCAAAATATACACGTTCTTTTAAAGCTGCACATTTTCCAAGCAGTTTTTCAAGTTCCCTTTCTCTTTTTCTTTGTCAACTGTATAATATACTTTAGAAAACTAAATGCATTTCACTTCATGTTTAATTTCGGAAAGTGCCGTTCTGTTAAATTTGCATAGAGATGAGATCCAAATTAGTTTTGTACCCAGCCCTACAAGATTCCTACCAGTGTGATACGTTCTGCAATGCAACCTGCCCTGCACTTAGTACTGGGACCAAGAAGAGCAATAAGGAAACTCTAGAAAGTTCAGGGGAATAGGAAGAACCCTGGACACTCAGCCAAAGGATTCGAAGAAAGGACAGGTTAGCTAGCCCTCACCAAGAAAAATCCTGATGGGATTCAGCTGCTCTAATGAGCACACTGTTTGCCATGGGAAGATAAAGGCCTTAACAAAAAGAGTGGATGAAATGGTCATGGCATTTTTCTTGAGCCCTGGCAACCAATTTTACAAGTGGCCAAAGGCCAACCGTGTTTCTTTCTTGCTTTCCAGGACTGCACTGTGTTCTTACCTGTATCATCTTTAGTTCCATAAAGAACAATGAAGACATTGGCATCCGTCCCGCCGTGTTTCTTGTCCCCCGTTTGCACGGACACAGTGTATGTAGTAGATTTGTCTGTCAAAAAGAAACACCTCCGTTGGGCAGGGTGACTTCAGGGCCGCTGTGCATTTTACCACCTCTCTTGTTCCATTTCGTGTGGTGGGGAAAATCTGCAAAGTCATCTCAGGTCTAGGAGGTAGGGATTAAGGATAGACAAATTGTGGAGCTCTCATTTTCCAGTGACAACACACTCTGACTTCTCTCCACACTGGGCTGTGACTCTTTTTTCCTGCACAGACATGCATGCATATTCCCCTGTGCACAATGTGCAGACTTGGTATTCAAAATGTGCAGATTTGGTACATCTAAAGTGTCAGCTGACACATTTGTGAAAGAGGGATGCTCTTTTGAAAGAGGTGCTGCCACTGAGTACTGGCTCCTACCCTGTGTGTCATTAGAAGTGGAGGTGGCTGCACCTTTTTCTGAAACACACCATTGGATCAGTGGTCCAGCAAGGTGAGCCTGCATCTGGGTGATGGAAAGTGAAAAAGGAAGGCCTCTCACAATGCTACTGTGGCCAAACACAGTTTGACAAAGGGTGGCCATGGTATTTTAGGGCAACAGGTAGGTGGGCTTGGTCTCCATAAGGCTGATGGATCTTGGGAAGCCTGGGAGATGCCCAGAAAGTATTTCTTTGCTAATAAAGACACAGAAAAATTATAAAGGGTCCAGCAGAGGGCAATAAAAATGATCCAGGGTTTGGAAACCCTTCTCTATGAGGAGAGTCAGAGAAGTGGACATGTTCAGCCTTGAGAAGAGAAGACCGAGGGGGGACATGAGATCCCTCCATAAGTACCTCAGAGGCTGTCACAAAGAGGAAGGTCAAGATCTCTTCTGGCTGATGCCAGAATGTAGGACACAGAATAATCAGTTCAAGTTGTGACAACCCAGATTCAGGCTGGACATCCGGAAAAGCTTCCTCACCACCAGAGCAATGCGACAGTGGAACCAGCTGCCTGGGGAGGTGGTGGGCTCTCCCACAGTGGGGACATTCAGGAGGAATTGGACAGCCATCTGAGTGGGATGCTGTGATTTGGTATCCTGCAACAGCAGGGGGTTGGACCTGATGGCCTTCATGGCATCTTCCAACTCTACTATCATATGATTCTGTGATTCTACATGTATAGCTCCTCTTTCCTCCAAGAAGCCCAAGGCAGCTCATCTGCTCTTCCCCCTCTCCATTTTATCTTCACCACAACACTGTGATACAAGCTGGGCTGAGAGGCAGGGACTGGAATTTTGTGGCCATCCGGAGATAGAACATGGATCTCCCGAGTCCCAGATCAGCACCTGAACCAGTAGGGTGCATGGGAGGGTTATATCAAAGCTCAGTGCAGTCCATCCCTTGGGTGCATGAGGATTTCCTTTCATGCTCAGCCCTGTATCGAAGAGTGAATCAAGCTGAGAGGAAGGCTGCAGATGCGGGCAGAATGAAGCCCACACCACTGGCAACCTTCTTGCGTATCATGTGCGGCAGTGCAAGCAAAGGCTGCTGCAGGAGGCAAGCGAAAAAGGAAGCTGCTTGTGCAGGGCTGCTCTGTTTCTGGCAAGCAAGTGCGAGCAGTGGGCGAGCTTGCTGGAACCTGGGCTCATGGCCACTTCAAAGCAGAAAGGAGTCTGGAGAGCCAAGCCCAGGGAATCCAACAGATTCCCAGCCCCAAAACGGATCCCTCGCACAGCCCTTGTGCACGGATGCTGCAGCTCTTCCAGATGCCAAGGGAAGTGCAGCCTGGCAGCTCAGAATGGGAAACAAGGACGAGTCCAAAGAAGAGACGAAGCAACACGAGGCTTTATGAGTTCCTTTGTCCCCCTTCTGCGGCTGCTGAAACCCCAGGAGTCCAGTTAGCACGCCTGATCCTGTATTATATTACACACGAGACATAATTAACTTACTGGATCCATTGTCACAGCAATCGGATGGCTGCCAGCACCCATCTGCTGCCTCCAAGGGTTCGGGGAGCAGACGGCCGCCCCATCCCTTGGCCATACCCTTTGGCCTGGCTACCAACCTCTTGGTGGCTTCGAGGCTTCTGTGAAGTGCCTTCCTCATTTTGAAAGGGTGAAATGCCTCCCTGAGGCTTAGTTAGGAGCACTCAGGGCTTTAGGTTAAACCATGCTGATATTTTTAATCATTTGGCCTCACCCCCTTTGCTTCCAGTTGAACCCCTTTGCTTTGGCCAACAGCAGAATGCAACTCCCAGGTTCTTCTCCAAAAGAGAATTCAGCCCTTGGGCTGAAAACAATTCTGCACCTCCAATACGTAGGCCAAAACTCAGTGGGAGGGTTTCTTTGCATGTCTAGTTATCTTTGGGTGGGGGAACCCCCCCCCCCCCACACACACACTTTGATTACAGCAACCCCTGTAGTTTGGGTCCTTCCGTTGTGACCCCTTGCGCCTCAAGAGCCATAGTAGAAAGATAAATATGAATATATCAGTACGTCTATGGACGATCTTTGTACTGGTGTGTACTGGTGTACTGGTGACAACTACAGCATGGAAGATAAGGACAGAAAATGGTTCTCTCATGCTCGCTGGACCTCTTCCCATGCTTTGCCCTGACCTGGAAGTAAGCAAAGCTGGGATCAAGTCCATGCACACGCAGGAATGCTAGCAGTTCCTTTGCACAAAACATGCAAAGTGTGTAATTCTTTGCACAAAGCATGCAAAGCCTGCAAGTCACGTGCTTGAAAATGTGGCCTTCCTCCCTGCCAGATGCCCGCATGAACGCTCAGCATGAGGCAGACTCAGGGAGGAGAGAAAGTGGGCCAGACTCCAGGGGGCTCCGCCAAAGAAGCCCGACGGATTCTCACCCGCAAACTGGGTTCCTCACACGCCTAGTGACAATGTCCAGTCACTGCATTTAGAAACCGTCTGCCTCTGGCTTCCAGATTCCACAGACACCTAGCAAGACATGATATTCTCCTTCTGGCCAACTCACTGGCTCCCCGTCATTTCAAAAATCTGCAGAAAGCCAGCTTTGTGCATTGTTACAGCAGCCACTGGGTACTCCTGGACAGTGTTTTGAGATGTTGTTCAGTGCGGAAATCAAAGGAGGCTTGCTTCCAAATCTTCCAAAGTGTGGGATGCAGCTGCCTTTGCGCTTCCAATGATAGCACAGGGAGGATTTAGGCTGGAACAGGAGGCAGACGCTGCTCCAGAATCCTGTATCTAAGCATATTCCAAGACAGTTGCCTTGGGCAGCAGACAGGGCCAAGGAGTAAAACGGTTGCCAGGGCTGCACCGATTCTCCCCTGCTCTGAGCCAGGGAAGCTCACCTGGCCTGCATGATCACAAGGCGTGATAATGGTGGAATGGCCTCATGCAGGTCCCGTTTGAGAAGAACCACAGGGGCATCCACATGCCTGCACAGAGGCTGGGGTGGTGCCTGCAGGCATTATTCTGACCCGCTCCCCCAGACACACAGTGTGCCAATTAACCGTGGGAAGAGGGCCAGCAGGGGGGCCAGTGCTTGAGGTCGAGTTCCCACCTGCAGAAGGCCTTCCGTGCTCGGTTGTGCTGTTCACAGCATGAGACTCATGGCAGGGATCACCACCTCCTCTCGCCCCGCCTGAGATACTGGCCGTCTCAGGAAGAATGAGTTGCAGCTCGGTGCAAAGCACTTGCTGTGCATGCCAGAGGCCCCGGGTTCAGGCCGTGGCCTCTCTGGGTGGAGCTGGGAAAGACTCTCTGTCTGAAAACATGGAGACCTGTTGCTAGGGATGCACGAGCAATTCCTTTGTTCGGTTTTGATCCAGATTTTGCCCAGCACGCACTAGGGATGCAGAGATATGCCTGGGATCTGCTTCTCTCGTGCTCTCTGGACGTCTTCCCTGCACTTGGTCCAGAGCTGAGATCAAGTCCACACATGCTCAGGGACACGACTGGGCCGCTTCATGGCACCGCGTCTCGTTCAGGCCCATTCCCCCACGGAGCACGCAATCCGCACAGGCTGAGCAAGACATGCACAGCCCATGGCCAGCGCTAGGATGAGCCCTGATGTGCCAAGGTCTCCCTCTCCCACAGGCAGCCTCTGCCCTACGCAAAAACCCGTGCTTTGCCCCCTGCTCCACCGAGCTGCTCTCAACAGATGCGTCTCTGCCAGGGGTGGCTGGATGCAAGAGTTACGTTTTTGCAAACTCACGAAGTGCAAACTGGCCTTCTGAGTAAAGCTTGCATATCTGATAGCGGAATGTAAAGTGCAATGGTGAACTCACTTCCCACTGGCACCTGCACAGAAACTCAGTAACAAAGCACATCAAGTCGGACTGAGGCAGAGAGAAACTGGGCAAAATCCAGGGACCCAGCTGAGAAAATCGAAATGACTCCTACCCCCAGTGGGGTTCTTCACACTTCGCTAATGTGGACCTTCCGGACTAACCACAGACTCGGCTGCAATCTGCAGTCAACGTCTGTTCAGTTCTGAGCTTGCAATGTGACTTTGCAGAGCAGAACAAATGCATTGGACAACGTGTGTGTATCTGAAAAAGGCATATTAAAAACGAATGTTTGAAAAATATGCACAAACATACTTTAATCAATGGGAGAAGAAGGCATACATTTCAAAACATTCCACAGCGGATGCTATTTAAAGTGCTTCGTTTCATCCCTGGGATTATTGTGGAAGGGTTTTGTAAAGGTGACCACAAACCTTTCTGTTCCAGGCCAAGTGTTGCAAGTGCACCTGCGTTGTCTGAACCCTTCTTCACAAATGCCTCGGCCACGGGTACCAGCTCTCTGGCAATTTGTCCGTCATCTTCTTCCACAGCTAACCACCTCTGGCATGGAAAATAGTAACTGCAAGAAGAACACTTCTTAGCACTTTCTCTGTGGCCTGCTCCAGATGATTAAATTTGTCTCTGAGAGGAACAGAGTTAAAAGGTACCCCACTATGAAGCCAGAACAAGAGCACGGACTTGTAATGCCAGAAGTGTCCAGAAAGGAACAGAAAGAATTAAGTTCCTTAACTTTTCTTCTCAGGGCCACCTACTCCACCCTGTAAATAGCCTTTTGGTACCAGAATTGTAGATGTCATTCCATCCTCTGCCTAAAACAGGATTTTCTTGGGCGTCCAAGATTTCCTAGCAATATAATCTTTACTGTTAATCATAACAAGCATATTAGAAAACATGACATAAAACTGATGTTAAAAAACAAACAGAATTATTCATGCTGGTCCATGAAACCAGAAATGTCCAAAGGCCACAGTTTGGCAGTACTTGCATTAGGACCAACCAAAATTTCACAAAAATGAGCAGTTTCATGTTCTCCAGAACTCCACCTTGGGTTAGGTGGCTCAGCAAAGCAGGGGATGAGGGAAGAAAAGGCTGGTCATGTGGACTGCAGTATAGAAACGTAGAAACAGAGCGAGTCAGAAGGGCTCTCCCGGGGCATCTAGTCTGACCCCTGGCTCAGCTGGCTCCGCTCATGACATGCCTACCAGGTGCATGTCTAGCCTATCCTTGAACATCCTCTTCGACAGGGCTTCAGCCACTCCCATGGAAAGGAAGTATAGACAGAGCAAGTATAGAGAGGACCAGTCTCAAAATTTGCAGATTTGCTTCCTGAATGAATTAGTCATTGCCTGATAAATGATCCAGGTTTCTGACTGTGCCTACAATGCATTTTGGAATAGAGAAGCAATCAATTTTCTCCATTTCTGAAAAGACAAGGCCCAGCTGTAACTCAGATCTACCTGTTGGACAAAACACCCAGGTTCCTAAATCAACACAGAACAGAAGTTCAAAGAAATAGGTTGGTCATTCCAGGATCGAAGGAAGAGATTAATTTTAGGTGGTGCACTAAGCACATCAGCACAGTCGTATTTGCACGCATCTTTGTTAATGTGCTCTTTAAAATGCTGGATATACGAAGGGCTTTTTTTGTCATAGAACGCACCGGAACGGCGTTCTGGCACCATTTTTTCCAATGGATTTTACGAAGTGATTTTGAATCACCTGCCGGCGTAGCAGGTCAGCAGCAAACATCATTAACATAGTGCCTGCGGGCTGCTTTGGTGTCCACGCTGCCCGGCTTGGGACGCTGCTCGGCTTGGGACTGGTGTGTGCGGTCGCACGCTCAGTGCTTACTGCCGGCGGCGACGTGAGTTCCGGCACCCTTTTTCTTTTTTACAAAAAAAGCACTGGATATAGGCATCCAGTGCAGTTTCTACAACCAAAGCAAGATGGCTTTGTACCACCTTAACAGGGACTTACCAGCTTTGTTAACCTTATACACTGAGGCTGTGAGCTTAGATACACCTACCAGGGAGTACGATCCACTGAAAACAGGTTCACATCTGAATACACATGAGGAGGTTTGTACTGTAAAATACCCAAGGGAAAGCCAAATGTGGCTTCATTCTTAAACTGTGCTTTTAGGATCCACCAAGTGTTTACCCTACTTAAACATCTCCAGTCTTCCCCTCCCCCCTCCAACTTATGTTCTTTCATTGTGTAGCGCTACCCTTGGGTATTTTGGTAATATCCAAAACTGAAATAGCTCATTAATTTCCTCAAATTGTATTTCCCTTGGCTTGGGATTGCTTTGGACAGAACCCTAATTGCTGCATTAGTGGGGGGGGGGGGTTTAAACTCATTGCTTACGTGCTTTCCTCCTTGGTGTCAATAATCTCAATTCTTTCCAGAAACCAGGCTGGATTGGGTCCAGAGTTGTCCTGCCGGATTCGCACTTTCTTTAGCTCTCCCAGGTCAATGGCTTGGACAGTGAATATATCCACCTGCGGAACAAGAAAAGAGCTTGTTGGAATCCTGTACATTTTTAATTGTGAACATTTTAACATGTGCTTTTGAGAGCAATCCTGTACAGGTCTACTTTGGAGTAGGTCCCACTGGGTTCAATGTTATTTACTCCCATAGTCACAGGTATATAATTGCGGCTCAAATTTGCTCCCCAATTTCTCTGTAAAGTTCTCTTCTATGAATGTTGATACTGAATATTCACTGGATAGTCTGAATATTATTATTTGACTACTTTTATACCCTGCCTTCCTTCCTCTTGAAAGGCACCCAAGGCAGCTTACAAGATTCTCGTTCTTTTGCTTTAGTCTTTCAACAACAACCCTGCGAGGTAGGTTAGACTGAAATCTGTCAGAGGGCAGGCAAAGAAAACCCAGGAGAAGCAAAGATCCAAAAGAGCAAAGGGTCAAGACAGGGGAGATTCTAAACTAACCTTTCTGTGTTGATTACACCATTTAAAGCAGGGGTCCTCAAACTTTTTCAACAGGGGGCCAGTGAGGTGGCGGCGGGTGCATGTGCGGCGAGGCAGTGGCAGGGGCGTGCAGCAAGGCGGCAGCTTGCTTGCTTGGACATCTCCCAGCAAGCCCAAAACGATCTGCAAGTGAGCAAGCCGCCATCTCGGCACGCGTGTGGTGAGGCGGCAGCGCCGGCAGGCACGGGGAGTCCGAAACCACTGAGGCGGGCCAGATAAACGGGCATGGTGGGCCAGATCTGGCCTGCAGGCCATAGTTTGAGGACCCATGATTTAAAACATATAAAGGGGAGTTAAGAATGATTGAAATCACAGGAACTGGGGAGGGGAAGTGGACCGCTTTCCTTCCTGAGGCAACCTGGACAAAAAGGGCTTCTCCAAAGCCGATCGTGGCATCAGGAGGGAGAGCTGTTCACTCAAATTCATAGCAGCTAGAAATCCACTGGTACAGTGGTGTGCACCAGTCCAGATGTGTGGCACTCTGTTGACTGTTTCCAGTGCGCCGGGCTAGCTGGACAATTAGTCCTCATTTATTCCCCCACCACCTGGGCAACACTTAGGTTCTTACCTGACCCTTCTCAAATTTGTTTATGTGGTTTGAGCGCTTCAAATGTCTCTCCCCAGTGTCTCCTCTTTCACCATAGATGCTCAGGTAAACATTGGCATCAGTCCCAGCTCCCCAGACGATCCCAGTGATGACGTGGACCTCATAGCTGTTCGCTGGGGAAAGGAAGCCATAAGCCTTTAAAAGGGATACTCTTCAGACTTTCTTTCATGCCAGCCTTGTTCCTTGAGCGCGGTCACACCATGAATATCCTGCAACATAGCAACCGATCTAAATAGGCCCTTCTTAGAATCAAGCTCCACACTGAGTGGAGTTCCATGACGTTCTTTTAAAGTTTTAACCCAAAACAGGCTGTGCTTTCAAGGGTGAACAGGGCTGCCAAGCAAATCTTTCTTTTCCTGCCCACGCCTTGCTCAAAACAAGGTTGGTGTAACTTGTTGCCATTGCGGGGCCCCTGACAAAGGGCACACATGATCAGGGGCCCACTGCTCCTGGGGCCAGGACCTCCATGTCCTCCTCCTTGCTCTTTCTCTTGGCCTGTTCAAGCATGGGGGCAGTAACAAGGGAAGGGGGAAGAAACTCCTTGACATGTTCAAGGCATCTGTGCTGGATGTCCTTCCACCAGAGGGTCAAATTAAATTTCAGCAAAGTTCTCTGGGACCGCCAGAGGTGGACAGGGGGCAAAGGCAAAATGGCGTGAGCCCAAAACACAAAACAGTACTGGCAGCTCTTAGTTTTGAGCTCTTACTCCAAGTAAATAACCTTAGGAGACACAGTTTGACCTTTTTAGAATGGGGTAGGGAAAAGAAAACTCAGACCTGGGGAAAGACCGGACAGTGGGCAGTCGGAGAAAAGAGGGAGGGCTCCAAGGATGAGGGTGTGCCCTTCTGGAGATGCCCAGAATGACCCCAAACTTGGCCCTGTAGGTTCTTTGCACTTAGGTTCTGCATCAGCCTTGCGTTCTGTACCTGTCCTAATGTTAGATATAATGGAACACATTTGGAAATATGCAAGCCCAGTCCACCTTCAAGTTGAGATCCATCCTCCGGGATCAGTTCTGTGACCAGTTCCTTGTCTTCTTCGTCACTTGCCAGCCAGCGATGGGGTGTGAACTCATAAACCTCCATGACGCCTGGCTTGTTAGGGTCCTCCACTTCCTCCTCTTGAGTGGATTTCTTCTTCCTCCTCCTCTCCTTTATCTTCGTAGCCATCTTCTTGAGTGTGACACTTTCCAGGAACCAGCCGTCCCCAATGCCTGACCCATCATGGCCAATGCGGATCTTGTAGAGCTTGCCAACGTCTGCAGCTTCTATCTTTAATGTTGTCAGGAATAATCAGGCTTAACAATTAACATTCTAAAGATGTTGAACGCACTACGTGTACAGTACATCAAGGAAACAAACACAAACCCTGCAAGGTAGATCAGGACTTTTATCCCCATACTGCAGATCTGCACAATGAAAATGAGACGGTGGCTCACCCGCTGGGTCTGTGGCCTGGGAGACATAACCCAAGGCCTTCTCAGCTCACGTGATGAGCCAACACAATTAGCCAATTAGTTTTCAGATAACGGACTTACCCAAATTTTATGGCGTGGTACTAGGCTCTAAAAGGCATGTTTTAGAGATATGTACCAAGTTGCATATTTGCGGGGGAAGAAGCATAGAAAACAGTTTACTTTAGAGGGAAATGTGAATCTTTGTGCAATTTTTTAAAGACAATCACAGAAAATGTGACAGAAGAAACTTTTGATTGAAGAGAAGGCTATGTCGCTGTGACAACTTTGCCAAGCATTTTAAGGAGAAAATCGCTCAGATTTGTCACGAGCTGGACTCCACTAGTGACTCAGAGCCTTCAGGGGAGGAGCCAATGTTGCCGTCTGGTCCACAATTGATGGATGAATTTCAGTTATTGTGGCCTGATGATGTGGACAAGGTGCTTGGACAAGTATGTCCCACCACCTGCTTACTGGACCCTTGCCCATCTTGGCTACTTGACAAAGCCAAGCACGGGATAGGGACCTGGATCCTGGAAGTGGTCAACGCCTCTCTGAGGGGTGGCCGGGTACCTGCCCCTTTAAAGGAGGCAGTAGTCCGGCCTGTCCTAAAGAAGGCATCCCTGGATCCAGAGATGGCCCCAATTACAGACCGGTGGCCAACATCCCGTTTCTGGGCAAGGTGTTAGAGCAGGTGGTGGCAGGACAACTCCAAGCACTCTTGGATGAAACTGATTATCTGGACCCATTTCAGTCTGGCTTCAGACCCGGGTATGGTACTGAATCTGCCTTGGTCGCCCTGTATGATGACCTGTGCAGGGAGAGAGATGGGGGAGTGTGTCCCTGTTGGTCCTCCTGGTCCTCTCAGCGGCTTTCAATACCATCAACCATGGTATCCTTCTGGATAGGCTAGTGGGATTGGGGGTAGGGGGCACTGCTTTGCAGTGGTTCCGCTCCTATCTCAATGACCGGTTCCAGAAGGTGGTGCTAGGGGACTATGGCTCTGCACCATGGCAGCTATGCCATGGAGTACCGCAGGGGTCCATTTTGTCCCCCATGCTATTTAACATCTACATGCTGGGAGAGGTCATCAGGAGGTGTGGGCTGCGGAATCATCAGTACGCTGATGATACCCAGCTCTACCTCTCATTTTCAACCAATCCAGGTGAGGCAGTGGCTGTGCTGAACTGGTGCCTGGCCGAGGTAATGGGCTGGATGAGGGCCAATAAACTGAAGCTCAATCTAGACAAGACAGAGGTCCTGTTAGTAGGCGGGTCGGGCTTCGGGGTGGGGGACCTTGACCTTGTCCTGAATGGGGTTGCACTCCCTCTTAAGGACAGAGTCCGCAGCTTGGGAGTGCTCCTCGACCCAGAGCTATCATTGGAAGCTTAAGTGACAGCGGTGGCGAGGAGCGCTTTCCTTCAGCTTCAGCTGATCCATCAGCTGCGTCCCTACCTGGAGAACGACTGCCTGGTGACAGTGACACACACATTAGTCACTTCCCGATTAGACTTCTGTAACACGCTCTACGTGGGGCTGCCCTTGAAGACGGTCCGGATACTTCAGATGGTACAAAATAGAGCTGCCAGGTTGCTGACGGGGAGTGGGCATTATGTTCACATGACCCCAGTTCTCCGTCAGCTCCACTGGTTCCCCATTGAAGTTCGGGCCCAATTCAAGGTGCTGGTTATCACCTACAAAGCCCTGAACGGCTTGGGTCCTGGTTACCTAAAGGTCGCTTGCGTCCATATATGCCCTCCTGCTCCTTGAGATCGGCGACAGAGGCCCTTCTCCAAGAACCCTCCGTGACAGATATTAGGAGGGTGAGTACCCGGAGGAGGGCTTTCTCTGCGGTGGTGCCCAACTCATGGAACGCACTCCTCAGAGAGGTCTGCCTGGCGCCGTCATTATTTGTTTTTTGGCGCCAGGCCAAGATCTTTTTATTCAAACATTATTTTAATTGTTAAGGCTATGTATTGATTTTAACTTGCCAGGCTGTTTCCACTATTTTATGTATTTATATGCTGTTTTTATTTATGATTGTAAGCCACCCCGAGGCTTATGCGAAGGGGACAGCATATAAGTTGTTTTAATAAATAAATAAATTTCTCTCTCCAAGTTACACACCTAAATAATGGTTAGTTTTTAGCATTTTGAGGCCTTGTCTTTTTTCTCTTCGAGGGGTGGGGTTGGTGGGGAGTGTTGCATAATCTGTAATTTATATTTTGCACAAGGCTGGTTCTGCTACGTATGAGCAGGATCAAGAGCCATGCAAGGCTCTGAAGCATCCACCTCTGAGCACTGGGAGAATCTTATCCTCAGCTCTCAGGCTTGGGAACTGGGAAAGATCGGACCTGGGGTTAGCTGCCTTGTGCAGTCATGAAGCACAATCTGATGAGCTTGCCTAACGCCCAAGCCTCCCAATGCTCCAAAATGCAGTTCTCCAGTATCTTTGCTGGGTTCAAAGGGGGACAAGAGAGACACTTAAACAACCAGAACTCTGCCCGGTTAGGATGTTGGGAGGGGTGGGCAGGCCAAGGGAGAAAGGAGGCATGGGTCAACATTCCCTTTGAGGCATGAGCAGTGAAAATTCCAGACAGCTGAAGAAGGTTTGGCTTTCCAAAATCCAGATGAACTTGCATCTGTCTCTTTCTTTCTCAGCCAGACATTCTGAGCTTTCCCTTCCATCATGCCCGACATCCTTCTGTCGTAGGTCTCCTTCCAAGCGTAGGTGAAGGATCAGGCCACCCCCAAGGGTAGGGACCAAGCATGCACTGGGAAAACATGGAGGAACTGGGCTACTTGGCACAGTGCACAGCGCTCCAGCCCCAAAAGGTCTGGTCAGGCCCTTCTGCAGCTCACCGTACCTTGAAGGTTTCCGATGCTCCTCTCTCATAGTTATTTGACCTGTTTTTCAGAATCAGCACCTCTGTTTTGCCCAGGTCGCCATAGACCTGCATGAAAACGTTGGCGTTGGTGCCTGCGTTGCGCACGTCACCAGTCACGATGCACACCTCGTAATTTATCACTGCGTGCAAAGCGGAGAGGGTGATGGTAGGTCCTCAGAGCATGCCAAGGCTCTCGCAAGATCCCCGAAGCTGGGATGCAACATCCCAGTCAGCAAAATCAGGCATTTGCTTGGTGATTTTGGGACCCCCCCCCGCCACTCCATTCTGTATCCAGGCACATTCATGCAGGCAAAATGCTCCCCTCCCCTCCATTTTTCAAAGCGAATGCAGGATTCTACCTTATGCATAGGTACCTTAGACCTATATCTGCTCAATACAGTAGTTTTCATTCCTGGCTGAATGTGATGCCCTCCAGACCGTCTTGTCCTACAGTTCCCCTCGTCCCCAGTCAACCCTGGCTAGGGATGATGAGAGTGGTAGTCCAAGCCATGTGGAGAGCACTAGGTTGAAGTAGGCTGGTCCACTCGGGCTGCCATGCTGCCACGGAGTCTCGGGAATGCGGTGAGGTTGCTCCCTGTCCCTCTTAGCGAGAGATCCCCCAAATGTACTCCAGGAGCTTCTGCTTGCAAGGAAGTGGGGGGGGGGGGGGGGTGCCGAGTCAGGGCCCCTTCCTGTGAGGGGCAAGCGCGAAACCTAGACAGCTGGACCTTGGATGTAAGGTAGGGTGGGTGGGCAGCGAGACGATGGCACATAAAGGAGGGTGAGATCGATGCGCTGGTCCAGGAGCAGCAAGCAGCAAAGCCACGAGATGCTTTTGGAATGGTTTCCGTGCAGCGAGAGGCACTGGCTTCTCTCCTCCTCAGCCAGCCATTCTCCAAGCATTTCTTGCCATCCGGCCCCACACCCACACTGGCCAGCCCGAGTGGAGGGGAGCCTCTCGGACGGAGGCGTCTTCATGGAAGGAGCAGCCCAGCAGCCCATGATTAGGCCTCAGTTCCCGCTTTCGGAAGTCAGGCTGGGGACTCCCAAGCCCGGGGAACAAGCTGGGAAACCACGGGGAGAAATGGGACACTTTGCAGAGCGCATAAATCCTCTGCCGAACACCTTCTGGCTGGCAGGCCGGCCGCCTACCTGCCGCTGGACTGAACCTCTCCCCATGCAAGACATTCCCCACGGCCCCTCGGTCCCTGCAGGGCTGCCTTGATTCTGTGCCCTGCTCATTTGCCGCTGTCGCTGCAGCAACTACTACTGGCGCCAGGTGTCCTTTTATTTATTTCTGTATTTTACGGAGAGTAGTCCTCTGTTTGATGAGATCCTCTAGCGGAACAGCTGCCCAGTCTAAGCCCAGTATAAACCATCCACAGGAAGCGCTCAGCCTTGAAGTAGCTCGTTAGCAACGCCCAGACAGCGGGGTGACAGTGCACCATTTGCAGGTCACACATGATGGCAAGCAGCATTGTATTTCTATCGAAATCACAGCAATTGTTTCTAAATGCATGTGAATCAGCATATACAAATATTATGCAGATAGCACTTCCCTCTGTCCTGCTTTTTGGAGACTGAACACGACCACCCAACTGCTCCTGCTGATCTAAGCTACAGCCCTATAGAGAATTACATGAGAGTAACCCCAGAAGAAATCAATGGCACTTACTCCTGAGTATTCATGCTATGGCCTGCCTTGGTAATAGTTATTTAATATTGCACTGGCCCCTGCAGTTGGCTCAAGGGTTTTGGAATCTCAAGGAAGGCGGTACTGCAGCTCTAGCTTGGCTTACAAGAGGGAAAACAGATTGTTTGCGCACAAAATTCAGGCCGGCCCGCTTAGGAAAGGCTCAGCAGCTTGTCACTAACAACACACAGTCTGCGCTGGACTGCAAGGCGGGCTTCAGTCTGCTGGAACAGACTGTCAGCACAGGCTGCCTGGGAGATAGGTGTCTGAACAAAGGGGATTGGGTCGAACGCCTAGTTACACGCTCTTTGCTGCTGATGCCATGAAGCCTTGCAGTCTAAACAACAGGAGAGTTTCTCGCCCTAGCAAGTGCAGCTGTACCTCGGCAACTTACTGATAAGGGAAGACTGGCAGATTCCCGCAGGCATCGCATCCAGCTGAAATGGAAGCTAGTTAGCTCCTGGAATGCAGGGGCTGTTACGGCCTCTGATAGCAAACCCCTGGCCAACTGGGAGACATCGATCCTCTCTGCCGAGCTGGGCTTTTAGGAGAGCCAGAGAAGATGGAGGCTTTGCCCATAAAATGGAAGGCATCTGCAAGGCTCTGCATGCAATTAAAACTGTGTGCTAAATCAGGTATTCCTCAGGAAGCGGCCCTCCACAAGCAAAGACTTCAGGGAGTTTAATTTCCAAGCTTCTCCTTCTCTGCTTCCGACTGAGTGCAACCGAGAAGCCATGCTTTTCACCCCACAAACACTCCATCATCGGCGCCGCTTACATTTCTCGATCGTCATGATCTCACTGGGGTAGACCTCAATTTCTACCTTGCCATCAGCTTCATTTTTATCAAGCCACCGGTTGCAAGGGAAGTTGTACATCTTGCCATGCACTGGGATGTTGATCTGAACACTGGCCAGGTGCCAGCCAGCTCGGAGGCCAACATTGTCATGTCCAATGAGAAGCCGCTGGATCTTTGGAAGGCAAAATGGCCCACAATGGTGAAAAGAGCATAAGAACACAGGTACGAATTTACTTGGCATCTGGAGCAGCCATTTTGACCCCCTTTTGACCCAACCGAGCATCGTTGGGTACTTCAAAACCTCTCCAGATGCCTTGATTTTATTTAGTTATTTAAAACATTTGTATGCCACCCAATTGCGCCACAGCACCTCTGGGCAGCTCATAACATGAGATAAAAGCATAATAAAAACCATAATACATCACACATTAAAAACAACAATAAAATACACCAAAACATACAAAACAAAGGCCTACGGCAATTAGTTATTAAAATGCTTTTTAAAAAGGAAGGCCTTCACCTGGGGCCGAAAGAAAGTAAGGAAGGGGCCAGGAGAATCTCCTTGGGGGGGGGGGCATTCCAGATATGGGGAGCGGTGCAAGCCAGGGGATATAGGGGACACAATGGTTTCTGGACCTCCCAAAGTTTCTACCGCTAGCATAAAGGAAGAAGCTCAAGACAGACACTTATGTGAAAGGATGCTTCCCTGATGAGAGGTGGAAAACAAGCAGGAATGTTTATTATTTGCTTGGACATGTCAAGCATTTTTATGCCTCCCTTTAATAAAAAATGTCTCCTGGAGAGGTTCACAAATATCAGTAGTAAAATAATCTGTACCTGAAGGCTTATGGTTGAAGGCATGGATGCAAATGGAAAAGGGGATGAGGAGAGACGACCAAAAAGCAAGCTTGGCACCAGTTCCTAAAGTTACACAGACGCAACACATACACTCAAATGCCCAGCAGAGGGATGAGTCTCCTGTAAGCATCTGGGGCCATGCCCTGTCCAGAGTCAGCCACTTTACAGAATTAGGAAGAGCCTCCTGAGCCCCACTGCACCGGTAGTTGCAATACCACTTCTGGCCACCTGAAGTGGAGGCGCTGTGGCTCAAAAGAAAGCAATAAAATGCTCTTCCATCCAGGAAGATGTCGCAGTGGTTTCCCTCTGGCCCTTGATGTACCCTGAAACCAGTTTAGCAGAGGCAAATCTAATGAAGTCTATAGCTCTCCTCCTGCAGTCCATCTTCAGACTCCTGTGAGTCAAGATTTTGTAATTTTTTATATCATGCCCAATTTCCATTTTCTCCTTCTCCCTGCCCTCGTTTCTGCAAACCCACCCAGCATGAGGAAGTGTTCTGATGAAGAAACGCTGTGACTTGTCAGATACTTTCAAAACAATTTGAGAACTCCGCAATTGGCCTTCAACACGAAATCAGCCCTTATTGTGTAGCTCCAAGCTACACTGGCGCCCATTCTTACCTTCCCAATGTCCATCGTATCAAGCGTAAAGATATCTATCCGACCACGTTCAAAGTAGTTGCCTAAATCATTATCCGAAACCAAAAGAAACTCCTTTTTCGTGTCTCCTTTCTCTCCATAGAGCTTGATCAAAACCTTTGAGTCTGAGCTGGCTCCAGGGATGTCTCCTGTCTTTATGCTGATGTGGTAACCAACATCTACAGAGATATTAACATTTGCACACAAGAAATGTGAATGGAATGCACTGCTCCATCTTCCCACATCGCACTTCGTTATGGATGATCAAAGCAAAGAACTAGGTAGAAGTAAAACTGAGACACTAAAGATGGTTTAAGGCATCCTTCCCCAACTTAGCACCCCGCTAGATGCGTGCTTGTTTCTGGTAAGGGGAAAAGCAGAGATTTGCCACGATAATTCACTGGCAAACCACCCTTTTCCCCTTGGCCGTACTACCACTAATAGTGTTGTGCTAGTACTGGTTTATGCTGGTGAAGTGTCCAATGTGATTATGCTAAAGATACTCCTTACCTTCTGGCAGCAGCACTCAGTGGCACAGATTTGTGGAAGGGAAGTTTTCAGGATAATATTGACAGGCAAAGAGATAAATAGAGGGTGGGAAAAATGCAAAAATGGGGTTGTCATGGCCAGCCGCAGCCCCATCTTTCTGCCCCGTGACTATAAAAATTCTGCCCTGAGAGTTCTGAGGCCCAGCAGCCCTTGCCGGCATCCAGGCCTGCTGAACAGAGGGGGAAGGAAGAGACGTTTGAAGGAGACAGTGCGTAAAGCTGAGGGAAGAGGAACACCAGAGAGACACGTCCCATTCGCAGTTAGGAGGGGCCACAGAAGCGTCTGGCTCAGATAATGTGCTTCCCCGTGAACCGAAAAACAAGCAGCAGGACTCAGTGCATCACACGACAAGCAGGCAAACTCACTTTCCAGGAGAGACGATCTCCCATCTGGAACTAACTCCCGAACAATTTGTCCATCGTCCTCATTTTTGTCAAGCCATCTGGTTAGCAAATGAAAGTTTAAGTTATCTGCTATGACTGATCAAACGTCAGGAGGCTTATTAAAACCCCAGAAGCAGGAAGTACACTGGAAGACAAAGCTACATTGTTAGAGAGATGCTTTGCATGATTCTGGAATAGAGAGTCAGGTTATGAGAATATTTCGAAAGACGACAGCCTTCTTGTCAATATCCAAAGGTATTTTCATTCTTACTCTGTTGTCTTTCTAGCTTTCCCAGTGATGAGTCCTGATGGATCTAAGGGGTTTGTATGTGTTTTTAAAAGCAGAAGATGGAAGGAGCGTGGGCTTGTACCCAGCTAAACCTCTATTCACCAGTCCAATGACCCCCAGGTGTGGTGGACCACAATGCCTATCACTCCCATCCAGCATTGCCAGACTGAGCTGGCTGGAGAGTTGTATGCCTACACATCTGTAAGTTACCAGGCTGGGAAAAAACTCCTTACCACTGGTCCACAAACTTTTGATGATTTAGAGGTTAAATTAACTCCAACATGTACCAGAAAAAATGTTTAACATTCTTACCTTAACTTCTGCTATTTTATATTTTGTGTATTCTACCGCAATAATGAGGCTGAATCTTTTCTGGGGTTGTAGGCTCTATTTTTTTAATCTGAACATTTCATTAAAAAGGCCCAGTTTGAATGTATGGCAGAATGAAACGGTACAGCCAGTGGCCTCGTGGGAGAAATGGCCCCAATATCCAGAAAGTCTCATTTCGCAAGACCATCACTGCTGCGTGTTGATGCAGTGCTGAAAGTCACCATTCCACCAACCATCCAGTCTATCTTTGCCATCCAGGCCTCCAGAGATTTAATGTGTGACATGGTGTAGGCAAGTAGGGTGTTAAAGCAAGGCACCATCAAACGTTAGGGTCATTACAGATCCCAGTATAGCTCTGTCACTGCATGATGAAGAATAATCCTTTATCAAATTTCTTATTTTTAAATTAAAATGGAGCCATTGCCTATTCTATTAAATCTTTTCTTTTTTAAAAAATGGCCTTTGTCTGACTGACAAAGTGCTTTTTAAAATTGCAGGAGTGTTATCTATTTGAAAAGCAACCCTCAGTGCTAGATTTCAGACCTGAATTCTAAAACTCACACCCAGGTTTAAAATATATCAAAGAAACTTCATCCGTGTGTATTCTCCAGGGCCCTAGGCAGAGAGCAACGGAGACTTGCTAACTACCTGAGATGCTGCAAGTTGAGTCTTATACAAAACTTATGTCCTAGTTGTGAATCTTGCCCATTACTTCAATAAGGAGCCACAAGGGCCTGTGAAAAGCCACTTAACCGGTTACCCAGGGTGGATTTATTTCCAAAACTGGAGCAATGTTATCATACATAAAACAAAGTAGATCTTACAGTCCAGGACTGTCAGCTGTCCGGGCATAACTGCTCTTCATGTGCAGATGTTCCCACTGGGCTACACAGGAAGCGATGCGCCTAATGGAGCACACGCTCCACTCACCAGCTCATACAATGCAACATGTTCCAGGGTGCGGTGACCCACCTCCGTCTGACAACATCCTATATGTGCCATAAGGTGTCTGGGTCACACGTGCACTGCTCGCAACTTGGAGGGAACTGGCTATCTTGCAAGATGGATAATGGATGGCGCACCAGGCTCCAGAGAGGAAAGATTTCTTTTGCCTTGTCTGTTTGCAGCCACATTTCTCCATCTTCTACTGCTTGTTGCTGCTGTCATGTCGTCTTTAACTTATGGAGAGCCAATGAACGGAAGCCCTCCGATCTGCCCTGCCCTTCACAGCCCTGCTCAACTCTTGTAAATGCCAGACTGCGGGTTCTTCGATGGAATCAATCCATCTCCTGTTTGGGCTTCGTCTTCTGCCTTCCGCTTTCCCTCCATCCCAGTGGGCTCTACCGCTTGGCTGCCATGTTTTCTGTTTGCTTTTCACTTCCTCAGTCCACGAGTGCAGCCGATCAGGGACCACACATTGAGGATGAGGTGTCACAGCACCCTGGAAGCAGCTTTGCCTGTGCGACCACATCGCTGGGGGCAAACTAAGTCCGTCTATTGCCCTCTTTCTAGATGGGAAGGAACAGAAAAGGCATCCTGTGGCTAGGCTGCCACGCTGGCACCAGTGATCATGCATGGCAAGGCAAGACTCCCCATCATCCTCAGCGCTGGATGTGCGCATGTGTGAATGGCTGGGGGAAAGGGGATGCGTGCCTGAACACGGGTCCCGCTGAGAGCAATGCGGTGCGGCTAGCCATCTGCTTCCTGTACCGGCTCGCCAACTTGCTGCAATAACAGCAAGGCCCGGTTGCCTTGCCAATGAGGGTCTGTTCCCACTTCCATTCACACACATGCAGAGAGAGAGAGAGCAGTTTCACACTTTTTGCAAAAAGGTGAGAAAAATCATTGCAAGGGGTACCTTTTGTGAAAGATGGAAAATTTTCCATAAAGGCACTTCCTCTTCTATTTTACTTCAGCACGCATTGCAAAGTATTATAGCATTAGTAGCAGCAGTAGTAGTACATTGCATTTATAGTCCACCTTGTTTTCTTCTTGTGACGGGCAACCAGCCTCATGTCAGGGAAAGAGAAATCGGATGGAACCCACTCAGATTTAGGAGCTGGGAAGTGATGATGAGTTGGAGGTGACCTTGGAACCAGTCTGGTCCAACCTTCCGTTGCATGCGATGCAGTGGGAGCCAGAGAAAATGGGATATGTGGCCAACAGAACTATGAGCCTTACAAAGAGTCCTTACAGGAATGGCTTCCTTTCACCTCGCTGCAAACAGGGCCTTAGTACCTGTGAGTCAAGCAGTCCTCGGTGTTGGTTTTGGGTTCTCATCCCAGGACCAGGAAGCAACGTCTAGGATCAAGCTGCCACGATGGTAAAGATTATTTGGCTCTCTGAGAGAGTCCTTCTACCCCCCTGACCCTTGATCAGCATCTGCACGACGCTTTCAAGATGCTGGCAAAGCAATTCTGCTCAGTCAGTGAGTTATCATCAATGCCTACTATTTTTGCAAACCATCTGTCCCTTTGCGGGTAGATAGGCTGATATTTCTGATACCAGGTGGAGATAATTCCATGCCAAGAGGATGGCATCAAACTCTTCTTCGAGAGAAGGTGGACACGCTACGCAAAAAGAGTGGTATCTTTGGTTGGTATCTTTAACGGTCCTATGGACGAAGTGACCCTGGAAGCTTCAGTCAATGGGGAAGGGAGGCTGTGCCTTCCAGCCCAACCATCGCTGCTTTCCCATGAACGTAAGTTGAAAGCACAGAAGGCATTCCCCATGTTGAAGCTAAGCAGGTCTGGACCTGGCCCGAGCTTGGAGGGGAGACCACTTGGGAACCACCCGGAGCCACCTTGAATCCCACCTTGAATGGGAGAAAGGTGAGATACCAATATGCTGTGTTGTGCTATGCTATAAATCAGCTGCAGTAAAGCAGTGAATTGGATTGCTTTTCTCTACTGGGAACAGAGACAAGAAGAGGCAGTGCCACCAGAAATGGATCTGGCCAGCCACGGTTTGTGCCACGGTTTTGCCACAGGTACCACAGGATTTGCACCGCTGCAAGCCGACAAGCAGCCTTTGCCCATCATTGTTCTGTGATCCTGAAAGCCTAGTGAAGAGAGCAGTGGCAAAAGGTTTGGCTTTCGCTGGAGAGGAGGGCTGGCACACCGAACGGCTGATGGCCACTTATTGAATCAGAAACACGAAGATGCCAGCACATTTCCCACTAACTCTGTTCAAATCTCCTTATAGTGCCATTTAGTAGCATGGACATGAGCAAGGGCTTTTCCTCTCTTGGCCCCACAGCAGTCAGGATCAAATCTAGCAATGGAGTGACAGGCAGTGTGGTGTAGTGGTTAGGGTGTTGGACTGGGTTCAGGAGACCCAAGTTCTAGCCCTCACTTGGCCATGAAGCTCACTGGGAGACTGTGGGCCAGTCCCTGACTCTCAGCCTAACCTACCTCACAGGATTGTTGTTGTGAGGCTAAAATGTAGAGGAGGGGAATCTTGTAAGCTACCTTGGGGTCCTTGCAAGAGGAAAAAAGTGGGGTATAAATGCAAGTAACACAGTAACACAAGCACACAAGAAAGCTTCTTCTACAGGCCACCAGTTTTAACTGCAGGCATCTCCAGACAGAAGCAATGGGGCTTTGTCCTAGGACCGCCATGATTCTTTCTTCCTTGCTGCAAGAACCGGGATCAATTCCCTCCATGTAATCTAGTCTGTTTCTAGAACATTCCTGTGAGAGACTGGACAGAGATCCAGAGAAACAGCAGAGCAAACTAAATGTTCTGGTTGAATGTAAATTTACATTTACAAAATATACTCGACCATTTTTGGACATTCTGTGGCCATATCTGGCTTCAACATGGAGCGTGCCTCTAAATGCACATTCTGGGAGAACAGGAGGGGGACGGTGCGATCCTGCACGAGATCTGCTTGTGGATTTTCCACAGGCACCTGGCTGACCCTGGTGGGAAGAGAAGGCTGAACTAGAAAGGCTTTTCATCTGATCCAGCAGGACTTTCTTTAGGCATTTCAAACCGTCAATCCTGGTTAATCCCGGGTCCTAGAGAAATCCATACATGGATGAAAAAACAGAACAAAACATTCCATGATCTATTCCCCGGCCTCAGCCTGAACGACACCCCACAGTCCAAGAAGGGGTCCCTTGACCGTTCCAAGGAGGGGGCACTGCTACACTCTGGATTCCCAGCTGCAAGCCAGAGGCTGTGCTCTGACCTCAGAGCTGGGAATCGGGGCTTTGACCCTGCTCCCCTGACCCCTCTCAGAAAGGACCTTGGAGAGGGAGAAAAGGGGGCATTTCAGGGGCAGAGAAGGGAGGAGACTGGAGAGGCCAGGATAAGATACTATCCTGGCACCTTTCCAGCCTCTTTCCCGCCCACTCTGGGACACTGGCAGAGCAGGAGGATGGGGGGAGGCAAAGGCGGCCTCCGCCACTCCTCCTGCTCGGCTGTGGGGGCCCA